TATTTCTGTCTTTGTGCCAGTACCATACTGTCTTGATGACTGTAGCTTTGTAGTATATCCTGAAGTCAGGCAGGTTAATTCTTCCAGTTCCATTCTTCTTTCTCAAGATTGCTTTGGCTATTTGAGGTTTTTTGTATTTCTATACAAATTGTGAAATTATTTGTTCTAGTTCTCTGAAAAACACCATTGTTAGCTTGATAGGGATTGCATTGAATCTATAGATTGCTTTGGGTAGTATACTCATTTTCACTATACTGATTCTTCTGATCCATGAACATGGTATATTTCTCCATCTATTTGTGTCATCTTTGATTTCTTTCATCAGTGTTTTATAGTTTTCTACATATAGGTCTTTTGTTTCTTTAGGTAGATTTATTCCTAAGTATTTTATTATTTTCGTTGCAATGGTGAATGGAATTGTTTCCTTAATATCTCTTTCTGTTCTCTCATAGAAAATAAGACTTTTGTAAGAAATCTTCTCAATTATTAAATGCCAGAGACTAATTAGGAAAAAAAATTAAATTCCATGCAATGACACGCATTTTTTTTTCTCTATGGCAACCTACTCCAGTACTCTTGCCTGGAAAATCCCACGGATGGAGCAGCCTGGCAGGGTCCATGGGGTCGTAAAGAATTGAATATGACTGAGTGACTTCACTCACTATAATATACTTTAAAACTGAAAAGCATATTAAGGAAGCATATAAATATTTTTTAAAAAAACACATAAAAACTGAATAGCTCCAGGTGGGTAACTTAAACGTATCTACAGCCTAAATTCATCCCACAAGCTGAAGGAGTTGTTAGGCTGCCCAAGTCTATGAAATATAATGGAAGCTATCTATATCTACCTTCAGAATCTGCCCTTTAAAAACATTTACTCTTATAAATGTAAATAATATGGAAGTCATATTATTAAAAAGATTCCAAAGATAAATGCTTTCTGCTTGGTATTGGTTTTTATATATATAATATTATAAATATATATTATTAATATATATTATATCATTATGTAATACATATAATAGTTTCCACTTGGTTTTGTCCTTTGGTCAAAACTTAATAATCCTTTTTGTAAAATTATGGGTTTCTGTTCGTTTTCCATCTACGATATACAATCTAAAGATAGCAGAAACTGCAAGGTGAACTTTAAATAGTACCATACACTTAATTAGCTGCAATTCGGTTCAGTGGCACCATTACAAGAACTAACTTCATGGAAAGCATCAGATCTGGATCCAATGAATCTCTTCAACAGCACAAAGAAATCAACCATATCCAGTTATTTCTTCAATTCCAAATATAGAAAAAAGAAAGCTTAGGAGATATATTTTAATGGTCTGAATTTCAAATATTTTTAAGCAAAAGATATTTTCTTTTGTTATCTCCATTATTTCACTTAAAATTTTTATTTTTTGACAATGAAATGGCTTAACTGCCTTTGTGTTATTTATTCTTGTTTGAAAATAAAAGTGTTCATTAAACCTACTGTCAATGTGGGATAGTCAAGAGTCTATTTTTCATAAATCAACCTCCAGGTCAGTACTGAGGTTAACAGTTCGATCCGGAGTAAAACTTATGGCATGTAAGCACCAAGAGTTTGCTGCTCTTTCACCTCACTCACATGTTGGCTGGTGTGGTGAGCTCCACGGTTCTCCTCTGAGGCCCTCGTCATTTCAGTTAAACCAGGGATTCTCAAGCAGAGGACCACAGCATGGAATCTACTATAGAAGAACTGCGAATGTGAATCTGTAAAATAATTCTAGCCTTTCAAAGAACAACAGTTTAATGAGTGATTACTATGTACCAGGCACTGGGGTGGGCATGTCTTATACAGATCAAATAATGTGTCCTGCAGACGTAGGTATGGAACATTTCCAACTGTATGTAAATGTCAGCATTGTGAATAAAATTCACATCCATCTAGAAGGGCTGCTGAGTTTACAATAGTTTCTGTCACTGTGTACTTTTTTCCAGGTGGTTTTAAAGAGAGTGTCCTTATATCTTAAAAGATTGGTAAATACTACGTTAGCCTATTTTGCACATTGCCTGGATTTAACATCATCTGTTTTGATTTAATAATTCTATAATAAATGAGCCATACTTGTCTTTGTGTATAAAATGCACAAAATCTCTCACCTCTAGTCTTTCTCCGTATATTAGCTAAATGAAAGGAAGTAAAAGTTAAGTGTCCTCTACTTCATCTCCCTTCATAACAAACATTTAACCATAAAAGCCTCTTTACTTATTTGGATCTTGATCAGGAAACAGAAGTTTATTCTCTGTCTCAGGTACAAAACATATTCCCTTCTTGTTTCCTTTTATTTTGTCCTTAAAACTAATTTTAATATCCAAAATAAATTGGCAGAATATTTTGTGGTTTGTTCTCAAGCATGGAGTTTAGTGTGGGACACACCAAAAAAATTGCATTTCAGATTTTCAACCTTCACAAGAATTAACTGGCCAAGCAGATGGCAACTCTACCATGACACAGCTCCCTCCCTTTATTTTAAACATATCTAAGTACAATACCATTTAATTTTAACCTTCTGGTATTTGATACCTGGGAAAATCTCCATTATTATAAGACTTCAAGCCACTGTAATTTCCAATATTAACCAACCACTTACCATCTTTTAAAAGTTTCTGTAAGATTTTCACAAATATACTGTCTTTAGATACTTCAATTGGATCATCTTTACCATCTGAACTGGACCAGCTAGAAGACAAAACCACTGTGAGGAGAAAATGAAACCATGGCCATAATCTGAAATAAATGACTTGTTTGCTGTTGTGGATTTGTTTTGATATTTGTAGTGGCTTCCCTGGTGACTTAGAGGTAAAGAATCTGCCTCCAGTGCAGGATACTTTGGTTCAGTCCCTGGGTTGGTAAGATGCCCTGGAGAAGGAAATGGCTACCCACTCCAGTATTCTTGCCTGGGAAATCCCATGGACAGAGGAGCTTAGTGAGCTACAGTCCATGGGGTTGCAAAAGAGTCAGACACAACTTAGCAACTAAACAACAACAGCAACAACAGGGGGTAAAGAATCTTGAATTTTGTGACACTATTGAAAATTGCTTCAAATTAGATATAACCAGTCTCTAGATATACCCAGTCTCTATATTAGATATAAGATGCTACAGTCAGGTAGCATGTATTTAATGTCCAAACCAAGTAGTAAGGTATTTTTCCCAAGAAAATTTTGTAAGTAAGTAACAAACCTAGTAATGACCCCAAAGTATGACTTTTCAGAGCACAGGCAATAGTTTAAATGTACTTTAAATATATTATAATATATTGTTTTCTATAAAATGGCAAGCAGTGTCTGATGTAACCTAAACTTTCTTTATCTGGTTGAGACTATCTGCCACTGAAATACAAACCCACAGAACCATGCTCTGTAGTAATCAATGGCTACATCCCTCACACTTTGAAGCCAAGACGAGGAATTCCAGTCAAATGACATAGTAAGCTTTTTACAACTGGGAAGGAGAACCCAACAGGCAGAGCTAGATGCTTCAGAGGATGACCTCCAAAACCATATCTGACAACAATTTAAACTATCTATGAGTGATCACAGGAAGAAATGCTTTAGTAAAAACAGTTCCACTGCAATTTCTCAAAGCCACAAGAAAAAGGAAAATTGAGTAGAGAAGGCCTTTAGCACTCAAGTCATGCTCTCTTTAAAATTCTTTTCTGGGCCAAAAATTTTTTTTAAAAAAGTATGGACTTCCCCTGGTGGTCCAGTAGTTAAAATTCCACACTTTCATTGCAGGGAGCGTGGGTTCGAGTCCTGCTTGGGGAACTAAGATGCTGTATCCTGTGCAGTGTGGCCAAAACTTTAAAAAAAATTCTTTCCCTGGGAAAAATCCATCTCTACAACTGATTATTCTCAGTCTCTCTTTGCCAATGAATCTTACCACCACCATTCCAGTGGACAGAACACCTTCTCTGCAGGGAGATTACAGTGAAAAAGAGGTCTCAGTAACTTAGAAGACAATATTGATTCTCAAACTGTACTAATCTCTTATTAAAAAAAAAAGTAGCCTCAAGTCTTCCTATGAAGAACTAGCCCAACTTTTGAGAAAATAAGGAACATGTCTATTTCTGTGCAAATTGACAGTGCAAAATTTAAAATCAAAAGTAGAGAATCATTACTCCAGTGGTCTTAAATCCTTAAGCAATTCCTTAATTACTGAATAAAAAAATTAGAATTGCTAATGAAACTATTAACATTTTCATAATATATGTTACAATACAGTTAGGTTACAAAATGATTTGATGCATGATATCATAATTTTCCTAAAGAGTCCTTTCCCAAAATCATGTCTTAGATTCACACTATGGGAACTTACTTATCTCTCTGAAGAGCTTTGCAAAGGATTTCCAGTTTTAGATCATTTATATTTACATCTTCCTCCTTCACAGCAAAACAAAAAAAAATCCTCATTAAGTCCTGATTTTAAAAAATACATGCTTAAATTTTAGTTATGTCAGCTCCTAATACTATATAAATATTATTAAGCTTTACTTTATAATTTTAAGAGTTTCCCTGGTAGCTCAGCTGGTAAAGAATTGCCTGCAATTCAGGATATCCCAGTTTGATACCTGGGTCAGGAAGATCCCTGGGAGAAGGGAACAGCTACTCACTGCACTATTCTTGCCCAAAGAATTCCATGGACAGAGGAGCCTGGCAAATTTCCCTTTCTGTAAGATGTTAAAGCTGACTCCTGAGAGTAAGACTATCAATAATTTTATGTGACATTGTTTCCAATTATTCTGAGATAACCTGATTTTATCAGGAAGCAGGAGAGAGTCAAGATTTTAAACAGAGTAACATAAAAATCAACATATTATGTCTTTATAATCTACCAAACTACTCCCAGCTGCAGGGCTGACTATTTACCCTACAAAATTATCATTACAATCTTTTTTTTCAAAGCAGGCTGAGAAACAGCTTCTCTTAGGGTGACTACTATGAAGAATAAATTGACAAAGCAGCCTATCAGTTTGAGAAACTAACAATGATTCATGAAATACAAGAGAAAAAAATGTCAGGACCTTGAAAAGCAGTTTTTATTTTTGCAGAGAAAAAGATACCTGGAAATGTGTGAGAATTATCAGGCGGTGAGCTCTTTTGACAGCTTTTCTAAAGACTTTTATGTACTCCAAGAGTTACAGGTAGCTGAACCAGGTAGTCTTTTAAAATTAAGACATTTTCAAGATGTACTTAGTTCTTCAGAAAACTATACACAAATTGTGATTCTTACCTGAGATTATCAAGTGACTTTACATACCTCATCAATATATTCCAGCAAGTCCAAAGCCTTCTTGAAATCATACTCATTAGCTCTTCTGTTTTCTTCACAGATATACAGCTGTAGCAAGTTAAAACAAAGGGAGAATTATTGTAACTCATTCTATAAACAAGACTAGAGAGATTTACAGAGAAGTTACCACATTTACAGGTATCTTTATAGAAAAGAACAGTGGCACATTTGGAAATTAAACTCCATCTACCTCACAACAAACTGTCTTTTAAAATACACCTATGTTTATTCAGTAATTAACTTGTATAAGTTGGTGTATATATAGCTTTAAAATATCAGTAAATTGCTCTTGCATTTTTAAAGTTGGCAATAATGCTTTTGAAATGTTCTCATTCAATAGTTTTTTGAACACTGAGACTGATGAGAAAGCATGAAGTTGGTCCACAGTTTACTCAGAAGACAAGAAAACACACCAACATGTTACCAACAGTTATCCCTGGCTAGTTAGATCACAGCTAACTATACCATCACTAATGTCCTGTTCACGTTATAAATTTCCTACTAATAACACTGCTTTTTAAAATACTGCACAAAATTCTTTAACAGCAAAGACAATATTCAAACCATTTCAGAAAAAAAGCTACCCACTTGTTGTCATTGTGTTACAACACTTTGAACAATATTTTATTTGTTTCTGAACCTCTTTTCTTCCCCAGTGTCAATATCTTTGAAATTGGGATGCAGTACTAAAATTGATAATGTATCACAGTAAAGTTGGTAGAACTTTTTCCATCTTAACAGTATATAAAACAATGGTGTAACAGGCAACAGTTCCTCAGGTTTTTAAATCAGATATGTTCTTATCAGGAGAAGCTGCTGTGAGCTCAATGTGAGCTCAATAGGAAATCTGTTATTAATACTAACAATGGCTAAAATACCAAAGTTTTTGAATTGCCTGCTTCCTTAGTGACATAATTAGCGTAAACTCAAGGTGACTGTAAGACACTGCTCTTACATTTGAAATACTTTCTTGAAAGGAAAAGAGAGAACAACTAAGGGTGCAGCTATATGCAATAAAACTGCCTTATTCTGGGCTGCAGCCCCTAATCTAGCTACGTCCTCAGGAGCCTGCTATGCTGCAGAGCAATGATGCAGATGGCACTTAGAAGCTGTGCAAATCCAGTTCCTAAAACCATCTTTCTTTTAAAGAACAGGAACTATATGTCTTCATACACATCGGTCTTGTGCTAGAAAAGCACAATGGAAGCAACGTCTTCTGGCCACCTGGATAAGCATCTTGAAGGACAGACAGAGAGCTGCTGGGGGCTGGTCCTCCGCCTTCTGCTAACTGGCACCCTGCTCCTAAGCATCTCTGATGCCTGACTCCAGAGAACAGTGACCAGGAAAACAGGAAATGGAGATGTCTACTCTGAGAGACTGTACTAAGGGGCCACGGAAACACAGGCTGCTCTGAGACTAAGACGGTGTGGGCATGTGAAAAGCTCATACGGCAATGAGTTGCGATGCGGTCAGCACAGGCATGGCACTGAGACTCAGCTGTTTCTCGGCTAGCAGCTGTTCAGGCAGTGTCTCCTGGTGCAGCAGAAAGCGCTCTTGCTCAGCCATTTCTAGAAGACAACACAGGGAGAGGTATGAACATTCACTTTTGCTCTGTCATCAACAAACATAAATTTAAAAAGAAAAAGGAACAGCTCTGAAGGTAATCCCATCACTATTCAACAATCTGAGAATGTTATTAATTCTGCTTATTCTTGATTCCCAACTATGTTACAAATACTCATGGTCTTATCCAAGTCATATGGATTGTCCCAGTAACCAGAAATATCAGGGAGAGAAGAGCTAAGAAAACAAACCTTATCGAAGCGACTGTAGAGCAGATGGCAATTTCAGAGATAGAAGCCCCCCAAATCTGAAGTGTCTGTTTTAAGGTCACCCTGAAAGTACTTCTTTTTACCTTATGAGAGTGTCTCGAATAATCTCGTTCACTAAAGGACATGATGAGAACTTTCCAGGAAAACACCACCCAGAGGATTGCACCAATCCTATTACCCAGCAATGGTTATTTATCTCCATATGATGAGGTAACAGGGCCTTGGGTCTGCATAAACCATCATGACCTGGCTTCACCCATGAGAACAAGCTGGGTTGCAGGAAAAAAGGGCTGAGAACTGTTTGCTAACAGCAGTTACAACAAAATGGAACGACTAAAGCACAGATATGCTCATTTAAATACTGGCATCATTCCATATGATCCCAATCTTGTAAAAACTAAATGGAATTGTTTTGTGCAATTTCCATACCTAAGAAAACAGACTGGAAGGATACAGAAAAAAGTAACAGTAGTTATCTCTAGGGTAGAGGGATTATATTATTCTATTATTTTCTTACTGTTATTTTTCTATACTTTACAAATTTCCATAAGGAAATTTTTATATAACCAATATAAAGTTACCTTTTAAAAATCTATTCCCTTCAACTAGACATAATGTGATAATAGTCTGCAGGAAATTATTGAGGCTTTAAAATACTCTCATTGTACTAAGAAAGCGAAAGCTAAGAAGAAGCGATCAGATGCAAAACAATAGCCAGATGTAAGCAGGAAAAACAGAAGCAAAACCTTGTGTTAAAATGTTTTGACTAGGGACTTCCCTGCTGGTCCAGGGGTTGGGAGTCCACCTGTTAATGTAGGGGACATGGGTTTGATCCTTGGTCCAGGATTCTACACGCTGCAGCCTGTGCACCACAAGTGCTAGAACCTGCATACCCTAGAGCCCGTACTTCACAACAAGAGATGCTTCCATAATGAGGAGCCTGGGCACGGCAATTAGAGAGTAGCTCCCACTCACTGCAACGAGAGGAAGCTTGCATGCAACAACAAAGACCCAACACAGCCAAAAATAATAAAAATAAATTAAAAAAATTTTTTTTACTATTTTGATTAACATGCTCTCTCTCTGACGGACAGGTTAAAATATGGCTCCCCCTGGAGACTACTAACCAGCCTTGCAAAACATATACACACTTCTCTGGAACAACAGGCACTATTAGCATTTAAAAATAAAAGACAGTGAAAAATAATTTCAGTAATAAAAGTTAAATGCTAATCCTATGATTTGAGTACTCAATTTTACAAAAAGTAGAACATTTTTCTCAAGGAACACCCAGTGTCTCTGATTGTTAGAACTACGCATTTTGTAGTGTACCCTGGGTCACTACTATGGGCTTCCCTCATAGCTCAGTTGGTAAAGAACCTGCCTGCAATGAGCGAGACCTGGGTTCAATCCCTGGGTTGGGAAAATCCCCTGGAAAATGGAACGACTACCCACTCCAGTATTCTGGCCTGGAGAATTCCATGGACTCTATAGTCCACGGGGTCGCAAGGAGTCGACACAACTGAGCAACTTTCACTTTCTTTCCGGGTCACAAAGCTAGTCAGTTGGAAAAAACATGTAAAACAAGATTGGTCTAATTTCTGTCCAGATTCCTTCCACTACATCTACTCCTTGGAGGAAGAAAGTAACAGCAGTGGAATGTGAACCCAGACCCCAGACAGACTACTGTCGCCAATACCCCTATTTACATAGACTTCACCCTGAACCACATGGCAAGACACCTCCCCGAAGTATGGGATTAGGTATATTCACGCTATCTGGGGCGATACTGCTATTAGGACTTTTCAGGGGACAGCCAAGAAATACATTCAGAGAACAACCATGACTCCATGTGATACATAAAATTCAAATGCAATAACACAGGGTTCTTCCTCATCTTCCTTCTATATTTATACCTCCATTCCCTTTGGTTCTCAAAAATAATATTCTCAATCATTTTCTCAGTCTACAAAATACAGACTGTGAAACAGAGTAGTTTCACTACTATGACCTCAATAATTTTTGAATTCTGAAATCAACGGCTTCAGAATTACCACCACCTACAGCAAACCCACTGAAGAAACGTCATGTTTCTTGGCATGGCCGTTCGTTCTTAGCATGTGATTTGCTAAGCGTGTAATCAGAGTACTCTGTCCAAATCATTTGAATTTATTCTTTAGGAATTCTTATTTAAAGCACAAACTACTTTTCTATAAAAAGAGAATCCTAATTATATAACTGAATAATTGTCTAAGAACAGTGAATAGAAAGGGGATGGCTCCTGTCTCTAGAGGATCCCATTAACTGATAACAGGAATGCATTCTAAGATTACACTGACAGCATGACTGACTTGTACATCTTCTTGTTTAAATACTGCCTTTTACCTTCAATTTTTTCTTGCAGTGTATCTTCTGAAAAGTCTGAAGCTAATGCCGCCAATTTACTCAAGCCAAGAAGGGTTTTTTTCTTTGCAAAGTAACGAGTTTCCCTATTTGCCAAACCCAGAAGTGTTGCATGAGCCTACAATAACAAAATATGAAAATTGTGGTAAAATTCTCGGTATTAATTCAAGTTAAAATAATGATTAAGTAAAACCCAAACTTGGTTTCCCCCCCTCAAGCTATATCAATGAAAGATCAAGTCACTATTAGCAAAACTTAAAACAGATCAGCAGCATACTTTGAGAGTAATTACACAATGAAATATCAGCCACTCACACTAGTCACTGGGAAAAGAGACATGTATAAAACGTTTGCTCTATAATAATTATATGTTCACTACAACATCTTGTCAACGAGAAACTTGAATTTATTTAATGTTTTTACTGATAATTTGAACATTCCTATTATAAGAAAATACTCATTACAAAAAACGGCCAATGACTGCTATTTATGTGTTGAAGTTTTGTGCTTTATTTTATTGTAATAACAGTCAAATTAGAATAGGCTCCATTTCTTTTAACTGAGATATAACAAGTAACGGCAATACCATCATAAATGAAAAATACTTTTATCAAATTATGTGAGAGAAAGATACACATTTTAAAAAAATCTGTAGTATTTAACTCCAAAAAATCACTAGCTACAAACTAAATAAAAAATCACCTAAATCTGATCCATACAGCTGAAACCTTACCTTTTCTAATTCTTGGCTGTTAATTTCGTGTAACCAGCTGAGATGTTCATGAGCTTGTAAAAAATTCGCCAACTGTCCATGCTGAGAAATGGGCTGAGATAATAATTTGCCTCGCTTTCCTTTCTCCAGATACCAACGGAAGAGAAAGTCTGAAAAATTCTGTAAAGAACAAAGCAAGAATCCAACAGTATTTAGTAATACAGTTTCAAAAAACACATTTCTGATGAAAAAGCATTAAGTTTTTTCCCAAAGGTCTTAGACTCCAGCATGGAAATCCTGTTTTTAAACACCAAGTTCCTAATTGTAGGGTCCTCAAATGACTTCATCTGACAAAGGAAGACATTCAGATTCAGAATGGGGATCTTGCTAAATATCACCCAGAATCTAGATGTGCTCTGTCCAATATGGTAGTCAGTGCTCACATGCAGCTGTTTAAACTTGATCTAAAATGCAAAAATCAATTCCTCAGAGACATCAGTCACATTTCAAGTACTCAAAAGGCCATCTGTGGCCGGAGACTCCCATTTTGGACCGCACACATGAACAAGATCTCATTACCAGGAAGGTCTACTGGACACTGCTGGGACTCCATCCTTCCAGGATGAAAGATTCCAGGGTAGAACTGTGTGCCAGGCATTGATGTGACTGGCATGATAAATCAGAATTTAGCAAGGCTCCAACTGCCCAGGCAATTTCCCTTTCAGGGCATTTGCTGGATCTGGTAGTAGAGTAAGAGGTTGGGCTGGAAAGGAAGACAAGTGTCCTGCAGGCTCACACATTACTTATGAGATGCTTCCACAAAAGGGGGAATTCTACAACGAACCACCAGTCCCATTAGACATTTGAAACCAATTAATTCATTGGAATGGATGAATGTAACAGAGGCAGCAATCAAGCCCTGGCCTACCTCTATTCTTGATGAATTGAGTGATCTGCCTTTCATTTTATCTGCCTTCCAGGGGGAAAAACCAGTACTAATTTCCATCTTTATGGTTCACATACACAAAGTCCAAAATACAACTTAAAAATTGTTAGATATAGGAAGCAGAAAAATATGAATATGTAGATAACAGAAGCAAACTTAAGAACGATCATTTTGGAATTAGCACAAAAGGACTTTAACTAGTAAACAAATTTTTTTTTTAAAAAGTAAAAGAAACAAAGTAGAATGCATGGAAAATGTCAACAGAGAATAAGAATCCTTAAAAAGAATACAAATTATGATAAGCACAAAGTACTTACTTTAGCACTATTATGAAATACAAGATAAGTCAGGTCCAGAAATCAGGTAGTGATCAAATAAGTTATATCCAGTCTACGAAATACTATAACACCATTTAAAATGTGGTTGTGTGATATTCAATGATATGGACAAATGTCTGTTATGTATTAAGTGAAATAAGCAGTTAATAAAACATGCTTCATAGATTAAAAAGACTATAAACCAAATGTTTAAAAAAGATTTCTCTCTGGTGGCAGAATTATGAATGATTTTTTATCTTCTTTTTTCTTTATGGTGGTTTCCTGAATTTTATACAATGTTATGTTTATAAAAAATCAGTTTTTACATAAAGATCAACTGGCTAAATAAACTGGCTTTAAGGAACAACTTAAATTTATATAGTGTCATAATGGGAACTTAAAAAAAATATATTAGAAATTTAAAGAAAAAGGAAGCATGATGTCAAAGAAGGAAAACAAGAGTCTTAGGTAAACAGGAATTTGAGCTCTCTTAACAGTAGCATCCTATGCTCCCAAGATCGTCCATTCAAACTGTGGAACTCTACCAATATTACTACACCTAAGTACTTTGAAAATATAAAAATAGAAATAAAAGTCTTGACATATTTTTCAAAGGTCAAAGAATCCTTCTGTAATATTTATATATAAAAAATTGTCTGACAATTTACAAAGAAACATAATGTACAAATTAGTATCCAGTAAACTGCAAAAGGACTGCATCACCTTCCAAAAACTCCAAGTAAGAACTTCCCTGGTGGTACTATGGATGAGAATCTGCCTGCCAGTGCAGGGGGTATGGGTTCGATCTCTTGATTTGTGAAGATTCCACATGCCATGAATCAACTAAGCCCAAGTGTCACAACTGAGCCTGTGCTCTAGGGCCCAAAACCTGCAACTACTGAAGCCCGTGTGCCTAGGGTCTGTGCTCTGCGAGAAGAGAAGCCACTGCAAGGAGACACCACAGGCTGCAACCAAGAGTAGCTCCCACTCACTGCAGCTGGAGAAAGCCTGTATGCAGCAACCGAGACCCAGTGCAACCAAAAATAAATAATTAATAAAATTACACATATTAAAAAAAAAAAACTAAGTAAGATGTAAAATGGTAAAGCCTTCTTACAGGATCCACTGCCTATACCCCTGTGCTCATTACCTGATCAGCAAACTGGGTCATGTAGCGCTGCAGTCTGGTCTGGTTGTCAGTCTGCTCACACATTTGTACCAAGATATCAAAGTCACAGTATTTTTCTGCCAATGAAGCAGCCCATGGGTACTGGCCTAGTGTGACTGTGGGAATGAGAACAGATGGAAAAAAAATCCTGTTAGCGAAAACTTAGTACGTAATAAAAAATAATATTCCTTGAAATTTTGCCTTTATTCCTGTTACATACTAAAAGTAATTAATGGAAAGCTTTCTAGTTACTGGCACTTAGTTTCATAATCCATATAAACTCATTAAAGATGTATATTCAGCCCTTCCTTCATCACTGCCCACCTAAGATGCTACTCCCCTGCTTCACGGAGCAAGACAAGCTCCTCCTCCGAGTCTTGGCTGGGACAGTCTGGCTGCATCCTCTGCTGCAGCCTCATCACCCATCCACACCCTCGAATGGCCCTCATCTGCTCTGCCCCGTGGTCGAGCCATCCCTATGAAGGTCTCAGACCGTAACAAGTTCTTTGAGGGCAGTCTCCACACACGGATAATTTACTCCTTTGTAAATCATCTTCAGCATTGTGTAGGATACTTTTACCAGGAAGTAATGACAATAAGGCCGAAGAGATGAACACAGAAAGCCATACATATGAAGAGTTGCTTAAGTTCTGACCTACAACTGGGTTAACAATGTTGTATTGAAAACCACTGCCTGAATGATCTGACTCCTCCATTCATTCTGTAGACTCAAAGACCCACAGCCCTCACTATTAAATATCATGCACTTACGAAGCGGAGATAAGAGATCTGATCTTTTCTGTAGATATTCCATTTCCAGATTGCTATATCTTTCTTGATCATTGGATTTGTCCACAGACTTGAGCTGAGAAACATAACCATCCAGGAAGCCATCAATCAGTGCTACTAAATGCTCTGTTAGAACGTTTCGGAGGTTGCTGTCTGCCTGAGGATAAACCATCTTCAGGACAGTCCTATGCTGGCGCACTATTGCTGTTCGGATGCCAGCAGGACCGCTGGTTGCTGTGAAATCACACAAAATAAAAGGACAAGTAAGGGTTCCATAATGGCTACAGAGAAGACCAAGTGCCTAAAAATTACATCCTGTCACCTTTGATAGAAAAAGAAATCAAACAGGGGGTCAGTAAACACTTGTCTATGTACTGCTCAAAACCATCTTCTCTATGGAGGCGGCCTCGGCAAAGTCAAGTAAACCTGACTCTTCTTCCTTCTAAATTCCTTTAAAGCTACTCCACTTACTTCTGTGTGTTAAATCAACATAAAATATAGTCACTACTTTCAGGGCCTGCTTCTATGAATAACTATACATACTAAAACCTAGTAGATGCACAAGTATCAGTTAAAAAATTAAGCTATAGAGACAGCTGCAAATTATTTCAAAGGAATAAAGTGATTTTTTATAAGAACTGCTCATTTTGGAGATGTCACATATTATTTTTTATTTCACTTACAAACTTGTACTAGGAGAATAATATGACTTCCTAAAATATATTATTATTATTAATAATATATTAATATAATATTAATAATATATTAATATATTATTATTTCTAATAATATATTAGAAATATATTTTGGGACATCCTAGTGGTTAAGAATTCACCTGCTAAAGCAGGGACACAGGTTCAATTCCTGGTCTAGGAAGATTCCACATGCCACAGAGCAACAGCCCACGTGCCACTACCACTAAGCCCACATGCGGCAGCTGCTGAAGCCTGTGCACCTAGAGCCCGTGCTCCACAACAGGAGAAGCCAGTAAACAGCAATGGGGAGCTCTGCTCGCCACAACCGAGAAGAGCCCTGTGTCCTTGTGTGCAACAAAGAACCAGTGCAACCAAAAAAAAAGAAAAACATATATAAACTGAACAACTGCTAATGAATCCGAAAACTGGGATCAGTGCTTGCAATCTCACCTGTCCATGGAACATACTCAGGTTCTTTATCCCCTGGCTCTTCTCTTTTATACAAGGAGTTTCTATTTTGTCGATAGTGACTAGCAGCTTGCAGCATGTCCTGGAAAATGAAATGTATTATCACATGCAGGAAATGAGGGATCCCAGGATCTCTGAGATTATCTGAAACATCAACTCGTATTATTACAAAACATTACTCAGCACAGGCCTGTAGGATTACTTTTTGATTCTTTCTGCATTTGAAATTTGTTTTACTCCACAATCTAACTTCAATTATAGAAAATTATGGTAACCAAAGTAGGAAAATCATCACCATAATGTCCATGAGGTAAAATTAAATGGAATGTTTTAAGTAAGCTTTTGAGTAATTAAAAAAGAGAAACTTATTTGCTGTTGCTCAGCTGCTAAGTGGTGTCTGACAATTATTTAGATAATTACAATAAAATTGATACATTTACAATGATATATATGTCCTTCTCCAAAATAAAAGGCTTATTCTACCAAACAGAAACTTTTAATATGCAAAAGGCACATACTCAAAATGTCTGCTGACTGACTGATAAAATTACTGATGTTTTCCTAACTTTTTGGAATTAACTAACGGCTAACCCATTATGGATTGTTGGTGATGCACAGTAGGAATATGGAAACCACTTTCTCCTCTGTCCACGGTCTGGGCTTTGACTTGCTAGAATCTTCATATGTTTGTACCTTGAGAATATTGTTCACATTGATCACCACTTCCGCCCACTCAACTGATTCCATGGATGTGTCCTTCAAGACTTGTTCCTCATGCTCCAGTAAACACTCACAGATGGTATCTACCTGGGACACCTGCAGAGGACACAGACCGCACCCACTAGTAAGAGAAATCATGCTGACAGGTGACAATCACAATGGCCTGGAGTCAACCCAGCAGGCTTTTTTCACTAAGTTACATCCTCTGCTTAGTAGTCAGGGGTGTAGTCAGTGACAAAAACAAATTTCAAAACCAAGGAAAGCTAGACTCTCCTAACTTTTAAAAGGTAGTGAGCCCAAATAACAGTCTGATAAATAAGCAAATTCTGAACTGTTAGCAGGTAGACTTATTTAAATATCAAGTAACTGAAATATTTGTTTATTAGAGTTATGAAGGCTCAATGCCACCTTTAAATAGTATTAGGTTACAAATAATGTCACATTACAATGTAAGACACTAAACTATTGAATTAAACAAATGAACCAACGGATTAAAATAGTGATTCAACTGGCTAATGAACTGGCTAATTTCTTTCTTTGAGGAATTTACTTTCTTTAGACATAATAGAAATGTTTGTAGAATAGTAGTAGCATAGAAACTAAATATATAACGTGTAACTGTTCTTTTTTTTTTTAACATTATTAACACATATTAACACATAAAGGTAACTGAGGAAAAATGTTAAGCAGGGAAACATTTGCTTCCAGTTTCAGCTCACAGTTAAGCTTTCACTCCCCTTTATTTATCAAGTGGATATCTGCTTGGTAGTTAGAGTTGGCATAGCATTGGGCACGCAAAGATAATAAGAAGAAATGGAAATCAGATTCGCTGCCCTCAAAGAGCTTACTAACCAGCTGAAGGAACAAGACAAACACATGCACAATGCAGCCCAAATAAAATCACTATCTTGCAAATCTTATTCTTCCTTTAGTGTTTCTGATGTCACTCAAAGTCATCCTAACAGCCTGAGCAAGACACCTCTGGCACACTGAATTTGTGAGAGTTTTTTACACTGTTACTGTGAGAAAGATAATGAAAGCAAATGTGACATAAAGGCAGAAAGTAACATAAAAGCAAATAAAATGCCAAAACATTTGCTAAATACCCTATCACATGTTACATGTTCAGTGGTTTCAAACACTGCTCATAAGCTGTACCAACACAGTTGGAAGGCCTGTTCTGAAGCTGTGAACCCGCTTTTTAAAGCCCCAGGAGGTGTGGGGCCCCTTCCCAGACTGGAGGCAAGGTGGAGGGTGCATCTTCAAGCAGCGTCTGCATTATTTTATCTTTTACCTGGACTGCAAGATCACATTGCCCACCAATTAGAGCCTGACTTGGGTTAACCAGTCTCTTAAAATGCTAATACCTGTTTGTAATGTAATTTAGCACTTCCAAGTGGATGGACAGGTAAAAAGAAAAAAACTTGATACATAGTAAACTTATGTGTTCCTTCTTCAGTTCTCTTGAATTCTCTTTTTTTGTTATGATTATGCCTTGTGGGAGGACCTTTAGAACTTTACCCAAAGACCAGTAAATCCAAAGAGAAGTGAAGATAAATGGTAATGTAAACAATCTTAACTACTATCATTTTCTACAGGGAGCGCTCTTTTGAGAAAGAAATCATATTTTAGTTTTTTTCTCCTGTCACGTCCTACGCTGCTACTCATCGATTATGCATCCATCTAACCGATAAGTCTCAGACTCTTAGTTTTTTTCCCAGTTAACTGGGAAATGTACACACACTCAATTAACCAGTAAGTTCTGCATTTTGATCTAAAAGTAGAAAAAGGAATCAGGCTCTTACTCAATTCAATCTGTCATTAATCATGAAAAAAAAACAACCCTTTGTTTTATCATGTAAAATTATGTATGAATAAAGACAAAAAGGTGGAGAAGGAAATGGCAACCCACTCCAGTATTCTTGCCTGGAGAATCCCATGGATGGAGGAACCTGGTGGGCTACAGTCTGGGGTTGGACATGACTGAAGCAACTTAACACATAGCACATCCTAGATGTTAGCATTGATTACCAAAGCTTAATTTCCATTTTCTATAGTTCAAAATCTTAAAATCCAGGGGATTAAATTATTTAATTTAAATTATTTTACTTCCGTTTACTTTCTCTGGTGACAATTCCGTCATGCCTTAAATAGGAAGATGTCCAATTCTGGCTAATTTACCACTGTTATGCTTCTCTTATCCAAGTCCACCTAAATAGTGCTGTCCCTTCAGAATATTATGAACATAAGTGATCTGATAATTTGATGAATTACTGAGTGCACCTTCCCAATAAAACAGAAACTGGTCAGGCGCACTGTTTCTGCCTGACCTGAGCTGAACTATGCCCACAAGCCACTCTCCCTCCCCTCACAACTGAAGATCTGGGCAAATGCACCAACCCTGCCATGTGGCGAAGGCAGGAAAGGACAATTAGGACATTGTATCTGGAGGACAAATCAACCTTCTCCTGTCCCATCCTCAGTGGGGTGTGAGCAGCAGTTACGGGACATGTGATGTCCTGTGATGCCACAGGACCCGGAACTACCCTCCTCTTTGGTGATTATACTTTAAAAAATGACCTTGTTTTGTGTATTTTTTCTGTAACATATTTTCAGTGCATCTTTTTCCTTATTAAATCCAATATTCAAATAAAATGGTGAACATGGGGAAAAAAAGACAAAAAGGGACACAAAAAATGACAATAGTTTGGTTAGATAATGAAATCTGAGGTGAATTGTCTTTCTTTAATTCAGATTTCAGGCATACTTCCTTGATTAAAAAACAAAATAAAACAGAAAAGTGTTTTGCCTTACATTCCCTACAAAACAAACCCAAATATATAAAAATGATGTCTTCTTCAAACTAGATACATTTATGGAGTCAACAGATCTGAACATAGTTCAGTGTCAAATTATTTTCAGGTTACAGTACATCAAATATTTAGAACAAAAGAGACTCTTGGCAGAGGCTACTAGTTGCTAGATTATAGCTAAATTGTAGGAGCAAGGAAACAAAATTAGAAGCATCAAACAGAGAAGTTTCCCAAATGCAAAAAACAATTCCACATTCCACAGAGTTGGGGGAAGGCTAGCACTGTTTCTAAACTCAGGTAATGCCACAAAGGTAGGAGGGGCAGTTCCAGGGAAGGACTATGAACTCCAGAAGCAACCTATTAGCATGCCCAAAACAATGCTGCAGGTGGCTCCGAGCAGGGTCTGTGGTCCCCACTGAGACAAGTGGCCCTTGGGTCATGGTATGAGTGCTTACTCATGGAGACGGGAAGGCTGCCCCGTCCTTCACAAGGCTGCGAGGGGTCACTCAGGCACCAGAGCTGTGGGCTGATTTCCAGCACTTTCATCTCTTCTCCCTCCCAAGTTTACAGTAGGTTTTCCTTTTCTCTGAAAATAAATCTGACTTTAAAATTGAAGTGGAAAAAATAAAAAATAAAAGTGAAGTGGAGGGCCTTCCCAGGTGGCGCAGTGGTTAAGACTTCGCCTGCCAATGGAAGGGACAAGGTCGATCCCTGGTCCAGGAGGATTCCACATGCCATGGGGCAACTACTGAAGCCCTCGCTCCTAGCAGCTGTGCTCCACAACAAGAAAAACCTCACACACAGCAATGAAGACTCAGCACAGTAAAAAATAAATTAAAAAATTTAAAAAAAGATGCAGAGCAGGATCCTAGCAGGCAGCCGAGAAGAGTTTAGAGAAGGGACTGTCTACGAAGCTGTGGGCAAGAGTAAGTGCACCAGCCTCGGGCTACAATCGGGGGGAGCCACGGCTGGCTCCAGGCCTGGAGGGGCGCTGGGGTGGAGCAGCTGCTGGACGTACACAGAGGGCAGCCCAAGAGGAGGCCATCCAACAGCAGGCACAGCAGACAGGCAGACGCAGCAAGGGAGGAAGGTGGGGACAAGGCTCCACCACAGACCAACAGGAACAGAGGGGCCGGGGAGCCCACTGTGGAGATGTCCCCCAGGGAGACAAGAGGGCTGTGGAGAAGCACGAGGAAACATCAGACACGTCGTCAGCTTCCCAAGCTCTCACTTACAGGGAGTGATCAGTGAGTGACGCTTCTGAGTGATAATTTACCCAGAAAACATGGAGTTCAACACAAAACTCAACGAGATCTTCTGTCCTCAGCGCTCTCCTTGCTGGGGGTCCATTCAGTAAATGGCAGTGCTCCAGAGTCACGCTAAGGGGAGGGCGCTCAGCTCACCTCTCTGAAGAAGACATCTGCGGGGGTCAGGCTGGACGGGACGTCACAGTCCCTCTTGTTCAAAGCCATCAGGATCGCTGTGTTCATGAGGTCAGGAAGCCTCGAGTGGTGGTTCTTGAGGATGATGGCGGCAGCCAGCTTCTCGGCATGCTCACAGAGCAGCAGCCGTGTGGCCATCGGCGTCCCTCTCACTGGAAAAGTGCCGAGGCGTCTAAAGAGGCCGACCTTGTGGAAAGACGAACACGTGTTCTTAGAGAGCATTCAAAGTAAAACACAGGAGGATGCCATCGTATCTCCACCAGAAGCACACTGGGCACAGAGAGGCTGACCCCAGTCTTCCCCAGAAAGATCTCCGGCTGCTGTCTTTGAGGCTGTTACACACACAGGCACACACACAACCAGCCAGGGCAACTTACACCTGTAAGGAAGTATAGGTGCTTCTTTTCTAAGATTACAGTGACCCCAGAGATTCTGTCAACTACTGTTGTCTCTGCCTTACTCCTCAAATTATTGTTTATGGATATCAAAGAATTGTAAAACTGTTCTTTTCTACCTACATTAATCAACCTCCCCTCAACTCCAGACCTTTGGAACTAGAAACTCAGCAGTCTTCAAGTTCCAGAACGCTGAAGCCAGGGGGAGGATGGGGTCTCTAACCCTCTGCATCAGCTGCCTCTTTACTTGATGCCCATTTCTGCCTCGAGAGGGAGAGTTTATATTTAAAACTATTTCTGTAGATACAAGTATGTAGTTGTACATTTTCCCTGATCACTAATGCAAATCTTTCAATGAAATAAGCTCGAAATATTAAAGGAAATATAGAGGCATAGGCAGAGTGGGACTTTTAGATCTGGATAGACATTCCTTTGCAAGACACTGCTGCCAGCCGCTGTGTGACTCCACAAGGTCTGAGTCCAGGGAGGCTGTGACAAGAGATGCTGCAACAGCTCCAGCTCCACGGCTCCCACCCCCCAGGAACTACGCGTTCCCTTAGGGTGGCGTGTGAGGGCCACGGACTCTCCCATCCCAACAAGCCCACCCTCTGGCAACATGACCTTGCCACTTCTCCCATCTAGAAGCAGAATCAATTTCCCAATCCCTTTCATCTGGCCTAGCCTTGTGACTTATTTCAATCAACGGCACTTTGGTGGAAATGACAATATGTGATGTCTGAAGCCTACAGCCTTAAGTTCGCCTCCTCAGAGTGCTCCCTGGAGGAGAGCACTGGCATAGGAGGCCAGTCCAGCCGAGAGGAGGATGAGACTAGGTAGGGGGGAACCAAGAGGCCCCAGCAGATTGGAGAGCACTGCCTGCCAGTCAGGCAAGACACCCGGGGATGTGCCAGCTCAGCCAGCCAACCCCAAATGTGGTTCAAGGAGGGGGCCCAGGGGAAGTCAGCAGGACTACCCGTCAAACCCACTGAGTTGTTTCAACTTAGTACATCCTAGGGTGTTTGTTTTGTATTAATAGTTAAGTGATACACTTAATAATTACATCAGGAGAAAATGTGTTTTTTCCCTATTGATCTGTAGCCCACCTAAAATACTAAGAAAAGGAAGAACTCAATGAATAAATAAAGTTGTCTTGTCACAACAATAAGAGTAGACAGGAGCCAAGCCGTGCATTAAAATTGAAGCAGTATGCAGGATTAGAAACCACCAAGACATTTCTGGAATAGTCTAGAATCACACTGTCCAAAAAGGTAGCCACTATCCAACAAAGTGGTGACTGAAATGTTAGTCAATTAAAAAAAAAAAAACTTCAGTCCCTCAGCTGCAGCAGCAATTCCAGTTCCTCAGCAGTTGCTGGGGACGGAGGCTGCCAGGCTGGGCAGCCGGGACACAGGCCAGTCTACCGCCACAGACTGCTCTGTTACACGGCACTGGCTTCAGTCTTTTTAACAGAGGCATTTCTAACTTGGGAGAAAAACACAGAAAATGGGAATAATCTAATTCCTCTGGATTATGCCTGGGATAAAACTGATCAACAAGGCAAGGATGGGTGATTTTATGTAACAACTTTGTCTAGCAACAAAAACACTGTCTAATTTTAGGCATGATATAAATGGGAATTTCCTTATCCCTTAAAAAAAAAGGGATACTTTAAATGAGTACTTGATGCTAATGGCACGGCGAAATTAAACATCTACATATTAGAAAAACCTGTCATCACCTTCAGAGTCTTCACTGTCTAATGATACAAAATCAACTCAGGAAAACCTAAGTTTTAAAAAGTACACAGTACATCTGAATGAAAAGCAGGGTGTTACAAAATGTAACAAGAAAAGTTAAAATTACATTTTTGCTGCTGAGGCTTTGATAAAATTCACACCACAGTTATTCAAAAATCTACACAAAAGGGAAGAACTGGCCTTTCCATGTAATTATTAATTACACTACCCAAGAGGTTCAAAATTTACAGGAAACCTTTGGGGCTTTGATAAAATTCACACCACAGTTATTCAAAACACAAATATATTACTACTAGCTTCATCACTTCGTATCATTCTAAGCCTGACAGTTCAAAACAGTCAAAGAAAGAAGGTGAACACTGCTGTTTCCTTCCCAAGTCTCCAAGGAGCCTATTACTACTTGCTAGGTAGGAAATTAGGGAGAGAAAGGATGCTTGAGACAGTCCCATGGTCCTTGGGAACCACCCTAGCCCAATGCTGCCTGGAGGGTAAGAGAAACAATCAGGAGAAGACCCAGGGCAGAGAGGAGAACACGTGCGTGCGCACTTCTAGAGGCCGAGGTTTGATCACTGCTGCTGTTAGAAAAACATAATTTCTACTGGCCATCCTGTTACACTAAAATTATCATTTAATTTGGGGCTAGTAAGTGCCAAATGTTTACCTATGCCAGCAGTTTCCTTTTAGAAATAAAATGCTGACATGTAGGATTTGCTCCAATGTTTCCTCGGTTTCTGTTCTACTATGCAGACCTGTTCTGAGCCCTTTCTGTGTGTGTGTGTGTGGGTGTATGTGTGTGTGTAAGTAAAATAGATGAGGTAGGGTTTTTGTTGTTGCTGTTCCTTATTTTGGGTGTGCTGCAAGGCTGGCAGGATCTCAGTTCCCTGACCAGGGACTCAATAAGGCCATGAGTGAATGCTCTTGAACCCTAACCACTAGACCACCAGGGAACTACCTGCACTGAGCCCTTTTAAAAATCTGCTATAAGGAAAGTTACAACCTTTCACAAAATACTGAATTAATACTAAACAGTTTCAGAAAATAAAAAAATATGCACCAAGAAATGCTTGAACAAAAGAACCAAAATATTCTTGTCGCAACAGACCTCCCTGTAGCACTACACTTCGGATGTGCTCACCCTCGGGCACAGACTCAGCCCAGCGCGGGTCAGAAGCCGGGTAGTCGTCCAGCAGGTCCACGCTGATTTGGGTGACAGCTCTGTCTAGCTCACAATCGGAGTCCAAATCAGCGTGAGAGCAAAACAGCTCATCAACTATCATCTGAGCATGACCTAAATCTTTCCTGAAATAAAATTAGAAAACAAAAGCATTACAACTCAAAGTACTAAATTCACCATGAAAGTTAATTGTGAAGCTAAAATCCCGTATGTTAGCCCAATGTTTATCACTTCTAATAACATTTATTTAAAAGGGAGACAACAATCATCCATTCCTTAATTCAACAAATACATGATGAACATCTACAATATGCAGGCTCTGGAGACAGGACAATAAACAAAGCATCAAAACCCCGCCCCACGACGTCACAAAGGCTACGGTGGCAGGAGGAGTGAGACAACGGCAGTGACGCGCACACACGGAAGCTAGCAGGAGGCCACGAGCACACAGAGGAGAAACAGGACCCACCAGGGGGCAGGGCCTTCTCGGAGGAGAAGGTGCGGGAGGCTGGGGGACTGCAGGAGGGACACACAGCAGCAGAGACAGATCCCCGCACACCTGTGTCAAGAGAAGTGAAGGCCTGGGGAATGGCGATCACCCAGAGAGGGAGAGGGGTCCAGGCAGACCTCCTAGGAATACCAGCAACTGAAGGACAGTGTACAGAAGGTCTCAGAAAACGTGACAGAGTGTGAACTCAGAAGGAAATGTGATCTGTTGTAGTGTTAAAAGATCATTCTAACTACGCTATGGAGATGGGAGATCAGACATGAGGGATAAAAATCCAGAGAGGAAGTTACTGCAGAAATTTATCCAGGCAAGAGAGGATAGGAATTTCCACCAGCAGGAGCTGCAGCAGAGAAGGAGACAAGTAGACAGGTTTGAGAAAGAGATACAAGAGGGAAATTCTGGCCACTGGTTAGATCTGACATGTAAAGATGAGTCTCAACAACTCAATGTGGCTGGAACATAGGCTGGGAAAGAAAGAATAATCTTTGGAGAAGACAAGCAGTTTCAAATGTGTTACAACGAGCTGCCTGTGGAACACACAACTGCTTTTGAACATTCATCATTATGTGTACCGGCCAAGAGCAAGGTAGATTTGTGTTTCTTCAGCAAATGAAGCCTGGGAAGGAGAAAAGATTGTGCAGGGAGTAGAGAGAGGAAAATATGGAAGACAATAGACAGTAACAACTGGAGACAGCTTCTCAGGTAGTTTAGCTATAAACAGGAGCAAACAAAAGAGATGCTAGCTCAAAGGGGGATACAAAGACCTGGTCTTTTTTAAAAATGGCATGTCAGAGATTCAGGACAGGATAACTAAGAGAGTACAGTCTCAAGGGAAGCAGGACCCAGTGGCACTCAGAACAAAGATGGAGACTGGCCTCAGGAAGAATACTTCTTCCTGCTCTCCAGGAAGGTAAGGAGGAAGAGGAGCTGGGACGCAGGTAAGCCTGTGCGTGCTAAGTACAGGGAGCTGTCTTAATGGCTTCTGTTATCTCTGTGGAACAGGAGGCTGAATCAACTGCTGGGGTGTGGCGGGATGGAAGGGTACAGGAGAGATGGGGACAGAGGAGGTGAAGAAAGGGTTGAAATGGTCTCTGGGCAGAACAGGAGACAGAGCTGATCAGAGAAACACAGAGGAACTGCCAAAAAGTGTTAAAGGCAAGGTTGAAGCTGGAAACCTAGCTGTGCTAGAGGTTACGGGGGATACAAAGTGTACTACAGCAAGACCACTCAGTAATGAGATATTTTACTCAAAGGACGAAGTTTCTTAAAATTCTCATGAACAAGATTTTATATTTATACTGAGTTCAGCAAAATGAAAATCAAAAGAAAATTAATTTCAAAGAAACCATAGTAAAAAAAGAGCAATATTACCTTCACAAAAAAACTAAACAATAGTTTAAAGTTCTACCCACCAACTTGGGCCCTATGAAAATAATTCTGGTTGTCACAGGCTGGGGAAAAAGGATGCTACCAGCATCAAAAGGGTAGGGGCCAGAGAGGCTGCTAAACACTCTACAATTCACAGGACAGCCCCACAACAAAAATTATCTGGCCTCAAAGGTCAATAGTGAGAAGACTGAGAAACACTGCTTTAAAGGTATCATAATTTCATTTGTGAAAGTCTTAATTTTTTAAAGACTATTAGATGATACCATCCCAGAAATGATTACTTGTTCACCTCATGGTACTTCATGCTAAACAGTATAAGTAGAAGGCACAGTTGTGTTAGAAGCTCAATAACACTAGTCCGAAGGTTACTATACTCTCAGCACTTAAGGTCATGGGCCCCTTCTGTACTTAATTATCTTCTCCAGTAAAACATTTAGAAATGACTATGCTGGCTGGAATGGTGTTTCCCCCAAAGCCAAGTACACTCAGAAACTCAGCATGTAACCTTCTTGGGATATGAGGTTTCTGAAGATGTGATCAGGTGAGTTACGGTGAGGTCACACTGGGTTAGGGTGGGCCCTAACTCCAATGACTGGTGTCGTTACCAGGACATGTGAGGACGGGAGCACAGGGAAGACAGCCACGGATGACACTGGCCACAACTGGAGGGGCGCAGACGCGGCCCAGACAGCCAGGGACCAGCGGCCACCAGAAGCCAGGGAGATGCAAGCAACAGTCCTGGCCCAGGGTCTCAGTGGGAGCTGGTTCTGCTGGTACCTTGATCTTGGACCCCAGGCCTCCAGACCTGTGACAGAATAGATTTCTATTGCTTTAAGCCACCCAGTTTGTGGCAATTTATTACAGCAGGCACAGGAAACTAGTATAATGACTCTGTTACCATATAAATGTTGAGATGTGACAAGACTGTCAGAATTGTTAATTAAAGTATAAAATTATACAAGATAAAATCATAGTATTAATCCAAACCTTGGCAGTCAGATTGAACACTATGAAATAAAACAAGATTAAAAGAATATTATATAAAAACAGAAACCGAAAGCTGATCTAATGGTGCCCTCCTCTGGACAAGAAACTAACTTCCATAGACCGTCACTACAATGGCCCAGAATTTTCAACATGTAAACGCACCGCCCCTTTCAAGCTGTGTGCCCCTTTGGTGAGAGGGAGGCTCCATGCACCAGACACCACTAGGAGTGGAATTACAGGACCATGAGCTAAGAGTGAGGAAAATGAAGGCAGTACAGTATGAATATCTCTTCAAAACAAAGATCTGCTGAACCAGAACTCCAGAAACGACAAGCGGTCTGTCCAGTCTCACACAGCTAACTAGGGGCAGAGCAAAGGCTGGATCACTATATTCCTGAGTGTTAATTCCAACATAGATAGAATGCACACCATTTCAGGAAGGTACCAGACACATACTATGCAGAATGTACATGGGGGACAAGCAGAGGTGACTGCACCCAGTCAGCAAGTGTGACAGAGCGAGTGCAGTTGTCTACCTCACCCTGTGCCTACCCTCTTGGGAGCGTCCTCCCCCGGACCTCGCCAGGGCTCCTGGGATATTAGCAAACATGACCAGATAGAGACTTGAGGGGCACTCATGCAGCAATGCTTGCTCTCTCCTGCTCCCAGAACCCTGAGGCTTGAGAGAGGCCAGGGTAGCCTGCTAGATGAAGAGACACTGGCCCCCAAAATGTGGGCAAGTGTAGCCAGACAGCTGGCTACTGATCACAGACCATGCACGAGCTCAGGCAGGACCAGGAAAACTGCTACCCCCAGCGTAACCCCAAACAGCCCAACTGCAGGACCAGGAGCTGTATTAAGTAAGCCAGTGAGTCCTGCGGTAACTGCAACAGTACAAAACTCGACCACCAGGCCAACACTTTACAACAGCTGGGATGACCTTCTGTATGCAACTTCACTGCCTTCACATCACACAGAACAGATGCTCACAAGCCACCGTACAACCACCATTTCTAGTGCTGCACTGCTGCAACTAGTGCAAGGGCTTGCTACATCATGTTCTTCCCAGCCTGGCTAGAATCCTCCCCTGGCGACCCAAATCAGAACAAGAGGCTGTCAAAGCACTAAGCTCAGAAAAACACCTCGGTGATGCCGTCATTCCTTCAACTCACTCCCACCAGTCAACAAATAAGCAGCAAATGTCAGTAAAGTGTCCTTGGACATTAAAGAGCCATAATTTAAAAAACTTGTTATACCTGCAGAATTGCAGAAAAGCAGCTTTGAGCAATTTGGTTTTATCTTCCTGGGCAATAGTTTCATTCTTGGTAGAAGTATCAAAAACCACACTCTGTAAAATAATAAACTATAGTTGAGTTGAAGGTATATAAGAATATTCTTAGTTACTGCAAAAAAAATTCAGACCAAGCTATGAGGAAAACAACACAGACACACAAGCTGTTTGCCATATTCTCTGTATCAATGACATATATACTTAAGACATTTACAGAAACATCAAATGATTAAAGTCCTACAGAACATGTACATATAGTTCAGGAATTATATTGTGAGTAAAATTATTTGGGGACTTCATCACAACACAACCTTTGGATAGGTTTACCCTTACATCACAGAGTATATTTCTCATCATAATGGTTGATTTCAAGCTTAAAGAAAAACTTAGAGAAATTTAAAAGAAATGGAATACTGTAAGATAGCTTCAGAACACATAGCAGGATTGTGAAAACTATATGATTACAAAAGAATGAAAGTTTTTTGAAAAGTTACTTTCTGTTCAAACTGTTACTAAATCATTTTCATTTTGAATTACACAAAAAGTCTATATACTTTACATATTCTTCAAACAGAAATTACCCAAAATAGTATTAATGCTTAAAAGAATGATAAAAATCTCACAGATCATGAGCTTCAAGATGACAGTGAAAAAAATGACAGTTTTTACCCTACTCTCCCCTCAAAAATCATCCCAGAATATCAAGAAGAAAAAGAGACTCAACCCCCCCACATCTGTGGTTCCAGCTACACAAAGAAGGAAAGCAGAGGGAAGAGCAGCAAGTGACAGAAGGGGAGGAGACCAGGCAAATGCAGGCGGTGTGCAGATGCTGAGGACAAGGAGCAGGGTGGTTCCAGGCAGACAGCAGGCTCAGGGTCTCTACACACACTGGGCAACGCTAGACAGAAAGACATCTACAGAGCTGCTGGAACGTGCTGGAAACTGAACCCGGCATCACACAAAAGTGAGCAAATATACAATTAGTCCACTCCAAGCATCACATGAAGTTGTACACTACATTAAAGAAATATAATCAGCATACTGTTTCACTATGGACTGTAAAACAACATTCACATTGTGATTAGAATGGAAAAAATGTATATTGGAATGATAAAGGCAAGGCAGAGCAGTGGAAGTTACCCCACGTCCTCATCCTCAATAACAGGAGGTCTACAGATGATGAAAAATAACAAATGAGAGACAGCAATATACACATATTACTTAGAAATATGGAGGAAAACACACCAAAAAACCCCTAAAAGACTTAAAAGTAGTTGCTTCTGAATAAGAGGACAAAGGAAACGAGAGAGATAAAAGAACTAAAGTCTTCATAACTCTTTTAAAACCATATGACTTTCAAACATTTGTGGGAAACAGCCCAGTAAAAATGTTTAAATCCTTTGTAACAGGCTTCCTTGGTAGCTCACTGGTAAAGTATCTGCCTGCAATGTAGGAGACATGGGTTTGATCCCTGGGTGGAGAAGATCCTCTGGAGAAGGAAATGGCAACCCACTCCAGTATTCTTGCCCAGGAAATCCCATGAACAGAGGAGCCTGGAGGGTCAGAGAGTCATAGGGTTGCAAAGAGTCTGACGTGACTTAGCAACTACACAACTACAACAAAATCAACTATATTTTTTTAAAAAATTATGAAACCACGTTACCTCATTGCCTGGTCCAGCAACTGAAGATGCTAGGGAATCTTCAAGATCTTCTGCTAATATGGACACATTTTCCCTTGAAGTAATAGACACCAATCCACTGTTTCTAGAAAAAAGGATAGGTATACCCCCACAGGAACCAGCTCCTAAAATACTGTCTCCTAAGAGAAAGGAAAATACGCAATCAAATACATATTACCAAACAATCCTCTCCTGAATCTACTTCCCCAAGCAGAAGAGCCCGCTGACGGCCCTTTACTGTGCTACTCCTACTCTGCACCCAGTTATGACCTTGCATCAAGTCAGGGCTCCCTGCTATCTGCAGAGGCAGGCTGAGTCCTCCATGGTGCTGTTCAAAAGCAGCGAGCACAGTGAGCCAAACAAGAACATCGGCCCTTCCGCAAGACACAGAGCGACAGCTCGTCAACCCTACTCGGACTCACCGAGTGAGCCAGCGGCAGGGCAAGGAAAAGGTCTAAGCTTGCCTGCAGCCGTAACAGCATCCCCCCCAGCCAGTCAAGGCTCTGGGGCTGGGGCCAGACAATCAAGGAGCCATGCTGCTGCTCACCTCGATTTTGTCCTTTGCCCCTTCAGATAAATACTATCTGCTTGTTTTTCCTACTCATGGTTGTCTCTCCCCCTCGGCCCCATAGCCCCCTTGCATGAGTCCAGTGCCTGGGACTCTTCTCACTCAGGGGTCTGAACAAACTTGTTTAAAGAATATCAACTCAGAATAAGTCACTCTTACTGACCAGGAAGAAGCAATTACTTCTCTGAGCATCAGTTCTCTCCTTCTGGGCCTCTTCTGGGGAAAATGCTACTATTTTATGTCTATAGTAAAATTCGGCTCTACCACCCGCCCCCACCCCAGTTTCTCAGCTACTGTAGGTATGGTGCTGAATTATCACAAGTATCAAGCTTGAAGCAAAGCTTATGGAAAGAGAACAAAAACTTCTCAGAATGACCAATGAGTTCCTAATCCTAGTTTCTAAAACTGATGACCTACCTTGTGCATTAAAAACAATTTTCTCCTGAGGAAGAGAAAACTTCCCAGTTCCTGTGGAGCACATGTAGACAGCACTTTCAGTATATAGACAGGCAGTCTGGTTTGAAAAGTTTGGGACCATCAACCGACATATAGTCAAGTCTTCAGACTGAAAATTAAAGATTATATTTAATAAGAATTGAAACAAAAAATACTTTTGTATGACTTCATAATTCACACTTTTGTACACTATCTCATAAAAATGACAAAGTAATTCACTGATTATCCTTGTGAAAATTACCTGACATGATTTACAAAACATGACAGACATAAGTTTATAAACATCAATTAGAGAAATCATTTGCTGAGTTGGAAATAACTAGCAAAGTTTGAAAATGTTTCCATGGTGGTAAGATTTCAACTAAAAAGCCTATTAACAAACATGAGAAAGAAAATAAAATTAGTTCATTATTTTAGAATTTAGAGATACTTTTAAAACAACCCCTGATAAATATTGCTTCTTTCTTCACTGTCCAGATATCAAGCACAAGAAAACTGAGTTAATTTGTTCATATATGAAATTAGAAACAGAAATAGAAATAAGACTTAGTAAGTCATAAAATTAACAAAAGCTCAAAAGGATACTTTGTTTATTAAAAGAATTTTACAAACATAAAAGTGGAATTCCATGATTTTTTAATTCTCAAATTGTCTTCTTTATCCCTTTTGCATTGTCTGAAAAAATTTTTAACACTGAGTGTACTTTTCTTGTATAATCAGAACACATAAGGTTTATTTTTGTTTGAAATGAAAGATCAAATTAAGATTTCCTTACAGTAGTCAGTTAGGCAAACTGTATTAAGAATAAGTTCAAAAGAATTAAATACTATACAAGGTTAAATGAAGTTAACCTTGTGTAGGCCTCTCCTAAATAACAGCAGTTATTAAACAATGTTAAATTGCTATCAAGAAGCTTAAAATTAGACAGCTTGTCTTTTTAAAAAATTTACTTATTTTTAATTGGAGGATGAATGCTTTACAATATTGTATTGGATTCTGCCATATATCAACATGAATCAGCCAGAGGTATACATATGCCCCCTCCCTCCCACCTCTCAGCCAATCCCACCGCTTTAGGCTGTCTCAGAGCATTTGCGGCCCCCTCCCTCCCACCTCTCAGCCAATCCCACCGCTTTAGGCTGTCTCAGAGCATTTGCGTTCCCTGTGTATGCAGCAAATTCCCACTGACTACCTGACTTTACATATGGTAATGTATATGCTTTAATGCTATTCTTTCAATTCGTTACCCAGCCCCGCCCTGTCCCCTCATGTCCGCAACTCTTGCCTTTTAACTATTCACATGAATTTTGATAAATATATAATGCGGTTACCTACAAAAGAAAATATAACCGTATTTGAGCAAAAAGAGGGTTTTTTTGTAATACACAACACTCAAAACCGAGGTCCAGTTCCCATCAAGTTTCTTCCTATTTTTCACTCTGTAGTTCATTGTCAATATTTTCTTTCTACTGAGTAATACAGAAATGAAAATCCCATCACAGAGCTACTGCAGGAGCAACATGCTGCTATCAAGGGCTCCCACTCTCACTTCTCTTTAGCTAAGGCTGAACAGAGGAATGAGTATGAGATGGCAAACAGAATGCAATGCCTAAAAACTAGCTATTTAAAATGTATTTCTGGGAACTCCCTGGTGGTCCAGTGTGGACTAGGACTCTGCTTTAACTGCTGAGGGCCCGAGTTCAATCTATGGTCAGGGGACTAAAACCCTGCAAGCGGCATGGCGTGGCTATTAATAATACATAAATAAAGGGATTTTATTTTAGAAAATGTATTTACATTTGACAGCACCAGGTTTTAGTTGGGGCATGTGGGATCTTTTATTGCAGCATGCAAACTCTCAGTTGCAGGATGAGGGATCTAGTTCCCTGACCAGGGATTGAACCCAGGCCCCCTGCATTGGGAGCACAGAGTCTTAGCCACTGGACCACCAAGAAAGTCCCCCAATAAAGAGATTTTTTAAAAATTAAATTAAACGTATTTCTAAGCCTTACAGATGAACATCTCAAAGAATCTGACCACGCAACTGTTAGGGAGAAAAAACTCAGCAAGTTACTGTCATTGGTCATTTAGCTTATAAATAGAAATCTTACCTGAAAAGGAGGGTTATACTGAGTGACTTCCACAGTCACTGAATCTGACATTTGGTAGCCATTATCTTCTACTGTTATCAGAGAGTAATAGACAAGGCAGGGGCTGTCGGCCATGTGCCATGCTGCTGCCAAAATTAGGAGCCCATCGCTAATCAATGAAAAAGAAAGATATACTGTCTCTTTGGAAAACAGTTTGGCAATTTCTTAAAGAGATAGACATGCATTTACCATATGACCTAGCAAGCCCAGTCCTAGGTATTTACCTAAGAGAAATAAAAACTTATCTTCACATAAAAACCTGTGTACAAATGTTTATAGTGACTTTACTCATAATTGCCTAAAAATGGAAACAACTCAGTATCCCTTCAACTGCTGAATAAACAAATCCTGGTAAAGCTACTCAGTAGTAAAAAGGAAGGAACCACTGAATGAATATCAAATTCATTATGCTAAGTGAAAGAAACCAGACTCCAAAGGCTTTATACTGTATGATGCCATCTACACTATAGGGACAGAAAAGACATCAATGGTTGCCAGCAGCTGGAAGTGAAGGAAGGGGTTGAAAAAGGAGTGTGTGCATACATACTCAGTCCTGTTTGACTCTTTGTGACCCTACAGACTATAACCCATCAGGTTCCTCTGTTCGTGGGATTTTCCAGGCAAGAATACTGCAGTGGGTTGCCATTTCCTCCTCCAGGGGATCTTCCCAGCTCAGGGATCAAACTTGTGTCTCCTGCATCTCCTGCACTGGCAGGTGGGGTTTTTTTTTTTTTTTTTAACCACTGAGCCACCCAGAAAGCCCCTGACAAAGGAGTACAAAGGAATTTTCGGAGTGATAGAATTGTTCTGTATCTTGATTGTGGTCGTAGTTAAATGACTATGCACTTGTCAAAACTCACCAAATTATACACTAAAAAGGGTACAAAATATTTACTGTATGTAAAATATAATTCAATAAATCTGACTTTAAAAGACCAACAAATCATCAAACATAGGGATTAGCAAAGTGCAGCTCTCAGGTCAAACTGACCACAGGTGAGTTTCCGTAAATGAATCTGTCCTGCAAGACGGCCATGCCCACTTGTCTGTGTGCTGTCTATGGATGCTTTAATGCTACCACTGGTAGAATAAAAGAGCTGCAACGAAGAACACATGGTCCCTAAAGCCTAAAAATATAGTTTTGGCCCCTTTACAGAAAAGGTTGCTAACCCCTGATCTAATCTGCTTTTTAAAGTTTACTTTTGTACAGAAGAAAAACATTTTGGTTTTATCTTTAATAACCAATCATAGAACTGTTACTGTATATTCAAGCTGCTGTATGTGAAAACAAACTTTTTTCCATCTTAAAAATGTATGTGGTCCTCTTAAATCTAGCAAAGTTGTTGCCCCCAACGTAAAAAAAAATTAAATGGTCTCTAACCTCAACTCCTAAAACATTTAGTAGCATTTTTATCAACTTTCATTCAAGTTTCAGAAATATTAACAGGATGGCAAGCACTCTCTACTGACAACTAAAAATAATAAAGCAAGCTGCTGACTAGATGACATGCACCTCAAATCCAGCAGTCCTGATACAGCTCTCATTTTCCTTCTCCACTGTTTCCTTTCCCCAGCTCTTATCACTTCTACCTGAACTCCCTCGAAAACTTCAAGGACACTGGTCCAAATGGGAACATACTGGCAGTGACCTAAACAGCTCCTGGATGAGAGCTAAGCGGGCAGTGAGTGAGGCCCCAGAGAACACAGTAGAGAGGCAGAGACGGCCATGCTGTGGTGAGTCAGCCGAAGTCACTCCACAGACTGGACTGCCGTGTGGCGAGAGGCGCCAGTGAGGCCCAGAGACACAGCTAATAAAGAACTCCTCAGGAAGCGGTGCTTAGATCAGCTTCATTTGACATCTTTACAAAAAAAAATCTTCATGATTAAAATAACATGAAGCTATTTTGGGTAGTAAAGATGATAGAAAGATAATTAATTTTGCAAATCAGTAAAAACTTGAACAGTTGATCAAGGAAGAGAAACAAGCATCAGGGAGACATATGCTTCTCAAACAGAAGACACCTGTCCAGACATGGAACAGTCTACAAGGATCAGTGGAACTTGAGGACACAGTGAGGGGTGACTGGATCGTTTGGAGCACTGGTGGGAGGGGCCAAGGAGGAGGATGAGAGCTGCATCTCACCGGCCCCACGAGAATCAAGTCCTGCTGGCATGGCAGCATTCTGGGTCTGCCTCAGCACAGCAAGTCCTAAGCATGCGTCTCTGTGCTCAACCTGTGTCTCCATTCTGAAAATTACATGTGAAAAAATGTCACATCCTCTTCCCCACAGTTGGCTGCGTCCTGACACCAGTTCTAAACTTATGACGGAGGTCCAGTAAAGATAAATTAAAACAAGATACACTGTATTTAATTAAAATGTTTTTGGAAATTAAGCATATACATTATTTTTACTTGATACTTTACATACAAGTTTTTCAGAAATTATAAAGGATCCTGACAAGTCTCAACACTCCACGAGAGAAAAATTAAACAGCAGAAATGCAAACCAAGAAAAAAGTAGAATTTGTTTTACTAAACTACTCTAAAACATATAAAAATTGTCCTAACTTCCAGTAAGCTGTGTTTTAAAGAATTACAAATCATATGTTTGCACTCATTATAAACTCTATCACAGAAGCCCTATTATAAATGGCTTTTCAGTTCTATATGACCATAATATTAAAGCTAAACAATAACATGGGATTAAGTAGCTTTATCAGACTAACTTGAGATCTTAAGCACCACTAAGAGCATTGGTTCTAAGAGGAAATTCACTCTGAGTGACTCAGTCATAAACCATGACTGAGTTCTAACTTGTACTTTGAGTTCTAACTTCTAACTTTGCCAGGACAAAACCTCATGCATCCTTCCTTGATTTAATACAGCCACAAACTCAGGCTGAAGCTCCTTCAGCAACAAGAAAAGGACTGGAGAAGAGTCCCCAGAATTTCCACTGAGTCAGCAAAGAAAACAGCATGGCACACACCCAGCAGCGGGGCAGGCAGCTCTTGGACACTCTGGCCATGCGAGCAGAACAGATGATCCCTAACAAGGGCAGACAGCTAATGGGACATGCAGCAGAAGGCCAAAAACTGCCCACACTTCTGAAATGAATTAGCACTGCCAGACAGAACAAAGCAATTCAGGAAGGTGGATTAATAGAAGATTAAGGTTAGAGACAGAGAAGGCAATGGCACCCCACTCCAGTACTCTTGCCTGGAAAATCCCATGGATGGAGGAGCCTGGTGGGCTGCAGTCCATGGGGTCGCTAAGAGTCGGGCACGACTGAGTGACTTCACTTTCATGCATTGGAGAAGGAAATGGCAACCCACTCCAGTGTTCTTGCCTGAAGAATCCCAGGGACGGGGGAGCCTGGTGGGCTGCCATCTATGGGGTCTCACAGAGTTGGACACAACTGAGGCGACTTAGAGGCAGCAGCAGGGTTAGAGACATCAGAAGAACAGATAGCAAGGGTGCTTATTATTCTATAAAAAACATCAATCTGTTTTTTCCAAACAACTACCTATGTTTTTCATGACAAATGAATTGCTTACCAGTTTTGCTTCAAATCCAAATACCGAATGTTGACCCCTTCTTTAATAGCTTCATAGTTACTTTCAGATCCCTACATGAAAATATCAACAATGTAAGCTCCTTCAGTATAGGAATCATTTCTTTTCTATAAATAGACCCTGCACCTACTAAATTGCCTCATCCACAGTAAGTTAAACTTAATGAATGAATAATGTATGCATTTAAAAAATTAAGTAAACCAGTGGGTCCCAATACTTATAAAGATTGAATACTCCATCTCTGCTTATCTGACGGCTAAAACTTGGTGTGTTACACTGAAATGTGTTCTAATAAATACAACTAAAGGAACTAGCAATCTTATATGAATAAAAATGACAGAGATGAATGTTACTGTTCCTTACCCAGATAGCGTCAATAATGTTTTCCTTCAGGACTCTATTTATATCCCAGCTATGTGCTTGTTTTTCTGAAGAATCATCTAATTCCCATTTACTGATGTTTGAACTTGTCAGGCTATAAAAGCTCGCGCTCTCTCTATCCCAAAGGACACTTGAAAGCTGTATGGAGAGGAGAAAAAAGTTTATCGATTATTAAATTCTAATGTCAATGATGATTTTTCTGAAATTAAAAAATCATATATTTTATAGCTATTTGATTAGTAATCCTAGCAGAATTCTTCATTTTAGGATTCAAGGGAAGAAGTGATCCTGAAATAGACCTTGAGAGTAAGGAGGATTTTCACAGGCAGAAGGCCCAGGAAGAACAGAGTAGAAAGGCAGGAAAGTCAGAGGCTCTTTACAGAACAAAACAATCAGTCCTGCTAAACTGGAATGTGGATTATAGCTAAGAAAGAAGCAAAACTAAGGTTCACACACAGCACAGTCTTGAATGTGAGTTTGTAAACCAAGTAAGCGAGGGAGATAGTATTAATAGCTTGTGAGCACAAGAGCTGTGTTACAGGAGAAGGAATCTGGAGGGGTGTGTGTAGTTCCACATGGTTATATCACTTCATCTTCCTTGCTTCTGAAGAACACATCTAACCCAACTTAAAAACTGCATATACATGACTGCTGAACTAAAACCCTAATTGTCTCCACTTGTCCGGTCACCATGACTCAAATCTAGAGAACCTGGCAAATAATCTGCTCCATAAAGAGAGGGAGACACACACAGACACAACCAGGACTTTATACCTGGGTCTCTGAAAGAGGCGACAGTGCCATTAGAAATAGACAGCTCAAAAGAAAAATGAGATCTGTAAGTCAGTAGGAGAGAAGAGAACATGAGCAATTCTTTTCTAGACATGCTAAGGTTTAGGTTCAAAGAGCACTTGAGGAAGCAGATAATGAGAGCAGCCTGAAATCAGAAGAAAGAGCACAGTTTAACAAAGGATGTGCAGTGTTTAACATGGCCAATGCACAGCGCGGGATCTCTGCTCAGCGTCACGTGGCAGGCTGGGTGCAGGGGGAGTCTGGGGGAGAACGGACACCTGTGTATGTACGGCTGAGTCCTTTACTGTCCACCTGAAACGACCACAGCAGTTACTCAGCTGTACTCCTGTAAAATTCAATGCTTAAAAAAAAGTCGGGGCAGGGCCACGTGCTCTCAATTCACACAGATGTGGGCACTGCTGAGCAGTTTTCAACTTCGGGCAACTTTAGTAGCTCACTGAGGCCATTTCCTCATTTATTTAACAAATTGGACATGAAGCTCCATACATTACAGATCACAATAACAACAGGAGATAACACACACAGGGCACCTGGCAGAGCAGATGCCCCACATGTCAGTTCCCAGCATCTTCACCCACTATTCCAGAGCCTGAGGCAGAGCCCAGCAGCCACAGATCTGAGCCATCCACACAGACAGCTGGAGGCGCGGCGGTGGAAAGCACACTTTTGGTTACGTCTAGAAAGCAAAACTAATCCTTAAACACATTTATAATTTTACATCCTAGTTTTAATTCAAAAAATGAGCTTATAAGATAATCTATAAAACTTAAGAATAATTATTGTTACAGAGGATGCAAGAGGACTCATCTGATCATCATCATAAAAATGCTTCACTGATAGATCAAAGTTTTCATCTCATGTACACCACTGTTCATACAGTGGCAACGCTAGCTTCATAGGAGACTGCCAAATTACTGATTCCACTAAGAAACAAGCTGGTAAAACAAAGTTACTGTGTCAACTTACAATGAGATCACTACTAGGAGATAAAATTCCCAAAAGAGAAGAAACCTTCCGACCAATTCCTGAAAGCACGCCTTGTCCTTGAGGCAGGATATGCTGATGAATTTTTCCTATACTTTCAGGTATCAGGCGGATTAGTTGGCCCCCCGATGAGGATAAAATAAAACTTCCTCCCTGTGAACAAATGTTGTGAAATTAGTTCAGTTAAGCATTTAAGACTAAGAAAAGAAAATGAACACAAATCACTTTGATACACTTTGAGGGAAATCATCTGTACCTCAACATAAATCTAAAAGAATAAAAAATGAACAGTGCTACTTTTTAAAAATCATTTATTTATGAATCCATTCACTTAATACTACACAGAAAAACTTTGCAGCCATTTTTTTAATTGCATTTTTTTTTAATTCTGATTTTTAAGTTATAGGTTCACATTATGTAGGTGCAACAAATCAAGAATCAGATTTTATTTCTTTGGTAAACCAGGAGAATATGTATTAGCAAACCATTCCTCCTCTAAGTTGCTGAATCACTCTCTAAATATGTTTCTGACAGATACGAATACCACTGGCTACTGTGCTCCACTGATACGTCACAGTCCTATGAGAAGGGCTTCCCTCGGTCTAAGTGCTCAAATCCTAGATCCTTACATTCTTTCCTTTTCTCTTTTTTGATCTCCTCCCACCCCTACCTGTATGATCTGCTCAAAATCACAAATTCTTAGTCATTCAAACCTGATTTCCAAGCCAAATGACAGTTCTCCAATACATATAAAAGAACATCCATTGCATACCTGTACTGCTGTTAGGAAACTGCAGGTCTTATCGCCTCCCAGGTCTATGAGCGTCTCTGTGTAGGTGTCTTCGCCAGCAAGGCTTGGCCAGTAGCGGACAGATCCTTCTCTGGTGGCAGCCATGACAGCAACAGCCTCGAAACAAGATCACAACACTCAGCAAACACAAGAAAAGGAGCCCAAGGCGGCAGTCTGACGACACTGACATAAGAAACCAGGGCAATGCACTACTGATTAACAGAATCAGGGGAAAAAATTCCTTTTTTCCATATTTAAAAAATTATCATACAGTAAAACTTATACTTTCTCCTTCTGTTTTATAATTCTATGAATTTTTATACCCTGGTTTCTCTTCAGATCATACAAAATGTTTTGCTTTTTACAGTCCTATGAATTTTAAAACACGTGGTGGATCAGATGGTAAAGGATCTACCTGCAATGTGGGAAACCCAAGTTCAATCCCTGGGTTGGGAAGATCCCCTGGAGAAGGGAATGGCAACCCACTCCAGTATTCTTGCCTGGAGAATCCCACGGACAGAGGAGCCTGGTGGCTACAGTCCATTGGGGTCACAAAGAGTTAGATATGACTAAGTGACTAAAACTTTCACTTTTAGACTCAAGTCCCACCACAATAGGAATATAGGAGAGTACATCAGCACCAAAGCTCCGTAACACTTTCCCTTTGGTCACACCCTCCCTTACCCTCACCCCGGCAATCCCCATTTCCATCATTATGGTTCTTTCTGAGAATGCCAAACAAACGAAATCATATAGAATAGAACCCTCTGACAATGGTTTATCTCGTTTAGCACAATGCCTTTGAGATTCACCCATGTTGTTTCATGGATCAATAGTTCATGTCTTTTTGCTGCTGAGCAGTATTTCATCCTATGGAAGAATCAGTTTATTTATCCATTCACTTGCTAAAGGATATTCAGATTGTTTCCACCTTTGGCTATCATAAATAAAGGTGCTATGACATTAGTGTATTGTTGTGTGTGGGGGTGTGTGTGTGTCTGTGTGGGTATGTGAACATAAGCTTTAGTTTCTCTAAAATAAACAGCCAGGAATGGAATTTTTGGGTCATACGGCAAGGGCACTTTAACTCTCTAAGAAAGTGAAAATCAGTGTGGCTGCACCATTCTGCATGCCTGTCAGCAATGGATGAGGTTCCAGTTGCTCCACATCCTTACCAGCAGATGGCAGTGTCAGTTCTTTTAATTTCAGCCATTGTAGTAAGAGTGAACTGGCATCTCACTTGTTTTATTTGCATTCCCCTAATGACTAACGATGTGAATGTCTCTTCAGGGCTTGACATCCTTATATTCTCTTTGGTAAAGTGTTCAAGTCTTATGCCTTACTTTTTAAATTGGGTTGTTTTCTTACTAAGTTTTGAGAGTTCATTTTATGTTCTGGATACAAGTCTTTTATTGGATGTTTGATTTATAGTATTTCCTACCAATCTGTAGCTCTCTCTTCATTTTCTTCTCAGGGTCTTTGGCAGAGCCAAGTTTTAAATTTTGATTAAGTTCAATTTATCTATTTTTCTTCTTTTATGAGTCACATTTTTGGTGATTTCTAAGAACTCTTCAACTAATGCCATGTCATGATGATTTTTTTTCCTATTTTCTTCTAAAAGTTTTTAGTTTTACAATTTACATTTAGACCTATGATCCACTGCCGGTTCATCTTTACATGAGGTTTAGGAGGAATTTTTTTTTTCTTTCTAAAGATGGTCAATGATTCCAACACCATTTAGTGAGAAGACCATCCTCGCGTCACTGAATTTCTTCCGCGCCCCTGTCAGAGATCAGCACAGCATCTCTGTGTGGGTCTGTATGTGTACACTGTTCTGTCCCATTGCCCCGTGTGTCTACCTCTGCTGTTACCATTCCGTCTTGCTTCCTGCAGCTTTACAGCTATGGTTCAAAGCCCAACTAGGTGATCCCCCCAACTTGAGAACTCCCTTATCCTAAAAAAATGTGCTTCAGTAAGCATTTAAGTCACCCACCTGCGTGGAATGTGCTTCGCCGGAGGTAGTGGAGTAAGAGAGAGCCACCAAGTTGGCAGTACAGTGGAAGTCACTAGGTGGCAGCTGAAGTTCTTTGCAAACAGATAACTGTAAAACAAATCCAAACAAAAAATTTTTCATTTCAAATCCAATTTTTGAACATGCACCTGACTTCACTTTCTCTGCATACTTTAGATTCTAATTCACTGCTAGAAATACTATTCTAGAAATACTTTCTTCTCACATCTTTTTGATCAGGCTTCCATTGTCATTTTCACTAATTTTAAAACGAACTATTTTAAGAGATACAGAATCAGGAAAACTTAACAGCTAGACCAGACCCTTAACACAATCTCTTCCCAGACCAAAAAAAAGTCTATTGGTTGAAAGAACTGTGTAGACTTCCTATGGAATTTTCCTAGTCTAATCTTGATTTGTTGAGTTGACATATAAAGTTGGCTTGACTAGATTATGTATTCCAAGTAGCCTAGAAAATATTTCTGAGACTCAGCCAGAATCAGGCTCCCTCTGCTAACTCAGGATGCCCACCGGAGGACCTCTCCCTCACCTGTGCTCTTAACTACAGTCATGGTTTTCTAGACAGCAGGTGTACAGAGAGCAGTAGACACGAAGAGTTTAGGGAAGTTGGAGCCTGAGCCCCAGTGGAACGAAGGCCCAGTGGGCACAAGTACCGCAAGAGAGTACGCCTGATCTGGAGTGGACAGAAAGAGGCTGCTGAGAGTACAGCAGTGAACATCAAATGAAAGTCCCCATGTGAGAAGCTGACAATGAAGAGTTAAATTAGCATTGTAAAAATTGGTCTAATTTTTTCCTATTTTCTTACACATGGTTCAGTAGATTCAATGCAACACATAACTCTCCTCTTAGAGACTTAGTTCATTAGTTTATGTGGATGGCATTTAGTCTTAGACTTCACTGTGCAGAGGGACTAGTATGACATTCATTAAAAATGCCAATGTCTCGAACTTTATTAAATGTAAATAAAATATATCTTGTTTAAAATCATGATAAGGAGAGAAACTTTTTTCCCAATACATAAATGTGTATTCATGCTTGGTATTTCATATCACTATAAAAATGCAAATCTATAATGCTTGAGTCAATTGATATTACAGATTTCCAACAACTCTAAAAAGTTAGGGTAAAAATTAAGAGTCAATTAGGAATCTCCTCCTCTCTCTCCCTCCAGCTCTTTAAAGAATCATTACCTTAGTGATAGGTGACAGAGCAATCTTCCAAATAATGAGTTTCTCTTTGCAGACCAGACAAGCCCATCCACCTTCATCTATGTGAACAGTCAGCTGATCATCAACTAAAGAAAAAAACAAGGTACACAATTAATCTTACAGTATGAATTAAAACAGAAAATTTCTCATATCAAAATCCTCCTCACTGCCATACTCTTCACCCAAAAAAGTAACCACCACACACACAAGATTAACTCACGACAAAAAATACTCTTGAATAATTCAAGAGTTCTTAATATTCAAAATAAGAGATCCATTTAACTTTGACAACCACTCTTATAAATATATTGAAAGGTAAAACTATGTTCTGGTCTTAGGTTTAATATTTCTTATTTTTTGTTACAAACTTATCTCACTTTTTATAATATTTAGTAAAATTCATAAATTTTGATAAAGCAACACAAATACTAAACCCCCTCATTAAATACATAAAACATTTCAAGGAAAAATCATGTTCCTGCAAAAGAACAAGATTTTCAACGTGTTGCACATTCATTTTCTTTGAATGTGATGAATTACTTTATTATATGCTAACCTAAAGGGCTTAGGTTTCCTCGGCTTCACCTGTTGCTTCAGTTATTTGCAGACCACTGGGGCCTGAGATATTACATGAAAAAGTGTGGAAATAACACTTCCAAGTTTGTGATGAAACCCTGCAGTGTCCCACTGTCCTGATGGGGACGTGAATCATTCCTTTGTCCAGTCTACGGACGCTGTGCCCACCACCCATCCATTAGCCACTTAGTAGTAGTCTAAGTTATCAGAGCAACTGTCTTGGTGTTGCAGTCCTTGTGTTCAAGTAACCTTGTTTTACTAAAACAAGGCCACAAAGCAGAGAGAAGTGATGCGGCACTTTGGATATTCTCTTACTGTGCCTAACTGACAAGTTAAACTTAATCACAGGCAGGCATGTATAGGGAAAACATAGTATATACAGGGTTCAGTGCTATTCTGTTTCAGCCAACCCCTGGGGTCTTGGAACGTACGCCTGTGGCTAAGGGAAGACTACTCTATTGCTGCTCTAAGTGTTGCTGCTAAACCTGTGTAAATGCATTAACAGCCCTAGAAATTTAATCAATATGAGCTTTGCTCTTCATTTGAAGACAGGATAGAGAGCCAAATAAAAGGCACCAGTAAAGTACAAGCTGAAATATAAATATCAAATCATACCCAGGTTGAGTGTGGGCTTTTTGCTGAACTGGAATACCTGATTGGTACTTTCTTTCCCTAAAAGCACGGTGGCAGCTCCAAATCCTCCACTGGTGAACCCTTGAGGACCCTGACTCAGTACACCAACTGACTAGGGCTTGGAAATTTCCATGTGAGGATGAGATCGTCTCAAGTTTACAGAGTCTTCAGTTTTCACATCCTGATTTCTAGAAACTCTCTCCTCTGAGCCTCTGTACTATTTATTATTAACATGGTCTGATGGCATGAACCAGGAGTATGTCAAAGGCTTAAATGTAATTTAAGCTGAAATTTTTAGAAGGGAAAAGGAAATATATATATATTTAACCAGGAACAATGTAAGACAGAGGTTAGTAGAAGTTGAGTTGTCTGAAAATAATTGTACCTGAAGCTCCCATGGACTTATTGGTAAAATGTGCTAGTTCAAGTTGATGAGAAATATTCCTTTTTATGGAATGGAGTACTTTAAACTTTTTTGACTGTCATTCACAGTATGTAATACATTTTACAGCATGATGTAGTCATACACAATTTAAATAAAACAAAATGAGATACACTCGGACATTCTGCAATCTACTTTACTTCATTTTTTAAAAAAATGCTGGTCATGAACCACTAAAGTGATTTCAGTCACTACCTGCAGTTTGAAAAACACTGTTCCAGGAAATCAAAGGATGCTCTGAACTTTGCTCTTAGAGTCACCAAACTTCTCATCCTTCATGGCATCTTTCTGAAGCTCGTGTTGACCACACCTTCCACACTTCCACTCTAATTCTCTACCAGTGGGGCGTCTCTGGTGGTCCACTGGTTAAGAATCTGCCTTGCAATGTAAGGACACAGGTTCCATCCCTGGTTCTGGAAGATCCCACATGCTGCAGGGCAACTGAGCCCATGGGTCACCTCTTTGACTGCACTCTGGAGCCCATGCTCCACAACTACTGAAGCTAGTGTGCCCTAGAGCTTGTGCTTTGCAATAAGAGAGGCCACTGCACTTCAACTAGAGAGTAGCCTCTGCTCGCTGCTAAAGAAAGCCTGGGAGCAGCAATGAAGATCCAGAACGGCCAAAAATAAACAAGTATTTTAAACTAAATAAAAATAATAATTTTCTGCCAAGAGAATCTTCCAATGGTGCACAAAACTGGTAACATAAATTTGGCTGGCGTGGCAGCCCAGCCGGCACGGTGCAGAGCAGTCGGCCTGAGTGCTCAGCACAGCGAGGAGGGTCCCTTGGACACACTGCCTTCTGCTGCTGCTCAAACCAGGACAAACCTCCGCCCTTCTCACCTCTTCTACCTCCGTGCCGCCACTCCCAATGCGGGCAGCACACACCATGACAAAGAAAGGCAAGAAGTCCTTCGAACAGAGCCTGGCCAAGTGGAAGGTGTTCATCTACAACCTGACCACCAGAGAGTTCCTGGGGTGCACTGCTAAGAGCTTGGGTCTGATCTTGCTCTTCCACCTACTGTTTTACGGGTTCTTGGCTGCACTCTTTTCATGCACAATGTGTGCTATGCTTCAGATTCTGAACAATGAGATTCCAAAGGATCATGACCAGATTCCAAGTTCAAGACTTAAATGGTTTTTCCAAAACTAGTGATGGTATTGGATTTTTCACTCAGCATGTCTAATCCAGAGTCCTATAAAAGGTACACTGATGACCTTAAGAAATTTCTAAAGCCATATGGCTTAGAAGAACAGAATCTCACAGACTTTAACAATGGAAACTTTTCTGAGCAGAAAGGTCCAGATTAGACTGCATGTCAGTTTCCTTTTACCTTACTTGAAGCATGCAGAGGTGTGGCTGATGCCAAGCTTGGCCATAACACAGGAAACCTTTGTATTCTTGTGAAAATGAACAGAATGGTTGCATTAACCCTCAATGAGAACCAAGGATAGAATGCATTACAAAGAATGAAAGCCCAGCAGTTCTATCAACTTATCTTCCCAGTGGAAAGACAGATTTAAAATATTTTTCATGTTACAGGAAAAAACTGCATGGGAGCGATCTACAGCCACTAGGTGAGCTATCTCTAGTTCATCTTTGGTAATAAGGATGACATAAAAGAAGTTAACAGTTGAGTGCCAGATTGATGGATCACCCAACCTAAAAACCCATAATGATCATGACAAGTTTTCAAGACGAGTTGCATTCAAGATCACCATACTTGCATAGTAGGAGTTAGGGTATCTCCACAGGGTAAATGTTGTGTTGTCGTCTTTATTCTGTATCAGCCAGACCTGCCATTCCAGAATCATCGAGACTACCCTGGAGAAAGGTGGAGTGGTACATGACCCTGGAGTACCAACATCTTGTTCTTCCAATCACGGTATTCCATGCCCTTCAAAGTAACTTGCCTGTTGCCTCTGCTGCCTCCTGAATCATGTACAATCACCAGATAGGGGCTGTGAACACCTGATTCTGAACATGTAGGACAAGGGTCTTGTCCAATTTGTATGTGGTTTATTGCCAAGTGTCTAATGCTTAAAGTGCTGTGCTATATAAATATTTTATAGGTTTAACACTGGTTAACTGTCATATTTTGATGCCACCAAAGTTTTAGGGGATAAAATGGTACCTGACCAACATCAAATGACTTTACAGCTAGAAGAAAATTGGTTGGTGGAAAGTTCTTATGTGAGAAGGAAAAAGGAAAATAAAAACAAACATGAAAGGTTAAAGAAAAAATTATGCATACAGCTTCTGGGGTACTACACATATTCAAAATGGAGGTAAGACTTCATCCTATTGCATTATTAAACCCAATAATGTAAGGCAGTAGTTTTTGGATTTTTTTAAAAAGCTAAACTTCATATACTCAAACAACTTTTGAAGTTGGACTGAGTTTTGCATACACAGTATGTACAACCGTAAATACTTATTTTGATTGTGCTAAAATGAGCTCATTCTACTTCCCAAATTTGTTATATTTCTCAAACACAATAAAAAAACAAGTAAGTCACATTTCTCCCTTTCTGTACTGAAGGTACACCAGTGAAGTAAAGTGAAAGTCGCTTAGTCATGTTTGATCTTTGTGACCCCATAGACTATACAGTGCATGGAATTCTCCAGGCCTGAATACTGGAGTGGGTAGCTGTTCATTTCTCCAGGGAATCTCCCCAACCCAAGGATTGAACCCATGTCTCCTGCATTGCAGGCAGATTCTTTACCAGCAAAGCCACAAGGGAAGCCCAAGAATACTGGAATGGGTAGCCTATCCCTTCTCCAGCAGATCTTCCCAACTCAGGAATTGAACCGGGGTCTCCTGCATTGCAGGTGGATTCTTTACCAGCCTGACAAGAGAAAGCACAAATTTCTATCTTCACGTCAGACCTAGGCTTCATCTGAATTGCTAATAGAGACTAATGAAAAATGACACCCACCTTCAGTCAATGTTAAGGCCTCAATGACTTTAACAGGGAGAGAAGATCCAAATGTTTTCACATCATAGTTCACAGACTCAGTTATGGAGTGGTGTGGGAATATTCGCGTAGGTGTTCCTCTAAAGAAATGAGATCATATTATTTTACTCATAACTTAAAATTTTTTCATTATTCATTATAATGTTATATATATATTTTCACAATGAAGAGAAAATCTTTGATAAACAAGAAGAAAGATGAAGCTTAATAGTGAAAAACTGGCTCATGTATACTGTATAAATGTATTTTTCATTAAAAAAATAAATAACAGAATCTGGCTTCGATTCTCATGCTTCAGTAATTAGGTGCATGATCTAGTTACTGAAACTCTTTATAATTCTGCTTCCTTAACTGTGAAATAAGAAGGTTGGACTATATCAGTGTTTTTCAAATTATAGGTCATTTTGAGGGTTTCTCAAATTTGAGGGTTTCTCACTCAACATTTTTGAAAAACAAAATATAAAGTACAGTTTATCATATTCTATGGTCAAAAAAGTTTTACAGACATTGGGTTATATTATCTTTAAGCTCTCATCAAATCTAGAAATATAATATTTTACCAGAAATACAATCAAAATCAAGAAATTAAGTAGGGTCATAAGTATCTGCTGTTATCTCTTCTTCAATAACAGATACAGCAGTAGAGATTATATTTCCTTCTCTCCTTCCTCTTAATATTCAGAAAAAGTATAAATATATCAACATAAAAGTTATTCTCTTATCATAGGATTCTCTTATCATTAAATGAATGCACATACAGAGTGATTGACAGCATTATTTCTGACTGAATATAACAAAGGTTTTCCTTTGAGTTGATCACCAAAAGAAGAAATTAAAATAAAAAGATGAAAACAAAGTATAACTTTTATTCACTGACTTTTGTCAAAAGGAGTAGAAAACAATCACAAGATCACCATTTGAAGAGCACTTTACAAATTGCAAAAGTCAAGGCATACAAGGTATTCTTTAAAAATCATTTCTCCTTTAAAATATTGCAATTTTCTATACATAAATTTTAAATATAAGTTCAAGACTCAATATTACCATTTTCTTACAGACGCAAATTCATTTTGATAGATGAATTCAAAGGGAACCACTCAAGAAACATACGTGCTTCTTTTCTAGATTAACTATGAAAGGGGAGATGCAGAGCATGGTCTCACAAGTGACGTGCACTGGTGTGCCACACTTTTATTTGATAACATAACTATTCTTATTTCGTTGCTTATGGAAAGTCTTTTCCCTATTAATTTAGCTGCAGGGTTAACTTCTGTAGCTAAAATCCCTTTAATTATCAATCAGCAGATGTTAACAGGGAGTTAATATGTTAGGCAAATATAATGATTCTACAGGGTTGAGGCCTTCATCGCCACCATCACTTTACATCTGCATCGTGGCATTTCACTTTGGCAGGCTCAGATTAGGTTCATTACTGCCATTCCGCAGGAGAGATCATGTTTGACCTACACTAGATCACAGGGGTAATAGGAACAAGGCAGGTAACCATCTGATTCTAATCACCAGATTCGAATTCAACACCTCTGTTGTTGTTGTTTAGTTGCTGAGTCGTGCTCGACTCTGCCACCCCATGGACTGTAGCCCCCCACGCTCCTCGGTCCATGGAATTTTCCAGGCAAGAAAACTGGAGTGGGTTGCCATTTCCTCTCCAGGGGATCTTCCTGACTCAGGGGTCGAACTCGCGTCTCCTGCTTGGCAGGCCGACTCTCTACCACAGAGCCACCTGGGAAGCCCCCTCTCCCCCCTCTCAGTTCAGTTCAGTTCAGTTCAGTCGCTCAGTCGTACCCGACTCTTTGCCACCCCCATGGACTGCAGCACGCCAGGCTTCCCTGTTCATCGCCAACTCCCGGAGCTTACTCTACCTCTACACAAAGGTAAATCCATTCAAAGTGTGTGAAGCACACACTTTGTGATTAATTCAGTTGATGAATTAATCAAAGCGAGGTTGTAATTATCACACGCAAGGGTGCAAGGGTGACGGATATCTATTTTCCCAACACTCCGGCGTCCCTAGCCGCCCCTGGTTCCGTGGCTTCTGGAGGGCCGTGAGCCTGTGAGTCGCCGAACCCAACCAAGGATGACCACTCACCGCGAGCTCAGGGAGCTCCGACGGCCGGCGGGAGAGAAGAGCACCGGGGAGCTGACATTAGACCCCAGAGTCAGACCCTTCCTGCTGGTCGCCCGGGGCGTGGAGCCCAGCCCGACTCCGCCCAGGGGGCCTCTTCGAGTCCCGGTCCCCGGGGTCCGCGGAGAGGAGACCGCCGGGAACATGACCGAAAGGAGAGGGAACAGACAGCGCACGTTCCAGCCGCGGGGATGGAGCGCAGCCCGCGCGCGGAACTCCAACACCTGATGGGCGGGAGGGCGCGCGATTAAGACGTCAAAGAGCAGCGCCAGGCTGTGCGCTGCGCTGTGTTGACGTCCAAGCTCTGCGCGAGCCTCAAGGCGCGGTCGAGACCTCAGGAAAAATTGGGAGGTAGGGTGCGCTATGGTGACGGAGGTGCAGCGCTGAGTCTTGAGGCTTGGCCGGGCCGGCAGGAGAAACCGGAATGGGGCGCGCTTTGATGACGTAAAGGAGAACGCCGAGCCTTGGGGGCGTGCTGGAAGCTGCGGACCCTCGAAGTTGAGAAGGAACCTGAGCTAGAGACCCTGGAGCGGAACAGTGGAGGGGACTCCAGAGTTTCCAGGGAAGTGGAACTGGAAAAGCACGGGCTCTTCTCCGGTCTGGAGGGTAGGACTGCCCCTCCAGCAGCTGAAACGCAAAGCCCCGGCACACTGGTCCTTCCTGAACCTCTTGGGAAATGAAGAGAGTTCATTCCCTGGTCCAAAATAAGGGACCTGTGAAGTCTCTCATTCGTGTCCGACTCTGCGACCCCATGGACTGTAGCCTACCAAGCTCCTCAGCCCATAGAATTTTCCAGGCAAGAGTACTGGACTGGGTTCCCATTTCCTTCTCCAGGGGATCTTCCCAGCCCAGGGATCGAACCCGGGTCTCCAGCACTACAGGCAGACGCTTTAAAACTGTAAAGCCGACACTGGTTTCAGTGTTACAGATGTTATTCCCTAGATTTGTCATTTCTCCTTCATGCTAGTGACATAACAAGTCTATCTCTAGCAGGTCCTGATCAAAAACCATAGGCTTCTGACAGCCCTAGTGGACCGCTTTCCACCTGGATGTCCTGCTCATGCCTCACAATCTACTCATTAAAAGCTGAATTCAGGTTTTCTTTGGGACTCCTGTTTCACTACCACCTCTTGCCCGTTGGATAAAATTGGTTAGTTGGCCAGTGCAAAAAGAAGAGCTCTATCCTAGATTCATCCTTCACAGTTTCCTCCACTGTAACACCTGGGACACTGTACTCCTGAGCATCTCTAGTAGAAAGCACATCTGCATTGCCTTTGCCCTGGTTAAAGTGCTCACACTTCCCTCTTTTTTAGCCTTTTGCCTTCTTTTGGGTCTTCTCGCCTCTGGATGGTCTTCAACACCATCCTTCCACACTACAGCTGATAAGTGGAATATTGCCTGCCATATAAGTAAACAAAGGATGTCATAGTCATCAGTGATTGCTGCCACCATGTGAGCTGGTAAGCCCTGAGGAAACTCAGGCTATGAAAACACAGGATACTGACCCCCAGCTAGCTGAGGTGCGTATTGAATGATAATTTCAGTAAGCCCAGTCTTTTGCATCATTCCATACTATGTGACTTGACATGGAGTTCAGATGTTGGAGGATGGTGAATAGACAGTCATTCATTCATTCTGGATTTATTGACTACCTTCCATGTGCCAGCCTGTATGCTAAGTGCTGTTTTCTAACTGTAAACAAAGCAGACATGGGCCTGGCCCTTGAGATCACAGACCAATGAGAAAGACAGGTCCTGAATAAATGAACACAAATTTATTTACACAACCACGAGTTGATATGTGTACAATGAAAGAAAAGAGGAGGGTGTCTGACAGAGAATGACTGGGTATCTGACTTTGGAGGAAGATCTACAAAGGCTTCTGAGAGAAAAGGACATCTCTGCTGAGACATGCCCTCAGCCAGGCAAAAAAAGAGGAAGAGTATTTGAAGCAGTGGATCCTCTGGCAAGGACCGGAAGCAGCAAAGAGCCTGGTACATTCCAGGATCTTTAGACAAACCAACCAATGACAAGTGACTAAAAGTGGAGGAATCTGGAGAAATGAGGGCCCAGGAAGGGCCTTGTAGACTATCAAACAAGATCCTAAAGGAAACAGCACTCTCAAACTGGGTAGAGAATTTAACAAAGGATTATTAGAGATTGTATAGAGCCCTGAGGCTCTAAGAACAAATGGGCCAAGAAAAGAAGGGGTCACCAGGCCATGGCTGTGGATCAGGAGACACAACCAACTCAAGGCCACCCAGAAGGAGGGAAAAGCTGGGAATGGAAGTGCCCTGACCTCAGCGTGAGGAGGCCAGAATGTGAAGGAGGAGAACACGAGGACCATCCTCTTGGTGGGAGGGCCCACCTCCTGGAGGAAATAGTGGAGAAGGCGAGTAGAACAGAAGATGTGCAGCACATATGCCTTGGGGAAGCCACCCAGGTACTTGTTAACCCCTCCCTAGTGCTGTCATGGAGAAGGCAATGGCACCCCACTCCGGTACTCTTGCCTGGAAAATCCCATGGACAGAGGAGCCTGGTAGGCTGCAGTCCATGGGGTCACTAAGAGTCAGACACGACTGAGCGACTTCACTTTCACTTTTCACTTTCATGCACTGGAGAATGAAATGGCAACCCACTCCAGTGTTCTTGCCTGGAGAATCCCAGGGACGGCAGAACCTGGTGGGCTGTCGTCTTTAGGGTTTCACAGAGTAGGACACGACTGACGCGACTTAGCAGCAGCAGCAGAAGTGCTGCCATTTCCCTATTTATCTTTTCATCTCATTTTATCTAGTGTAGCCAGTTTAGAAGTCCAGAAGGAAGAATGGTGTAGTGCAAAGGCCTCTCCAGCCTAAGCACCGCCTGGAGGGCTGGTTAAGTTGGACAGCTGAGCCCCACCTTGGTGTCTGACTCATTGGGCTGAAGGCTGAGAATCTGCATTTCTAACATTTGCATTCCTAGGTGTTATGGAGACGTCTGTCTTGGGACTTTTTTTTTTTTTGGCTTAGGACATTTTGGTAACTACTGTGTGGTAATTAAGAGAGCTTCCCTGGTTGACCAGTGGTAAAGAATCCACACACCTGTCAATGCAGGAGACTCTGGTTTGATCCCTGGGTTGGGAAGATCCCCTGGAGAAGGAAACAGCAACCCACTCCAGCCTGGGAAATCCCATGGACAGATGAGCCTGGTGGGCCACAGTCCATGGGGTCACAAAAGAGTTGGATACAGTTTAGCGACTAAACAATGAAAACAACAGTAATTGAGAGAATGCATAGACTCTGGAATTAAATGAGGCTTGTTTCAAATCCCCACCTTTTCTTTCTACTATCTGTGTCACCTTTTTGAATCTCTGTTAAGTTGCTAGTAAACTAGCAAAATCAAATAGGGTACACTTTTAGAAATCTGAAAAAAATAAATCATAACAAAGATATACAGGCAGCATTGTTTATGACAGCAGAGACTATAGAAAGATAAATCTAACAATAGATTTGTAACATACTAACATTATAGAATGCTATAGGTTAAAAAGAACACGTGGTTGTGTGTAATGAATACTTAAAAATGTAGGGAAACATTGTCATCAAGTGTAAAAACAGGTTGGTTAAAAATTAATATGTCCAATGTAAGTCCATTTTTGTTGTATTAAAATAAAAAGAAAAATCCCTCACAAGTGCAGTGTGTGTATGTGTATGAGATGCTCAACCTACATGTGCCTCCCTCTGTCCAGCTTCCTAAAATGCAGCTTTTTCAGTGAGGACCAAACTGATTGATGTAGAACTCATTACTGCAGTCATCAATAGGAAAGCAGCCAGGATTATTTCCTGCAGATGTGGTAGGATTGCCAGAATTCTATTTTCAGCAACACAGTAATTATGATCCTCTTCAAATGGGAAGGCAGGGGCACAGTGATGAACTTATCGTGGATATTATCCAGGGCTCAGCGGTAAAAAATCTCCTGCAATGCAGGAGACAAAGGAGCCATGGGTTTGATCCCTGGGTGGGGAGGATTCCCTGGAGGAGGACATGGCAGCCCATCCCAGTACTCTTGCCTGGAGAATCCCATGGACAGAGAAGCCTGGCAGGCTACAGTTCACAGGGTCACAAAGAATCAGACACGACTGAGCATGCATGCACACAATCATCTGCAAGGCTTCCCTTTAGTCTCATCTAGTGGCAAGGGAATTTTTTGAAATAACTCTAAATTTCAGCATAGTTTAAACATCCTTCAAGCAGTGAAGAACGTGTTGTTATCACCAGTTCTGGGGACTGCAAACTCTTTCTGTCAAGGGACAGAGAGGAAGAGTCCCTGGCTTGCAGCCTGTTGCCAAGTAAGTATGGCTGCGTCCCAACAAAACAACTTACGAACACTGAAATTTGAATTTCATGTAACTTTCAAGTGTTATGAACTTTTAAAAACCATTTAAAACTGTAAAAACCCTTGTTAGCTTCGCAGGCCACACAAAACAGGTAAGAGGTCGCAGCTGTAGACCACCAGCACCAACTTCCTGAGGAAGGCCCAGCCAGCACTAGCACAGAGCTGAACAGAACAGAAGATGCTCCAGAAATGTTTATTGAATGAGTTGAATGGAGATTACCAGCTAAGCTCGACAATGCTTCAGATGTAAAAACATAGAAAAACACCCCCAAACAAACATTTACAATGCAGTTTCCATACACTTCTTTCACTTATACTTAATGTTTTGTGACATTTACATTTGTTTTCATTTATTTTCTAACAGCTTTGGCATTTTTATGGAAAAATGGAGCATAAATGGAGTTCCTAAGTGGAGCCCTACTTTATAAAGGTTCAAATACAGGGCATAGCCTATAATGGTTTAATTTGTGATTATTTCATGGGAACCAGCAAGGTCCAAGGTTAGAGACATTGCACAGAGAGGAGCCTGGATGAGCAGACAACAAAGCACTCGGTCCATTAATGTGATATTTTATCTTCACACGGAGGTTTTCACACAATTTAAGCTTTCTTTCTGCTCATCTTTATACTGCCTCCATGAGTTACATGTCCTTCAGTGGCTCCCCATGCACACACAATGAGCACTGTTTCCCATGTGGTGGTGATGGCCCCTGTGCCAGCCCTGCCCATTTTTCTGGCATCTTCCTGTATGCAGCATCAAGGCTGGCTGCATCAATGCAGAACCTGCCTGTGCTTCCGTCCTCAACTGTGAACAGGGATCGGTATTTATTTAAATTACAGGGTTGTCCAAGTATCCACTGTGGTAACGTGCAGTCTGGAGTGGCACAAACTCTGTGTTAGCTAACTGTCACAGAGGTGTTGTTACTGTTTTCTTGTCATTAATTCTTTTATATACCTGACGGCTCCTTCTACACTGGAAGCTTCTAGAGGGCAGACACTACACCTCACTCATCTGGCACCAGTTCTACAGCACAGTTCCTTGTCCGACACGTGGCAGGAGATGCTCCCTTACTGTGCTGAAGCAACTGAACAATGTTTATAAATAACAAGTGAGCACATTAAAAGCCTTAGATTAGGGGCTTCTCTGGTGGTACAGTGGGTAAGAACCTGCCTGTGAATGCAGAGGACACTTTCGATCTCTGGTCTGGGAAGATCCCACATACCAAGGGGCAGCTAAGCCCGCGTACCACAACTGCTGAGCCCACAGGGTCAGCCCGTGAGAAGCCCCAAAGCCAGACCAGAGAGTAGCCCCCCGCTAGTCCCAACTGCAGAAAGCCCATGCACGGCGACGGAAGCCCAGCACGGCCAAAAATAAGTAAGCAAAACTTTTAATGCACAGCGACGGAAGCCCAGCACGGCCAAAATAAGTAAGCAAAACTTGTAAAACAGATTAGAATGAAAGGAATGGAACTTATAATTACTCCCACTTTCCTATGTTTGTAATTTTTTTTAGTCTTGAATCTTTACAAATTCTAGTAAGAAACTGAATGTAGTAAAAAGTTTTACAAGAAATGACAAACACAGATAAAGTTCACTATAAATTTTAATCCAAGATATAAAAGGGAATACCTTGTATTAGAAAATAAAATATAATGATTACATTCAATTTTGTAAATGCTTCTGTGGCACAAAGATATTTCCTTCAGATCCAACCTTGTAATTGTGTTTTGTCTGCTTTTGAGAACACCATCATAGTAGTAAACCATGAAGAATATGAGTAAACTTGTTAAAAATGATTGTCACAGATGTACTGTTTAAATTCAAAGAACAGAGTTCATTTATTCACTGAATTCATTAATGAATTCCCTTATGTAGAATAAAATGTAATACTCCATGCTTATCATGAAATAGTGGTTTCTTCCAGTATAATCAGGAAGCTAATCACAATACTTAGGACCTGAGAAGACTTCCTTTTTAGTCATATCAACGTTGTTACTTCTTAGGTTCTGACATTATCATTACAGAAAAAGTACTTTTTCTTGAGGGAACGGCAACTTAATAGTGCTGATATGAATACAACAAATCCAAAGCAATGCTCAAAACATTGCTTGAGGAATTTTTGAGAAGTTTAGCTTTAACTATAACAACAAATAGAAGAAAGATGGTAAATTATATCCTCTTTTCAGAAGGTGACAAGCTCTTAACGTTTCTTGACATTTTGTAGAATGTATAAGCTTCCTTCAAATGTTTTAAGATTTAAATTACAGCTATACTAATAATTTTGGAATTTAGCCTCATTGAATGAAATTTCATAACTAACTGAAAAAACACTGTAAAATTTGACTAGGAATGATAAACTCTTAAAAGATAATTTTCAAGATACATGCTTACAGACAACCTAAGTGTAAAATTACATCTTTTTTGATAATACCTGGCAGTTCATGCCTCACTTCCCAAATACACGAATAATGAAAACAGAAGTTCTCATATTCAAAGGATGGGGCTTCTTCCCTTTTTAAAATTCATCAGGCTCTCAGGTGCCAAAACCATGAAAACTGCACACATGCAAACACAGTCTCAGCCCAAAAGAACACATATCCCTATACTTTCATCCCTTTGAAGACAGAGGAGACAGGAGATATAAATTACCCCTCCTTGCCATGTGACATTATGTATTTCTGTATATATATATATTTCCTAAAAGAAATCAACCCTGAATATTCATTGGAAGGACTAGTGCTGAAGCTGAAGCTCCAATACTTTGGTCACCTGATGCGAAGAGGCAACTCATTGGAAAAGACCCTGATGCTGAGAAAGATAGAGGGCAAGAGGAGAAGGGGACGACAGAGGAGATGGTTGGACGGCATCACTGACTCAATGGACGTGAGTTTGAGCAAGCTCCAGGAGATGGTGAAAGACAGGGAAGCCTGGCGTGCTGAAGTTCATGGGGTTGCAAAGAGTAGGACACCACTTAGCAACTGAACAATATATATATAGGTTGCTTTATGAGATTAGCAGGATAAAATAAAGGGTTAGATTTTTCACCATCTATCATGCTACGTGGTAAGATGAGACCCAAAGTAGGTAGAGTACTACCAAGAGATTACACAGTGATTGGTGAACTGGCCTAAAATAATTAGGCTTTTTATTTATAATTCTCTTTTAAAAGTTGTCATATGACAATAACTTCAATTTATAACAGCAGATAAAAGAAAATGAGGTGCCATGCTCTATTAATCAAAATGTTCTAAGATAAAAGAAAATATAAAACCTGAAAATAACATCAGTGCTCTAGACCATTTAGAAAGTTATAATTATTAAAATTCTGAATAAAAAGGTCTTCAGAACAGATCCATCTCAAAACTATTTTACAAACTTTGGAAAAAATAGGCAGATTTCAAATGACTTGAAGTCTGATTTACAGATTTCCTAAGTCTGAGTTTTTTTTTCCCACGCAGTGCAGCTTTGCTTTAAAACCTCTCATATTAAGTTTACCAGTAATCGCTTCTTTATGCTGAAACAAAACTCTGTTTGTTCATTAATTTCCTGTACATCCCATCTGGTTTCAAAAGCAGCTCTTCATGTTTCCCACACTCGATGATTCTTCCCAGGTCAAGGACAGCTACCATGCTGGCGTTCTTAATCGTGGACAGACGGTGGGCAATGATGAGCACTGTCCTTCCTTCCATCAGTCGGTCCAGGGCTTGCTGTACGAGGTGCTCGTTCTCAGCATCCAGTGCACTAAACAGAAGAGCCCACGGGAAGGCGGCATCAGTGCCATGCACACTGTTCACGCATGTGTTTCCTGGTGCATACATATGAGCCCCTCATAAGCAGCTGATCCCTGCTATGATCAAGACTGCAACTCCCTGGGCCAACTATCTAAATTTTATAAAGTCACTATCAAAAAAAGAAGCTCTGAACCCTTGATCTCCAGAGAACTGCCATGTAAGTTAAAAAGGATTTTTCACATCTGCTGATAAGCGATGAGGGATTCATCACAAAGGTCTGAATTGGACCTAGAACCCTCAACTCACAATTCATCCTGTCTCCCAACTGTCATGATTAATTCATATCCCATCCCTTTAAAGTGTAAGGTGTTCTCAGCCACGTCACTTGAAATACAGAAGAGTAAGTTTGTGAAAAAGAAAGAATTTGATTTAATATAATTACACATTAAGATATCCTCACCTGGTTGCTTCATCTAGGAGAAGAATTTTGGGATTCTGAAGAAGGAAAAACATTAAAAAGATAAGAAAGATATAATTTTATTAGAAAAAAAGAACTCTCAGAAATAAAACGAAATAAAGCACTGATACATGATACAACATGGATGACCCCCGAAAACACCCTAATGAAAGGAGCTGGACATAAAAGTCTATGATTCCATTTACAGGAAATGTCCAGAACAGGCACATCTGTAGGGGCAGATGTGTGGTCACCTGGCATTGAGGTAAATGGGGAAACAAGGTGCGTGGGTATGTGTGAATGTTATTTTGGTGATGAAGAAAATGTTCTAAAATTGATTACAGTGATGGATGCACAACTCTGAATACACAAACACTGAACTATATGCTGTGCATGGGTGAACTATATAGTGTGTGAATTCTACCACAATAAAGCATCTACAAAGGATGAAAAATAGTTCATATTGTGCTTAAGATGAGCTCATAAATGGAAGAGTTAAAGATGACTTTAAACCATTATCACACTGATCAATGAACCGGATGTTTATAGTGCAGCTTTATTCTGCAGGTGAAACAACTAAAAGTATTAGATGGGGCTCTAATGCGAGTCAGATAGTCTAACTCTCAGGGTCCTCTTGGAGTTTAGTTTGGAGCAGTACACACAAAACTGAAAAGATAGAAGAGTCAGCCAATGTATGTAACAGATAAATTCTAGTCTTGCCTAGGAATCCATCCACAAGAAATAAAAACATAACCACACACAAACTTGTACACCATTCAGAGCAGTGCTATTTCTAACAGCCCTAAACCAAAAATAACTCAAGTGTTCATTAACCTGTGAGTGATAGACAAATTGTGGTCTGTCCATACGAAGGACTGGAAAGGAATAAAGTACTGATATGGCTACAACATGGAGGAATCTTAGAAGCTCTACTAGGGAAGGAGGCTACAAGCAGAAGACCACTGTCTGCTTTCATTTACCTGAAATGGCAAATCTAGACAAAGTCAAAGTAGATTACTGGGAGGTGGGGCTGGGAATGCAGAAAGGTTGCTCGGGTGTATCAAGGTGATGGAAATGTTCTAAAACTGGATTATGATGGTTGCACAACTCTGTAAGTTTACTAAAAGTCACTGAAAAGTACATTTAAAACTACTCAATTTTATGATATGCAAACCATGCTTCAGTAAAGTGGGTTTTTTTTTTAATCACCTTTAAATCTGAGGAGAGTACTTATCTAACAAAGGAGAAGGCCATCATTTCCTAAAATATGCAATGCCTATGAACTTCAACTTGTCCGTTTCCTCTTAGGAGTCTTGTGTAAGCATTTCAAGTCTGTACCGTTCAGTTTGTTGTGTCATTCTCCATCGCGTCCTTTGTGATCCCATGGACTGTAGCCCACCAGGCTGCTCTGTCCATGCAATTCTCCAGACAAGAATACTGGAGTGGGTTACCATCTCCCCCTCCAGGGGATCTTTCCGACCCAGGGATGGAACCTGCATCTCTTGCATCTTCTGCATTGGCAGGCGGATTGTTTGCCACTGAGCCACCAGGGAAGCCCACCATTCAGCTGAGCAGGTTATTAAATACTATACAAGTAAGTATACTTGTACTGTTTTGGTATTTTGATATAATTACTGCTTCTCCAGTTAGAGACTGCATGCTTCTTTATTACTTTTTATATTGAAGTACAGTTGTTCACAATGTTGTGCAAACCTCTGTTATACAGCCAAGTGACTAGTTAACACACATACAGACATCCTTTTTTTTTTTTTTAAACATCCTTTTTTCTTTAATACTCAGTATGCTACTTGACGGAAGGTCTGTGTGTGACACTTTTCTCCCTCTGATAATTCCAGCACTGTACTGGGCTCCCAATGCCCAAGAAATACTTGTCAAATTTGAACACAGTCAGTGGAATTCCCAACTCATCTTTCACAAGAGCTGTCAACAATATACCTACCCACCTCCTCCAAAAAGAAAGAAGGAGAAAAATTGTACATTACTAATTACAAGGTCCCTGGTTAAGAACAATGCCAAAAACCCCCAGCCAAGTGGCTTCAGGCTTACCTTAAGCAGAGCACGGGCAATTGCAATTCGCTGTTTCTGCCCACCTGACAATGACAATATATATATATATTTTAAACTGAAGGTCTTAACAAAAATTCTTGGTAATAGGCTTTACTGATACACCATGTGGCAATCTGAAGGTAACTTCTCCCAGTTGGTCAAGTTGAGATAGATGAAAGAATAGAAACCTATGTTTGAAATATATTATTTCCTCATCACTCTAGAGACTAACAATAAGAATTACTATCATGGCTAACACTGAGAAATTCCTATGTACCAGGCATTTCCTAAATGCATTACACATATTATTTCATTTCATCTCAAAAACAAGCCTGTGAAGTAGATTCTATAATGATTCCCTTTGCAAAGATGAAAGATTGTGCCACAAACACCCTGCAGGAGGCCTCACAGCTAGTCAGTGCACTGCCGAGGCCTGACTGTGCATTCACTTCAGTTCAGTCACTCAGTCGTGTCCAACTCTTAGCAACCCCATGAAGCACAGCACACCAGGCCTCCCTGTCCGTCACCAACTCCTGGAGTTTACCCAAACTCAGGTCCATTGAGCTAGTGATGCCATTCAACCATCTCATCCTCTGTTTNAAGTTAAATAAGCAGGGTGACAATATACAGCCTTGACGTACTCCTTTCCAGTTTGGAACCAGTCCAATGTCCAGTTCTAACTGTTGCTTCCTGACCTGCATACAGGTTTCTCAAGAGGCAGGTCAGGTGGTCTGGTATTCCCATCTCTTGAAGAATTTTCCACAGTTTATTGTGACCCATGCAGTCAAAGGCTTTGGCGTAGTCAATAAAGCAGAAATAGATGTTTTTCTGGAGCTCTCTGTTTCGATGATCCAGCGGATGTTGGCAATTTAATCTCTGGTTCCTCTGCCTCTTCTAAATCCAGCTTGTACACCTGGAAGTTCGCGGCTCACGTGTTGCTGAACTGTGCACGGGCTGTGCTTATCACCACACGTTTGCTCCCCCTCCCCCCAGCAGAGTGTCTCTTGGAGGAGGAAAGGCAAAGGATACTCAGGGGAGCTGGGGTTCAGGGCAGGGCGTGAACTGATGAAAGCGAAGGCAGCTGGAATGGTGACGCTCCTGTTGGCCTGGAGCATGACTCTGTGCGTCCACGCTCACCCGGTTCTCTTTCCCACCCGGGGAACAACTTGCATACGTGCAACTGGGGGCGGCAGAGACAGCAGCCACTCTAACCCCTCCTGCCTTGTTTGTCAGCTCTAACGCTACTAAAAAAAGGGGGTGGGATGCGTAGGGGAAATGCAGAAGGACAGGAAGTGCTAACTCCCCTCCTCAACTCTGTTCCACTGGCCCTCTGCTCTCCTCCAGGGCCACTAGCCTAACTCAAAGCTGATGGAGTCTCACAGCAGGACACAGCTCACTCCTTCTGACTTAGTTCATCATGTGAGAAAACTCAGTTCCGTTCTTGGTAATTAATTGTATTGGCTGAACATACTTCTTATTTCATCTAAAAGAAGTTAATCATTTAAAGTGAAATGAATGGTACTGCTGAAAGCTGTCCTCAACCAGGCAATCCCATCCTCACGAGGGAGGGAGGAAAAACCCTTTCTATCTGAACCTCTCTGGTTGGTGGGGGTCCAAATGCTCAGTGTGGGTAGGCAGAGTGGCCAGTGAGGGCTTTAGTCAGCTCTGAAAATCTCAGGTGCCAGTGAGCACATGGGCATCTGCTGCTAGAAGCCTACCCCTTCCTCCACAGTGGACTGAAACCTTCGGTTCCTTCACTGGGAGACAGAGCCTGGGAATCCTGGTGAAGGGAAGGACACACAGACTCTGTCCCCAGGGAGCAGGTGATGCACCGCTGGGCCGAGTACAGGCACCCCCAGCTCTGCACCTCCATCCCTGCCAGCTCCCAGCATCCTGCCTGAGGACACTCTGTCCCAGAGACGCAGGAACAGTGCTAGGCCGTAACTTACCCCATCCATCAAAAGCAGGCTTTCATCTACTGCCTATAGTTTTAACAAATCATACACAACAATCTTAAAATATTTTTATGTTAAACTATCTGTAGCCTAAGTTCAAGCAAAAAGTTCAGTGCTGGAAAGGATTCCTGCTCCAGCCTTCACTCTGACATGGAGGCCTCCCTCCTCGCTCGTGCAGATCCAGTGACAAAGATCATCATGAAAGGAAGCACCTCTTAATATTTGTAATAAAAAACAAAACAAAACTGTGTTTAACCAAAATTTTACTTCTCTATTTTTTGGGGGGGGGCTCCAAAATCACTGAAGATGGTGACTGCAGCCATGAAAAGATGAAAAGATGCTCCCTGGAAGAAAAGCTATGACCAACCTAGACAGCATGCTAAAAAGCAGAGACATTTCTTTGCCAACAAAGGTCCATTTAGTCAAAGGTATGGTTCTTCCAGAAGTCATATATGGATGTGAGAGTTGGACCATAAAGAAAGCTGAGCACCAAAGAATTGCTGCTTTTGAACTGTGGTGTTGGAGAAGACTCTTGAGAGGCCCCTGGACTGCAAGGAGAGCCAACCAGTCCATCCTAAAGGAGCTCAGTCCTGGGTGTTCACTGAAAGGACGGATGTTGAAGCAGGAACTCCAATACTTTGGCCACCTGATGCGAAGAGCTGACTCACTGGAAAAGACCCTGATGTTGGAAAAGATTGAAGGCAAGAGGAGAAGCGGTCGACAGAGGATGAGATGGTTGGATGGCATCACTGACTCTATGGACGTGAGTTTGGGCAAGCTCTGGGAGTTGGTGATGGACAGGGAAGCCTGGCGGGCTGCAGTCCATGGGTCTGCAAAGAGTAGGACATGACTGAGTGACTGAACTGAACTTATCTCTATTCGTTGGTCCCACTTTTGCACTTGAAAGCAACAGAACTGTTTCTCTTTCCCTCCTGTAACTCGGCCCCCATCATGTGATCTGACTCGTTGCCTGAGCTGGCATCACAGGAGTCCTGGCACTGGAGCCCCAATGGTGCCACAGGCCTGCAAGCCCCCACTGTCCAGAGCAGGACGTGACGGGCTCTGCCTGCGTCAGGTCCGGACCAGGGCCTCTCTGCAGTTATTACATTTGAAAAGAGTTGTTTAAAAAGAAAAGATGACTATGTGACAGAGACCACATGTAGCCTACAAACCTAAATCATCTACTCTCTGGTCCATCATAGAGAAGCTTGTCAGCCCTGGGTCTACACACAATCTCCTCCAGCTGCACATCTCCTCTGCCTCAGTCTCTGCCTCCCAGGACAAGTCATCCTGCCATCCAGTGTCTGTCTTACTTTCAAGGATCTTGAATTGTAAAACATCTATTCTCAGATGAGAAAAAGAGGCTGTGGCTGAATACTACCCAGTGGGACCCCCAGTGGGAGCCTGGAAACACCTCTGGGGAGAAAGTGAAGGGAATTGGGGAATTGTCACATACAAAAAGAGATCTGAGAAAACAAAAATGTTAATTTCATAAACTCTAAGGACAAAAGCCTAATTAAAAAATAACAGCGCGATAGAAAATGTTTGGAGAGTTTTTTGGAGCAGAGACATTTGGCGACGAAGAGTAACAAAAACGCACCTGAGAGGAGAACACCCTTTTCTCCGACCACGGTGTTGAATCCTTGAGGGAAATTTTGGATGAAAGCAGCCGCATTGGCTACAGCGGCTGCCTGCTCTATCTGCGCAGCGGTCACTGAGGCGGGGTCGTCTGCACCGTATGCAATGTTCTCCGCAATGGAGCAAGAAAACAAAATTGGCTCCTACACATTGGAAACAAAACATACTTATTGAAAATTTCAAAAGGCCAGTAATACAGTGGAGCTTAGTACAATATTTACATCTAAGAACTTTTCCCAGAGAATATACACTGGGTTTTTTGGGGGTGGGGGGTTCTATTTTCTCATTCTCCATCAATTTACCCCACAGTGACTAAACGTTTCACATGTTAGCACAAGCAGGACTGACTTTACCATCTGAAGATCACCACTGCAGGATCCTGCCCTCACCCTGAATGTAGCAGATGCTCTGTAAATGCAAGTCCCCTTTCCCGAGGAAGACCTCGGCCCCGTCTGCGTTCTCCAGCTGCCTGCCTTCCAAGGATGAAGGGAGAGTCCATCTCTTTCTGTCACTTCTTGAAACACAAAGCAGATGGGAAAGTGGCATTTGCACAGAACTGTTGTGTGGAATTGTCCTAAACAGCTAATAAACTCCCAGCTTCTTGCTCTATCCTTAATGAGGACATGGCACCGCTGTTACCCTAGCACTCCCGAGCCAAGCCCATCACTGTCCCCAACCTGTCCCCGGAAGAGTGGGGCTGAGGGGGGGGTTCACTGGAGGGAGAGGTCCAGGAGTGGCGGAAGGCTTGGGTGTCTGTTGTGCACATAGCTTGGTAATAAAAATATAAATAGCTTGTCAAAATTCCCCTGCACTAAGTGGTCTTGTGAAAACAGCTTCACCAAAGAGACCATATTAATGTTCTTGAAATCCTCTACCTTTTGCAAAGGGACCTAGCTCTTGGCATAGTCTTTGCTTGCTTATCTCTGAAACCCTGGCAAAACAATAGACCGGCTACTAATGAACATGAGAACTGAGAAAGAATCAAAAGAAGCTAAAAAGCTGTATCTTTTTCTCCCCAATCTTCTGGACTACCTGCATTACAAGTAATAACAGTGTCCACCTTTGGAAAAAGATAATGCTTCAAGTGGTTGAAGTGTCTAAGGTCTTCAGGAAACAGCACTATGAACCTAAACAATCTGCCCGATGAGGTTAGTTTACTACATCTGAAAAACATCCATTCCTTTTCTTTTGAAAGGTCCAAGACCAAGAGAAAAGCAAATGACAAAAGCAATTTTAAAAGAAAGTATAATAAAAATGGACCCCTCTCCTCTTACCTGACTCACTGTCCCAATCTTGGATCTCAACCAGACTGGGTTTAGCTGACGGATGTCGTGGCCATCCAGGCTGATTGTTCCTTGCAGGGAAGAAGGGAAAGAGGTCAGTGGGTGCCATGGGGGCAGTGACTGACAGAAACACAGATGTGATCTGGCGGGAAAACTCCAGACTCAGTTTTTTAAAGATTAGATACTCAAAATCTCCAAACAAATCTAAAACCAATGGGTTTCAGTGACTTTCAGAGCTGGAAGGGACTTTTCTGGATCATCTGCACCTACTCTCTCCCTGTGATGACTAGATGACCAGCCCACCTAGCTCATCCCTCCAGCTCGCCTTCCTTCCTGTGTCAACGCAGATGTAGAAGAGTCTGCTATCTGACTGACAGGATGGCAGAGAGCTTCAATGTCAGATGTAATTCTTTGATCTCAGCTAACAGAATTTACCTTTACACCCTGAGGGAACGAAATCATGCCTCCTGATTACTATAACAGTGACCAACACAAGAAATCCTATTCTTTCTCAGTTAGCTATATGACACTATACAAGCCAAAAATAAATTTTCATATACCTACAAAAAACCCAAGGTATTGACTTAGAAAGCATAAGCACTCTGTACAGGCTCCACAAGGCAGGAATGTAAGTGCAGTTCTCTTTTCTCCCTGATCTATTCACTGTGATGAAGAAACCAGAGACTCAGTGTTTTGCATCCCTCTCACTAGGATTTTCCTAAGCTCAGAATTTTATAGCAAGTAGAAGGTAAGTCCAGGCAGTGATTCCAGAGGCAGACAGTGTAGTGATATCCACTTTAACACACTTGGTTTTGCACATGAGATCATTCCCTGGCACACAACCAGCTCTCACAGTGTTCTAACCAAGAAGACTATAAGACCTACTCTTTAAATTCATGATATTAGGGAATTCCCTGGTGGTCCAGCAGTTAGGACTCCAATCTCTCACTGCTGAGGGCCCAGGTTCGATCCCTGGCCAGGAAACTAAAATCCCACAAATCACATGACCAAAAATAAATAAACCCATTTTTTATTTTATTTTATACCAATGATTTTTTTCTTGTGGAGAAAAGACGTTTCCTTAATCCAAAAATAAACCAACACATACAGAATATCTTCTCTAAACTCTGATATAAAGAAGGATATCAGCTACGTGTGGTGAGGGATGTTAACTTGACACAGTAATGGTTGTGTGATCATTTCACAATATATACATCATTTCACAATATATACACATAGTGAATCATTATGTTGTACACCTGAAATTGCTAAATGTCAATTAAATCTCAGTTTTAAAAAGATACAAGTAAGGAACAGAATGTGTTGTTTGCTCTGTAAGATGCTATAATCCAGTTAGAAACAGAAACCGAAATGAGAAAATATCGACTACTTGACGGGAGCCTCAGGAGCGACACAGGAGTGGGCCACTGACGCCCACGTGCACGGACTGCACGCCGGCGCCCCGCGGGAGGACGCTTCGGCACCTGCGCAGCCCGGACGGCGCAGGCACACGCTCTCCACGTGCGGCCAGCGGCCCCGCACAGAGGCCCCTTTCTGCTCCCCTCTCCGGGTGCAGGGGACGCTGCACAGGCGACGAGGAGCTGACACAAAGGGTACGACGATGCCCAACAGGCCTTCTGGGTGAGCGCACAGCCCCAAAAGTGACACCGCTGTTTAAGGGGCTTCCTCCCCGGGAACACACCCTCTGGCACTCAGAACTCACATGGTGCATGGCCTCTGCACACTCGGACCCTCTCCCAAGGCTCAGGAGTAGAAGGGCTCAAGAGAGGCCCCTGTCCCACAACACACTGAACCACTCACCAGAGGCAGGGTCATACAGTCTCAGCAGGAGGGAAATCACTGTGGATTTGCCAGCACCACTTGGGCCAACCAGTGCTGTGACAGATCCTGATGGGATGGAAAGGCTGAAATCCTGGAATATGGGCACCTCTGGGCGAGCTGGATAGGCGAAATGCACGTTCTTGAACTCCAAAGCGCCCTGGAAGTTTTTCTCATTCAAAACAGCCCCCTCTGCAAGGTAAGACGGGACACGAATCACGCAGCGCCAAGCACATGAGCACAGCTGAGCCCAGGCCCCACCCACCTGACCACGGCCTTGGCCCAGCACAGCGAGCTCTGGCGTCTGGGCGCGTCTCAGGCATCGGGAGGCAGCCGCGTCCCGCGCCCCCAGCCTGCTCTGCACCAGGGCACTGCACGCCTGCCGCCACGCTGGAGCCTCGCAGCCGCAGAGGCCAAGGCCACATCCCAGTCCTACTGATCGAGCAGCAGCTGATGGAGCTTCCAGCCCAAGAGCTGCCGGCCGAGTCCAGTGGCCTTCTCCCTGTGGGCTGACTCTGCAGGGCCCCCATCCAGGGTTTATCTCACCTTCTCTAAAGAGTTGTTTTAAGAGCATGATGAACAGGCAGGTGCTGCACAACAGCCCCAGAGCTCGAGGGGGTCAGAGGTCAGTTCTATCCGGGGGTGACCTTGCTATTGACTGGGAGAAGTGGCTCCATCTCTCCCAGTCAGGCTCATTCCTGCCAGTCTATCACAGTGGAGAATACTGGCATTCACTATTGCCCTGGGGCCAGTGAGTAGCTGACAGTGATCGCTGCTTCTTCCACTGAGCCTGGCTGCTCCGCCCAGGCCACAGCTGCCTTAAACACTGGCTTCCAGCGAAGCAGCTCACGAAGGAGATGGTTCAAAGCCAATTAGCATCAGCATCCTCCACCCCATCCCCAAAGCCAAAAACTCAGAGGCTTTTCTATGCACGAACCCTCTTCCTTTCCTCCCTGCCCCCAAATGTCAAAATCACTAAGGAAGACAGTTCTGGTGGCCTGGCCAGGCCCTTCATGTCTGCACTCCTGAGCGGCACGCACTTCCTCCTGCCATTTGTGGTAACACATCAGCTGCAGGGAGGGAAACGGTGGGTGCACACTGTGTGGTCAAGCCCCCCACCTCCAGGGACACCCTGGGGCCCCCCAGCAGCACCCAACAGCAATCTGTCCTCACGGCCCACCCTCCAATGGCCCCGTCCCTCCCCGTCACGGTAAAGACAGGGTCTAGTTCGTGCTCATCCTTCCCAGGTAGGGCAGGAAGCTGGTCTCACTGTCCTAAACCACACATGTTTAATCCCAGCAAAGAAAAGCAAACCCAGTTCAGACCCACCATTGAAAGGAAGCTCAGGTTCTCTCTCGAGGAGCTCCCAGAGGCGGCTTCCGGCACCCAGTCCCTTCATTAGCTCTGAGTAGAAGGAGCTGAGACCTGAGGATGAGAAGCAAAGGTGCACATCCATCATCAGCCAATAAATGGCCCCCCGCCACCCCCAGCCCTCTGGGGACAGTGACAATAGCCTGCTTTTAACATAAAATCTGTTACTTTCAAACAACAGTGTTTGAAGGGTTTGAAGCAGCTTCCTGGGAATCCGTCAGAATTCCCTCTGTCTCATACCCTTGCTTTCCTTCAGCTTCTCCTCCTCCAATTTCATTAGCTTTCATAAGGCTTTGGTCTGATCCGGGGATTTACAAATATATATAATCATACTAGTTAACCACTGAATTAAAATCACAATGTTACAGAAAAGTCTGCTTAGTCAAAAGTCTAGCAATAAAAATAAAATATAATGCTTATCTCATATTAAAAAGGAATACAAGGTACCCCAACATTCATTTAAAAGGCACATCCACAAAATCAACCCATCTTTCAGACTCAACAAATAAAACATTACTAGGCTGAAAACTGAAAAGAAATTTGGCGATGTTAGATACACTAACAACCTCTGCTTAAAAGTCACCTTTGAACTATGATTTAAAACCCCAAGTCCACTGGTCCACATCAACTGCCAGAACATATGCTTTGTAACACTTTTCCTCAGTAAGGGCGCTGAAAAAATGCAATTCAAATATCCTTGGGTATATGGATATTTGTATAAGATACAGTGGACTAAAACCTTCACGTTAAATTAAGGATGCATCGGGCAGAAACAGAGCCACATAAATATAGTCAATCAACCTTCAATAGTTGAGCAAAGGCAATTCAATGGAGGAAGGGTAGACTTTTCAACAAATGGTGCTGAAACAACTAGATTTCCATGTGCAAATAACAAATAGGGACACAGGCCTTACACCTTCCACAAATTAACTCAAAATGATCTAAACATAAAATGAAAAACTATAAAGCTCCTAGAAGACAACATAAGAGAAAAACTTACATGACCTTGGGCTCAGAGATGACTTTTTAAGTATATTAAAAGCACACTCCATGAAAGAATATATTGTTAAGTTAAAGTTCATTAAAATTATGAACTTCTAAGAAAGATCAAGTCAAATGTGGCAGAGAGCACAAGACTGGAGGCCAGGAGGAAAGCTGACGATGGCTAAATGTGAAACGTGCACAGAAACATCACAGAGAGGGAAGGTGGCGGTCAGCACATCTGTTCAGAGCGGGGAACATGACCACACGGTGTGCGACCCTACCGCCCGTCAGACCCAACCCCAGGGATGGAAAGAAAGGAGCAATACTATCATCGCGCCAGCATCCTGAACGGATCTTGTCTTGCAAGTCGCTCAGCACCCAGAAACATCTTGGACCAGATTTTTCTTCAAGACCAGCCAGCAGGACTAAAATGTTATTTTAAACGGATATCTGGAACTCTCAGTCCAGAAAATATCCTTACTTGCCTGCGGATGTCTAAGGAAAAGCCTCTCCTTTAACCAGGAGAAAACTCTGGAACCCTGAAAATAAAAAGTTGAGGTGACCCTGTGGGATACCTGAGCTCCTTTAACCAGACTTGAAGCTGTTGATCTAACCTTTCCATCTTGGTTTTCAAAGAAAGGAAGGAAAACAAAAAGCAGGAAATCATTTGCTCCAGGTTGGTTGGGGCTTTGCAGACTCCACACAGTTCTGCCTCCAAGGAGCTTGCTTCCCTTCACTTAGGGGCAAACAAGGAAAGCTGGGCTCTGAGAGACTCTTTATAAAAGCAAGTGACTGTGTCTCGTGTACTTTACCACTTCTGTTTTGGATTGTTCACTAGTTTTGAACATGGTTGCCTTCTCCCTGCCAGCAACCTGCCCATGATGAAAGCATCACCATCAGAGAATGAGGGTTCCTGCACATGCCTGTTCATACCATCCTCCCCCACCACCGCAGCATCCATGCTACAGTGAAAGGGAACAGGTTGCCCTGCATGCTGGCTGGGAACAGATCCAGTGAGACCCTGTGCTCTGTGAGCTATGGAGGGCAGGGGACCTGCAAAAATCTAACACTTCTCAACCCAGGGAGGATCACAGTCATCTTTATTCCATCCTTCAAAGTCAGGTTGGCGTAACATTCTAGGAAATGTTTTTGCAGTTAGTTATTTGGTGAGGGGTGGAGTAGTGGGAAAGTTAGGTTTTCATTTCAGAAACTATAACCTGATTTTTCATTAATTCCCCAAGCCTATTTAAATTATATACCTCCAACGCTTATTCCAACCCAGAAAGCATACATTAGGAAGGAGGAGAGTTCGCCCACTGTCATGTGGGCACTGCCCATCAGCAGCCCTCCTTTGTACAGGACAGAAAGCACGATCAGGTTCCCAGAGAGCCCAGTCTGTGGATGGAAGAAAACACAGGTGAGAAGTCAGGTGAGAACCAAAGGCCCCATGCAAAAAGCACTCACACTGTGCAGACTCCCTTTATGCACGTAACCACCAAGCAAGATTCTTCCAAAACACTACATTTTAGTCTGAATTTTAAAATTCTTGCTTTCTTTTTTTTTTGGCTGTACTGCACAGCATATGGGATTTTAGTTCTCCGACCAGGGGTCAAATCTCTGCCTCCTGCAATGGAAGCATGGAATCTTAACTGCTGGAAAGTCAGGTTAAGTCCCTCAAAATTATTTTTGAAATATTGTAATGTTGAAGGAAATAATCTCATAAACATGGAAACCTAGATACTAAGCTACCCATCAGATTCCTATTTTACTCAATCTAATCAATTTGCAAAGGAAAAAAGATTATATTCAGGATGCCTCCCCTAAGTGGAAGAAATTGATGTATGGTGGGCTGGGCAGGCTGCACCGGGAAGCAGATAAGATACTGGGTTCACCTGCTCTGATGTGCATTAGGTACACAGTCTCTGTAAGCATGCCTCCTCAGGGCTTCCCGTCTGTTCAGTTACGGCCGCTACTGAATCACCTCTACCATCTTTCCACTTTGAAAGTATTGTGACTCTGCCATCATGGTGATTTTCTAGCTCGATGTCCTACCTGAGCTCCTTGTGATCAATGTGGTCAACTTTCTTATACCCCCTTCTTGAATACACTGAGGTTATTTTGGCTAATCCTCAGTGGGTTTAAAACTGCCTACACCAGAATTACCTGGTGCTAAAGGACAGATCGCCAGCTGCATTCCAAGAGTTTTGTGGAGCTGAGGATCTGTGTGTCTAACCAGTTTCCAGGTGAAGCTGATGTGCCCAGTCTGGACCATACTCTGAGAATCAGGGCCTGATCCCACAGTTTTGGTCTCACCACCTTTCCTTTAATTACATATACTTGTTTTCCCCCTCCTTCACAAAAATATTTTTAAGAATGGTAATTTTTAGTCTTGAGGGAGAAGGGAAGTATTTTCTATGTATGACAAGAGCCACAGAATAAAAATCTCTCCTGATCACGACGTCTACACTTTTCACTCTTTCCAAAATGATCAACTTACTGCTCCAAAGAAGCCAGCCCGAGCAAATGCCTCTTTCCTTGCTAACTGCATCACATGGTCCACTTTGCTGGTGTATTTCTCTATTTCAGTCATTTCTTTCCCAAAAGCTCGAACAGTTCTTATGTTTCCAATACGTTCCTCGGCTAGCTGGGAGAATAATACAAACATTTCAGGGGAGGCAAAATTAAAATGTGGTTCCCACGTTTAAGATACTATCAATGAAAAGCTGCTTGTCATATGCAACTAAGTAAAAAACAGATTACAAAGCTGAGTATATGAAGAATCCTGCTTTTGGAAACAAATATGTATCTATACATACACGCATCATATATATAGGTAGATAGAAAAATAAATGAGAGGGTTGGTAGATAAATAAATATATTTTTATGCAGTGAGAAAGGTAAGATAAAAAGGAGAGACTCCAAAATGTTAATAACATTCATTCAGAGCTAGGATTATGCATTTTTTTCTCCTTATATTTCTCAAAATTTTATTTTCATAAATATGCATGGTTTTTGTAACAGAAATATAATGATTATTTTTAATTTTTAAAAAGACAAAACTGGACAGCATTACAAGGACAGCACTACAAAGCTACTTTTATTAGTTAATAAAGGACAGAGTATCATCCAGGACAACTATTTTCAGAATATGATTAGCCTCTTCACCCTATAAAAAACAGTGACGTAAGTTCATATGATGTAGTCAAGTGGGGTCAGTGCTGCGGTGTGGGTGGAAATCTTGTCTAGAAGGCAGAGTGCTTGGGGTTTCTAGGATGTGCAGGGCTAACACGAGGAAAAGGAAGTGCTTTCTGGAAAGGTTAAACACATTCCTTAGGGTCTGCCCACCGATAACCTGGCTCTGAGACCGCACCAGGGGAGGCCTTTACCTGAGTGGCTTGTGCCAGGGAGTCCTGAGTGACCTTGGTCAGTTTCCGGAGGTATCGGCCATAAAGCACTGCGATGATGGATACTGGAGGCACCACGCTCAGAACAAAAGTGGCCAGTTTAGGGGAGACAAAAAACTGTCAAAAAAACCCAAACGTACATGTTACACAGAGTAGCAAGATACTCTCACTGCCCACCATAAACGTGTGTATGTTTAAATTAATAGGTAGGCCTAAAGGTGCTGTTTGGTAGAACTTTTCAGACATTCTCAGTCTTCACGAAGCCCCATGAATATTCAGCCGGCCACACGGGAGTAAGGTGACAGACAGCCTCTGAAGGTGTGGAGCTCCTTGACCCTGCAATGCTGCACCACTGTCGGCACAGCGCTGGACCAGTGTGATGTGCACCAGACCACGCTGCTCAACAGAGCCGGGGGGACAGGCTGGGAATGGAGGGAGGAGACCCTGTCTGCTCCACACTGGCCAGGCCACACCAGGAGTTCTGTGTTCAAGTCCGCATCAAGGGTTCTGAACAACCAGACCAATGTCTCCCTGAGATGACTCAGATGGCAGCAAGACCAAAATCCCCACATCAGGCGACAAAGTTGAAGGAGGACGTGCAGAGGTGTGGAGGTGTGACAGCCAAGTTAGAGCTGCTTCCATGGCTCACAGGACTGGAATCTCAGACAAATGGATCTGGACTCAACAAAAGGAGGATCTCCTAACAACTGGAGTTGCCCAAAGAAGAAGTAACACAATAGGGTTTTCCTATAGCCAACCCTGCAATTAGGTGATTATATTTTAAATGGTATTAGCATCATTATTAATTATAAAATAGTATCTTCATTGTAAGACTCTCCTCAAATGCTGGGGAAAAGCTGCAGACTGAAATGTAAAGTGAAGGATGGATCAAGCAATCATTCACTTATACTCATTCAACAACTGAGTACCTAAGGCCTACAGGCAGCATGCATGATCCTAGGCACCTGGGAGGTAACTGACGCACGGGGCATTCCATCTAAGGGGAGAGGAGACGTGGGAGTCAGAGAGAAAACAGGTGAGACAGAGAGAGAACCCGGAGTGCCCTGTGGTCTTGGAAGAGAAAGTGCACAGAGGCCCTGAGGCGGCAGTGAGCTCAGTACCCTGACCTCTGGGGACGGGCCACGCTGAACAGACAAGCAGGCGCTGGGGTTTCCGTGGCCTGCAGGACACAGGCGGAGCAGCAAGGCAATCGAGCAGGTCTGAACACAACACAGCCCAGGCAAGCTGTCTGCACGGTAGGGCAGGAACACCCCCTGGTGTCCCTGAGTCTGGGGATGGTCTCAGGACCCTCCCTCTGCTCCAGCTGCATGCTCAGAGATAACCTTCTGAAGGATGAGGCAGGTGCTCTCACGGAAAGGAGCTGTCACTGGAGAATCAGGAACACACCTCTCAATGTGGGGAGGAAGACCCCACACATAAACTACTAAACTGACAGTATGGTACAGACATCATTAGGTTCTTGGAAGCAGGGTTACCACATTCGGGTCCAGGGATCCGTGAGAAAGAATGAGCATGTCAGTCCCTCCAGAGCTGAAGGCCAGATCCCAGGGGATGCCTTCTCATGAGGCCCTGCGATAAGCTGGCATCTGCGTCCCCCCAAAACTCACAGGCCTTACACCCCGCGGGGCTGGGTGTGGATGGAGCCTCTAAGGAAGGAGTGAAGGTAAAATGAGGCTATAAGGGTGAGGGCCCTGATCCTGTCATCATGAGAGTAGCCAGCTCTCTGCACAGAAGCACAGGGCAAGGCCACGTGAACAGTGCTCCCAGCGAGAGGGCGGCTGCACGCGAGCCCAGGGAAGAGGCCTCGGAACGAACCTACTGTGTCAGCACCTCGGCCTGGGACTCCCAGAGCCCAGACGTGAGGGAAACGCACTTCTGCTGCTTGAGCCCCCACTCGTGGGGCTGTGATGCAGCTCAAGGCACTGAGACAGGCCCCCTCTGATGCCCTGCCCTTCAACTGCCACTCTTCCTGAGCCCCAGACTATTCATATCTGGAAACGGTGCTTTATTTGGTACAGGAGGGCCTTCTCCCAGAGCTTGGCTTCTCTCTTGGCTGTGTGTACACAAGAGTTCAAAGCTGTCTTCCATTCTGCATGGTAGACCTTACAGGCTCACTCTGGCAACACAGCCTTCTGCTCCGGACTGAGTGCTCTCTGGAACACTGGTCAGAAACCTCAGCGTTTCCACCTGTGAGGAAAAATCAGCCACAGTCCTCATTCTAGGGTCTAGAACTGCACCGAGATGACAGCACTGATGGCTACTAGTCACCTACATTTTAAATTTTAGCTTTAATTAAAATTAAATCTTAAAAGCTGATATTCCATTTCTATTCAGTTACTAGTAAAGTTTTAAGTATGTCTGGAGATTTCCATGTGTGCTTCTTCAACCACAAATTTTACAAAATCTAAATACTGATTATTTCAATGAAAGCCTCCAGACTTCGATGTTCTGTAAGTATAAAATATACAGTATATTTTAGAATCCTAATATGAAAAATATTTGATTAATAATTTTTATATTAAATACATGTTGAATTGATAATACTTTGTTTATATTAAGTAAAATTATTATCAAAATTAATCTCATTTCACCTTTCTGTTTTATTAAAAAAAATTTTTGGCTACTCCACACAGCTTGCAGGATTCAACCTAGGCCTTCAGCAGTGAAAGGGTGAAGTCCTAACCACTAAACTGCTATTGAATTTCCTCTTTTTGCTTTTTGAAATGTGGCTACTAGAGAAATATCAACAACTTCAGATATGCAGATGATACCACTTTAATGGCAGAAAGCAAGGAATTAAAAGAGCCTCTTGATGAGGGTGAATGAAGAGAGTGAAAAAGCAGGCTTAAAACTCAATATTAAAAAAAACCCTAAGATCATGGCATCTGGTCCCATCATTTCATGGCCAATAGAAGGGGGAAAGGTGGAAGCAGTGACATATTTCCTCTTCTTGGGCTCTAAAATCACTGAGAATGGTGACTGCAGCCATGAAATTAGAAGACAATTGCTTCTTGGCAGGAAAGTTATGACAAACCTAGACAGTGTATTAAAAAGCATAGATATCACTTTATATATAAAGGTCCATATAGTCAAGGGTATGTATGGTCTTCCCAGTAGTCATATATGGATGTGAAAGTTGGACCACAAAGAAGGTAGAACAGCAAAGAATTGATGCTTTTGAACTGTGGTGCTGGAGAAGACTCTTGAGAGTCCCTTGGACTGCAGGGAGATCAAACCAGTCCATCCTAAAGGAAATCAACTCTGAATATTCATTGGAAGGACTGATGCTGAAGCTGATGCTCCAATACTTTGGCCACCTGATGTGAAGAGCCAACTCATTGGAAAAGACCCTGGTGCTAGGAAAGATTGAGGACAAGAGGAGAAGGGGGTGACAGAAGATGAGATGGTTGGATGGCATCACCGACTCAATGGATATGAACTTGGGCAAACTCCAGGAAATGGTGAGGGACAGGGAGACCTGGGGTGCTGTGGTCCATGGGGTCGAAAAGAGTCGGACAACTTGCTGACTGAACAACCACCACCACCAAGAGNAGCAGCACAGGAGAAGGTGTGTCTTCAGACACCTGGTATGCAGGGAGGCAAGCAGATGTGAGGGCCTCCAGTCCCCAGCTAGAGAGGAACAGATGTGATGGGTGGAGAGGGTAAATGAGTGCAGAGCTGCCTGTCTATGAAGAGGGAGCCCACCCTGCCCCTGACAAGAGGAGGACAGGAAACAGCCCTCAGGTCCTGCAGAGATGACTGACAGTGGCAGCTTCCTGCCTTTGAGGAAGGATGGCTGGACAGACTGACAGACTGGTGTTCCTCCTCCATCCAGCACTGGGCATCCAGGGCTCTTCCCATCTGTGGCTCATTCCCACCCTCACACGTTCTTAGAACCCAGGCAACAAGGTAAGCTTTCGTAAAAGCCACAGTCTGTTCTCCACATAAGAAATGAAGGTTCAGGTGCCAACAAGGCAACTGCCCCGGGTCCCCGAGGCCTCTGCACGGTACTGCGCACAGCTCACCGGAGTGGTTTCACCTTGCCAGGGTGCACAGACGGGACGCAGCAGCTGAGGGACATACCATCATGCCGATGCCAACCGAAGCCTGTGCTCCAGCCCTGAGCCCGTCTGAGAGGTTCTCCGTCACTGAGCGCCCCAGGAGGGCTGCGTCTGCGGACAGACGGTTGATAAGCTCTCCTGTGCGTGTCTTGTCAAAGAAAGCCACCTCCTGTCTCAGCACTGAGGAGAACAGCGAAGCTCTCAACCTATTCACGATGCGCTGACCTGCAAGGCAAAAGGAGCGGCGTCAGTGAGGGCTCCGCTGCAGACCCGCAGCTGCCCAGGTCCCGGCCTGGTGGGAGATCACGCACACCCAGGCGCTTGCACTCTGCACCCAGCGCAGAGCTCCACACAGAGACCACAGCCCGGGGGCCGATGACAGAGGACAGTGACCAACAGTGCAGTGTACAGTTTTACCACGCTCACTGCTCACAAGCTAATTCTGCTTCTTTCACAGTCCTTTCCTGGATTGAACTTTCAAATGGCAAGAGCTGGTTAATTATCTACAGAGCATTTTAGCAGCTAAGCGGCCAGCAATCGACGTGGAGTCAGGTGTCCCAGGCTCCGTCACCAAGGTGGTCAGTGCCCATCAACAAGTAGGCCTCAGAGCGACACTGACCAGCCTCACCCCGCCACGTGCAGGGCTGCCCCGTGCGGGCAGCTCCGCGGGACGGAGAGGGAAGGGGCCGCAGGATGTCCAGGGGACACACAGCGACAGAGCAGCCTCACCCTGCCACCGGCAGCTCCGCAGGGGCAGACACGGGGAGGGGCCGCAGGGTGTCCAGGGGACACACAGCGATGCAGCAGCCTCAGCCCGCCACGGGCAGGGCCGCCCCACGCGGGCAGCTCCGCGGCTGCGCACCACCATCCAACCTCCTGGAGACCCCCAGGCCACTGAGCTCTAGTGCCGGGCAAGGAGGGGTGAGCACAGAGTCCCTTGTCCAGCACGATCTCCAGCCTGGGGCTGGCCCTGCCCTCGGGGGCCGGAGCACAGGGAGCCCACGAGACCCGCCCCACCCAGGCCACCCAGGAGCAGGGTCCCGGCACCTGACGTCTGCATGAGGTAGACACGGACGGCATTGGCCGCGGCGCCGCACAGGAACACGCCTCCGAGCGCCAGGCAGAGGCGGGTCAGGCTGGAGCTGCAGTCTGCAGAGGGGTCTGTGTAGATGACGTCGATGATCTTCCCCAGGAAGAAGGGGGCGGACATGGTGATGACACTGGACACTGCCAGAAACCCAACTGCAGCTGGAAAACACAAGCAACTCTCCGGTTCATTGGTGCTTTGCCCAAGGAACAGGGTGCTGAGTTCATCAGCTTCCTTCCCGAATAAACTTTTCAGAGCGTGTGATTCTCTCAGAGGCTGGGAGTCTCCTCCCTTTAGCCCCTGGACCCCCGATTAAAGAGGAGAGCCAGATCTGGTTCTGGGACACATCAGGCAGGATGTCTGTAGAAGGCACGGATCCTACCCAAGTATCCAGACCAGACGACCTGGCTTTACCCTGGTCTGTTCCTCTCTTCTTCCCCAAAAGTAACTGAGAGCTAACCACAAAATCCGCTCTGGTCTCCCTCCTGCCTCTTGATCTAGGGGTTCAACTCAGATGATGTTTTTCCTACATTCATGCTATATATGTCGTTACTCCTTGGCATCTAACTGTATCTTAGCTTGAAGATCAAACTATGCAGGTAAAGATCTTGATTATGTCTAATATTTCACAAGACTGTAAGCTATGGAAAGCAGGTATGGGCATCCACTACACATGTGACACCTTCCTTCTTAATATGACTGCTTTGGGAAATAAAGTACCAGAGTATCACCATGATTATAAAAATATGCAAGAACACAACTGTTCACACTCCTTAAAAAAAAGACAAAGGCATAGAATCTTTTCAGAAAAGAAAATATTGAAAAAACCCAATTAGGAAAAGCATGTATCACAGCTAACTACATTCATAATAAGGAATGCAAATTTAAAACACAAAGATGTATCATTTTTCATCTACTGGATTGGCAAAGCTCAGAGTTTGACAACACCCTGTTAGTGAACCTGCAAGGAGGCAGCATTTACACTGTTAGTGGCTATGCAAACTGGCACAGTCACAGTGGAAGGTGATGAGATCCTACTGGTCAAATGTAAATGAACACTCCCTTTCATCCACCAATTCGATCTCTAATGTATAGATACACTCCCATATGTGTATGCAAGAAAAAGGTACACTCAGGGGTGTTCATTAAGGCATTGCTTATACCAGCAAAAGATTAAAAATACTCTAAACATTCCTTAGTGAAGAAAAGTTAAATCAATTATGGAACATGTGTTTTACACATATTATGCAGTCATTAAAAACAATGAGGTGGCTCTATAGGAAACAACATGAAGCAATCCACTAAGACACACTGTGATCAAGAAAAGCCGAGGACACAAATGTCTGTGGGGCTTTTTTTGCTAGTTGGTTCTTAAGTTCATGTAGGCACAAACAACCCTAGAAATTCTTCAGCCCGAAGCTGTGTACCCAACAGGCAAATGGCTCAGTTTCTGGATGTTGTCTAAGTGTTTGGAATGTACACCTGGCACCTCTCCACGGGCATCCACAGTTTAAGAAAGTAAATAGAAACTTTCAAGGAGGATCATGGTTTCAGACCTGCATTGTGACCAAAGGCTCTGCCCACCTACTCCTACTTCCTTTGGCCTTATCTCTCACATGTGTTCACCCCAGTAGATCTCTTGTACATCTAATTCTGTTCTGACATCTGCTTGTTGGAAGCCCTAAACTGACACACCCAATGATCTTTCAAAAATAAACACATACATCCACATGTTTACCTTTACAGATGGGCCATGGTCAAAGAACTTCCCAGGTGGTGCTAGTGGTAAAGAATTCACCTGCCAATGCAGGAGACATAAGAGACGCAGGTTCGATCCCTGGATCAGAAAAATCCCCTGGTGGAGGGCATGGCAACCCACTCCAGTATTTTTGCCTGGAGAATCCCATGGGCAGAAGAGCCTAGTGGGCTACAGTCCACAGGGTCGCAAGGAGTCAGACATGACTGAAGCGACTTAGCATGCATGCATGCACAAAACATCTCCAGGGAAGTAACAGAGGAGTAACAGCTTCCTTCTGCAGAGTGGCACCAGGTGACTGGGGCGGGGTGCATATGTATGCCACTGTGGACCTTCCGTCCTCCTGGGGCTCCCTCTGTCCCTCCTGGCCCCCCACCCTCCTGCTAGCACCATCAGTGAACAGCCAATGGCGAGGACCCTAAGTGGACACAGTGTGGGGGATGGGTGCTCCCAACACCCTGCAAATAGCTTCTCTGTGTCTTGCCTAAAGCCAACACTTCAGTGAAAGGCTTCACTTTTACAAAACCTTAATACAAAGAGTTAAGCGCAAACTCTGCCAACCAGTAGTTCAGCTGGCAAACAGCTCTAGGAGAAATATGAGCTTGTTAAGTCAGGAATACTGCCCATACTCTCTCCCTCCTGGGGGTCTTCTAACACCTCTCCTCAAAGGAGGCCTGCTCTGCAATCCCATCTATAATACAGACCCCAACACACCTTTCATTCTCTTTCCAGCATTTCCCAGTCTTTGGGAAGTTTCACTTATCTACTGTATCTCTCCGTTAGGAGAAAAGATTTCTATCTATTTTGTTCACTGTTATATCCTGACTGTCTGCAGGGACAGGCATATAGTATAAGCTCAATAAATACTGGCTGGATGAATGAACAAACTGAACCATGGCAAAGGAGGGAGAAAAGCATGTCAAAGTTCAACAACAGCCTAAAGAGAAATATAAGATCTGGTAGCTCAGAAAGTCCATGTGGAAATGACTCCTTTACAGGAGCCAGGAAACCCACGTGCCTGGCTTAAAACCCCTTCCTCACAGCCTGACTGCATAATATAAATCTGGCCAAGTGCCATTTTATTTTGCTGTAAGACTCAGGATCTTGTTTAAAACTCGGTGTTCCTGATGACTGTGCTCAGAAGGACTGAAAGCCCAAGGGTCCTGGGAGCATGTGTAGCTTAGGTTCTGCAGGGCACGGCCACAGAAACCAGTGTGCTGGAGACCCAGGAATTAACCTGGAAGACCTGTTTCATCTGTCATCAGCAGGCAGTTTCTCTAGTCTGGTTCTTCCCTTTGGCAAATATTTCCCTAAGTGTAACGCATGCCAAGTGCTACCAAGGTTCATCTCTCCCTCCCGCCTCCAGTTTTCAAATTCAGTTATGATTCCGAAATAAGAACCTGTACAGCATGAATACACACTAGTTCTTACATAGTAATGACAATGATTACAAAGAGAAAGGAATTTGGCTGAATTAAAATCTGTTCCAGGGACTTCCTGGCGGTCCAGTGGTTAAGAATCCACCTGCCCATGCAGGTGATGCGGTTTTGATCCCTGGTCGGGAAACTAATCCCACACGCGGCAAGGCAGCTAACCCCACGTGCCACAGCTGCTGAAGCCTGGAGCTTGCGTTCCACAACCAGAAGCCGCTGTGGAGAGAAGGCCCTGCGCCACGAGAGCGCAGCCCCACTCGCTGAAACTAGAGGGAGCCCACACGTAGCAACAAAGAGCCAGCGAAGCCAAAATAGTCCATCTTAAAAAAATCGCTTCAGGATCTCCCCTTTAAAAACAAAAACAAACAATTATTATTGCCATTTGCCTCTTTCTTATACAAGTTCAGTTTAGTTCAGTCACTCAGTCGTGTCCGACTCTTTGCGACCCCATGGACCGCAGCACATCAGGCCTCCCTGTCCATCACCAACTCCCAGAGTTTACTCAAGCTCATGTCCACTGAGTCAGTGATGCCATCCAACCATCTCATCCTCTGTCGCCCCCTTCTCCTCCCACCTTCAATCTTTCCCAGTGTCAGGGTCTTTTCAAATGAGTCAGCTCTTCCCATCAGGTGGCCAAAGTATTGGAGTTTCAGCTTCAGTCCTTCTAATGAATATTCGGGACTGATTTCCTTTAGGATGGACTGGTTGGATCTTCTACAAGTTAAATGTATACAAAGTAAAAAAAATTTCTGCTTTGGGTTAGCTGGATTTCTGTTAAGGTTTTACTACACAACACCATCTCTGACATACATGAATCATGTAGATTTGCACCACAACTATCATCTCTGATTCCTCCCCAAACCTGATGAGCCAAGTAAACCACAATCCTTCTGGATATTCTCCACCTTTTGCCATGGTTCAGCGTTTGCTACTCCTCTCCCTTGCCTGACTGTTACTGTCTCTTGACAGGTATTTTCAAGCATTTTTCTGTTACCCTAAGTCTACCCAGTCATGGCATTCAAAGAATGAGAGCAATCTCCTTGAAAAGAAAGAAGGAAAACCTGAAAGGCAGGCTGCTGGGAGAAGGGCTGTGGCCAGTACCGAGGTCCTGGACCGGCAGGTCTGGGGGCGGCAAAGGCTGCACAGCCTGTCTACCATCGCTAGACACAGGACAGAGCTTTTAAGGACTCAGCTGCCCACTGAGCTAGGCAGGTGCAGCAAGCCCCATGTCACTCACGGACTAAGGTACTAACTACCCACCACTATCTGAAACATTTGCTATGCACTGTCTCCTCCAACAATGCTCTCACCATCCTCATTTTCCAGAGAGGAAACTCAAGCACTTACAGGGAGCTTGCACAAGGTCACCCAGTTCATCTACTGCAGAACCACATTCCGAGACAAAAATCTGTCTTCTTCATCTTCACACAACCAAGCTGAGAAAACACCAGGGACCTCTGCTGGGGACGGTGAGGACAGCCAGGGAGCAGAAAGGCTGCCGGATAACACTGGGATAGAGACTGTGGTCGGAGAAGGCACTGGCGACCCACTCCAGTCCTCTTGCCTGGAAAATCCCATGGACGGAGGAGCCTGGTGGGCTGCAGTCCAGGGGGTCGCTAAGAGTCAGACACGACTGAGAGACTTCACTTTCACTTTTCACTTTCCACTTTCATGCATTGGAGAAGGAAATGGCAACCCACTCCAGTGTTCTTGCCTGGAGAATCCCAGGGGCGGGGGAGCCTGTGGGCTGCTGTCTATGGGGTCACACAGAGTCAGACACGACTGATGCAACTTAGCAGCAGCAGCAGCAGGGACTGTGATGCAGAAAAAAGGTAGGAGGCTCCAGGCTCTCAGAACAGGGCTGCTGCAGCAAGGCAGCCCTAACAGGGCCTCAGGCTGGGGAGTGAGCCGGTCAGGTCTGTATTTTAAATGATTCACTCTGGCTGCAGAGTGAAAGGCTGCAGAAATGAAAGGACCCGAGGCTGCCCTGCTCCAGGCAAGAGGGAAACTAAGGTGAAGTGGGGAGGAGGGGCAGTGGGGATAGGATGGTGACAAGGAATGCAGGCATTTTTAAGAGCTAGACTGGGGAGTTCTGAAGTTGGGACTGACAGCATCAGTGCCCTAGCTCTGTCATCTAGCTGTCTGACCTCCACTGACTCAAACTCTCTGCACCTCAGTTTATTCATCTAGAAGGTGGCAATAAAAGCAGCCTCTCCCTCAAGGAAATGTGAGAAATTACACACACACATGACGTCTCCAGCCCAGTGTCAGTATCCAGCCAACGACAAGTATCCACTATTATTTATTAACATACTGGGCTTCCTAGCTGGAGCTACTGGTAAAGAATCCACCTGCCACTGGGAGAGCCCTGGGTTGGAAGATCCCCTGGCAAAGGAACTCGCAACCCTCTGCAGTATTCTTGCCTGGAAAATCCCATGGACAGAGGAGCCTGGTAGGCTACAGTCCATAGGGTCGCAAAGGATCAGACAGGACTGAGCGCACACACACAGAATCTATATCACAGCTGGCATCGCGAGTCATCAGGACTGACCTGGGCCCCTGCCAGCTGGGTCCCACTCTCTGAGAGCAGGGACAGAGGAGGAAAGGAGTTTTCAGTGTCCACAGAGAACATGGGAATGGAGGGCCCGGGCAGGTGAGAAGCTCAAGTGAAGGAGCCTGGCAAGTAGCTAAGCTGGACAAGGCAAGAGGTAGACAGGGCTGCCGGTCAGCAGGAAGTGTAGCGCTGAGGAAGCCTCTGAGGCTGTGGAGAGACCTGGAGAGAAAGGTCTGGGCAAGGCTAGAGTGCAAGTGACAGAGCCGGCATCTGTGCTGCAGGGACCACAATGGGCCTGCCCACGAATGGCACTTTTGTGCAGCACACGTACTATGTGAGCTGCCCACAGAACTTAAAATCTTCTAGTTGCCGCATTACAGAGAAACAGGTAATATTAATTTTAATGACATATTTTATTTGATCCAATATATCCAAAGTATTAGTCTTCAATGAACATTAAAAAGTAAAGAAAATTCACATTTTTTCCCCATACTAAATCCCTTCAGTGTCTGGTGTTTCACTCTTGAATCAACTCCGACTAGCATGTTTCACAGCACAGCTACAGGATGTTCAGGTTTTCTCTGGAATGTGGTATTTCCAAAGCAAATACATACTGCAGGCTTTCTGGAACAATTCCGTTTCTGGGTTCAGCCTCATTGCCTCATAAGCACTGTCCTTGTCAGAATTTTCAGCCCCGACCTGGGCTGCAGGATGTAGCCATTCTAAGCATGGCTCACCCTCTACTTGCTTACCACACCCACTGGTTTCATCACTCCTCACTCCGGTCACTTAACGGTCTGGCTCCATAATATTCAACTATGAATGGAGCAAAAGCTCCTGGCGGGCATCAGACTCTAAGAACTGTCCTCGTCTCAAACCACATAAGTCCTTACCAGTGTTTAAGTGAACAGCTTGGGGGTGGAGGCCTGGACATGCACCTTCCATATTTGACCAGTGACCCACCAGGGAATATTGATATTCCCTGATAGCTCAGTTGGTAAAGAATCCACCTGCAATGCAGGAGACCCAGGTTCGGTTCCTGGGTCAGAACGATCTGCTGGCAAAGGGATAGGCTACCCACTCCAGTATTCTTGGGCTTCCCTGGGGGCTCAGCTAGTAAAGGATCCGCCTGCAATGTGGGAGACCTGGGTTTGATCCCTGGGTTGGGAAGATCCCCTGGAGCAGGGAAAGGTTACCCACTCTAGTATTCTGGCCTGGAGAATTCCATGGACAGTCCACGGGGTCGCAAAGAGTCGGACACAACGGAGTGACTTTCACTTTCTTTCTTGCATCTGGGAATTATGAGCAAGACAGTCTCCGTGGTGGCCACCGCACCAAGACCCTCCATCACTGTCATCCCACTGCCCCCTAAGGCCCTGGGCTCACTCCTAGCTCCGAACTCCATGCACGGCGCTCCCACTCTCTCACCCACTGGACGCCCCGGCAGCCTCTTCTATCTGCCAGACCGGGAGCAGTCCCCTCTTATCCCATTGGCCACAGGGGCACCTCAGTGAGCTCCTTCATCTTCTAAGGCTCCTGTGACCAAGACGATAAGACGAATTATCAGTGAAAAATGACTGCAGAGCAATATTGGAGGCCACAGCTGTGGGAAGATATCTGCAAATTCCAACACAAAGTGAGACACAGGGAGGAAGGGCCACGGGGCGCATCAGACTGTGGTTCCTTCAGAAGACAGATAGACAGGACAGTCTTCTGCAGACACCTGCAGGTGTCTCGGACGGCAGACCCTGCTTTTAAAGTTTCGGATACAGATGATTTAAGAGCAAAGTGTTCTGGTCACAGTTCAGGCACATTTTCAGCAAACTGCTGAACACAGATGAAAACACATATTCAATCATATAGTTAAACTTCTGAAGAAGTAATTTTGTATTCCTGTTTCTAAAAATTAACAGTGGAATTCCTTCTCTTCAATTCAGCTTTTTTCCAGCCTCTTGACTTAAAGTACACACACACGTGCTAGTTATTTCCAGCATTGCAAAGAGATGGGCCAACATCTAAGGCTGCTCCTACAAGGATAAGTTACAAATTAATGGTGATCCCCCCTCAAGGTTCTCTTAATCTTACAAATGTCAACATTCAGAGTGGCTGCAACATAGTATATAGAATATCTTTTGAGGCAACCCTATGTCCTAATAAGGAGCTTTCATCATATGAAATACAATATGTATATATTATTTGTTTGAAAAGTGAAAGTCACTCAGTCATGTCTAACTCTTTGTGACCCCACGGACTATACAGTCCATGGAATTCTCCAGGCCAGAATACTGGAGTGGGTAGCCATTCCCTTCTCCAGGGGATCTTCCCATCCCAGGGATCAAACTGGGGTCTCCTGCATTGCAGGCAGATTATTTGTTTGAAACATGGGAAAGAACCAGTGTACCAATCCCAGACTTACTCCCTCAAATTATACAGTCACACTTATTCCAGGCAGCAAATCTAACTAGCTCCCCTTCTTAAAATAAAAGGAGGCACAGCTCTTGCCTCCTTAAAGGCTGTCTTCTGAGCAGGCTAACAGACAAGACATGTGGGAACAAGTGCAAAGGTACAGGGAGCGTGACCACGCAGACAGGCGGGGTTGGGCCACCTATCATGGCCAGAACACGTGGGCGCCCAAAGCCTGATACCTAAAAACTTCCTTGACATCTAAAATTTCAGGAACAAAACTGGATTTCCTAGCTTATTTTTAATTACATATGAAGATGATGGACACAGCCTGCAGTGCTCAGGGTTTCTAAACTCAGGTTTCCATGTGGGCCTGGTCAACCATCACTTATTCCTTCTTTGAAGGCACACTATGCCCAATTCTGGGCCACACACACGCTAAGGACTAGACAGGAAGATGAAGCAGACACAGCTCTTTTCCCAAGAAGCTCATAGTCCAATGAGGACTCCCAGTCTCAAGTTTTTCTTTTAAAAAAGAAACAAGGAAAAAAATTTTCCATCAAAAATACACACACCAACAAGTGACAAGATTACTCTCCTTATACCTCCATAACACCAAGACCCCATGAAGCTGTAAAAGTCAGGGAGAGGTAAAACGTTCCCACTCTGTTGCCCTCTACCACACCAGCCTGCCCTATACCACAAATCGCTCTCTAGGACTATCCTTCCTGAAGCAACAGATTTGTAACAAAAATGTGGGATTCTCACCTGCTTCAAGTCTAAGAACATTACAAGCCCTCTTTCCCAACCCTCATCAAACCTGCAGTTTTATCTCTAGTCACATGAGCTTTTCATTAATGCCTCTCCAGTATTGAACTGCAAGCCCCAGCAGGAGCAGGAGCAGGAACCAGGTTTCCTTCTGCTCATCAATGGAACCCACGGGCCTAGCACACAAGACTCAATATTTATTAAAAGAAATGAAGATTTGGAGAAACCTCAAAACAGTTTAGATATTACAAGGACTTTGCATTGAAACATTTCTCCATTTTATGGCTAAAAATGAGACTGTACAAAATCTGACTTTTGTTTCTAAAGATATTCATTTTTACTTTTTAAAATTACTCAGTTATGATTTAGCTGCGTTATGACCTGCAGTTTCTCAACACTTCTAGAGTTTACCGATCACTGACTATAGCCAGTGCTGACTCTTCAGAAGAGCTTAGTAACTTCCTGCCTACCACTCAGTGAGGCAAAAACGGGACAAGCCTGAAAGGTTTACATCGTTTTGCTTCACGGAGTAAAAATAATGTTGGCTGCTTAAGAAATTAACCTGAAGCAAATAATGTGGGGTTTTTTTAGTGCTTCAAGTGCATGCTACAAAATAGGTTTACTACAATCTACGATTCATTTTACAAAGATAGGGTAAAAAAACACAAACAACCCAGGTCACTTGAGAACGTTGGCAAAATAAAAGCGAAACAGACCTGACGACTGTAATAAGGAGATGCCTCTCTATTTGCATAATATGCTACAGGTTGTCCGCGCACCTGCGGATCCACACCGCTACAGCAGGCGCGCTCCGTCCGTACCCCCAGGGAGGACGCACAGGTAAAAGCACCCTGTCCTCTTCACCGAGTCCATTGGCTCCAGGCCTTCTGCCGCCCGCTCAGTGCCCCTGTCGCCAGCCCCGGACCTCGCAAGGGGAAGGTCACCGGTTGACCGAGAAGAGGGCCCTACCTGCCAGCCTCCGGCGCTCGGGCTGCGCCAGGCTCAGGAGCTTCTGCGCCTCCGAGCGCCTAGCCGCTGCGGGCCAGGCCGGGTCACGATCGGGAGTCGCCGCGGCCGCAGGCAAGGCCGGCCCGCGCCGCCAAGCCTCCCCAGCGGCCCGCGCGACGAAGGTCGTGCAGCCAGGAAGCGCGGAGCGCGGGAGCCTGGAGGAGACGGGCCCGGAGAGCGCCCAGCACCTAGACACGTCTCCGGCGCCCGTCGGCAGCGCCCCCCACAGGGCGGCCCAGAGCCCAGCGCGTCGCGGGACCGGCGGTGGAGGAGGCGGAAGAGCGAGCCTTGGGCCGCCGCGCCTGCGCACTGCCGCGCACGGCGCGTTTCGCGCTCCTGGACCGCTCCGGAGAAGCCGGGGCGGCGCGGGCCTCTGGTCACGCCGGCGCGCAGGAGCGGTCACACGTGCCGGCTTCTGACCGCAGCGGGCTACTGGTGTTCGCGGTCTTGGCGGAGGGTGAAACTCGGGTAGCTCTGAGAGGAGAGGGCCATCTCATACGGTGGACAGACGTGCATTGAGCGGAGGTGGCCCGGCTGCGCCGGCTGGCTGCTCCCGGTGAGGCCGGGCAGAACGCGCTGTGTAATACGCGAGTGCGGGAAGCCCAGGTTAGGGTCAAAACCCCCCGGGACACGAGGACTTCACGGCCTGGCGTCCGTACTCTAGGGCCTGGTACTTATCTAAGAATGGTGTTTTAGGAAAAGTGGATAGCTTTTTGTTGACCTGTCACTATTTTAAAGGCTGGGACTCGGATGAGGCCAGTGAAAGACAGTTGCCTCCGTTGCAATATTTATGGATTCGAAAAAAAAGATGATCAAATATAAATATATTTTAGTTCAAATTTTTAAAAAATCAAAATTAATGCAAAAATCCATGATGAACAGTGTATCAAAATTTGAAATGAAAGATCTGTCCCTGCACTTGGACAAGACCACCCCTCTCTCACACATTGATCCCAGCCCTCAAAGTTTTGTTTACAAAATCAAGCAATTAGCAGCTTTGTTTGCAATTTGTTTTCTTGTTTTTTTCTTTAGAATACCGTTTATCTTGATTACTGGAGCTACTTATGTTCTGCCTGTAGTCTGAGTCCCCGGTCGGGAAAGAAGACTCCTCGAAACAATGCAACTTGCAATAGGGGAATTTATTACTGACTCGAGCCAGGGCCTCCCGCCCTCACCAAGGGTGTGAGGACGAAAAGGCCCGGAGCCCCAGTTCTCTCGGATATTTATTAGGTCAAAAAAAGCAGCAGGTAGTTGGCGCAAGCGGATTGGTTACACAGCGGGTAGTTGGTGCAAGCGGATTGGTTACACAGTTGCAAGGCAATTTTTGTTGGCCCAACGTGGGGCTTTCAGCTTTCCCCTGATAGGTTCCCTTTTTTCTTGCTAGGCATATGTTGATTGGCTAGCTCCAGGAGGCCTGATAATTATGTTACCCCGGGAAACCAGGCCTACTCCTAATCTAGGCTGCCTGTCATGGCGTTAGCCGTGACAGCCTCACAATTTAGAGTTTCCCTAAATTTTGCCCCCAGGAGAGTGCCTCACTTACCTCTACCTGGGGCCCTGGTAGGTAAGGAGTGTAGGACTTTTGAGGTGAAGTACTAATAACGGAGAGGTAATGTAGGATTAAATCCCACCCTAAATACCCCTGTGAAGACAACAGGAAGCTTGCCATCCTCTAAATTCCAACCTCTTGAACCCAGAGGGGCATGGAGTCCATAGTTCACCACTCCACCCCCACCGCCTCTCCTTGGTGTCTACCTCCTAGAATGCAAGGTGTAATGTGACTGAAGCTTACACTGCTGATTTATGAGTAAGCAAGTCCTCCTGAGATTTTGTTAGATGACTTCTGAAAGCAAGGGAGATATAGTGCCGCATACCCCACATCGTGTCAAATAATGACCTCCCAATGGGGGAAAAAGTGACAGTTTCTATTCAAGTCTAATCTTCCTCTTCTTTTCTCTTTTCTACTTTCCAGGAAACTGTTGCTGCTGCTGTCTGGGGAAGGTGAGATTGGCATTTTCTTTCTGCCTTCTTCAGAATGAAGTCCACCAGACTTTTTCAGCCAGCTCTCTCTAGGGTCTGGAGTCTAAAAAGAAAATACCTGAAGTGTAGCTCATGAAGAAACCATAACTCTCTGTGTTGCCTGCACTTCTAACAATCAGTCAAATGATAATCTGAAAATTATCCCTGACAAAATTGTCATGCTTTGAAACAAAAAGCCCACCCAGCTATCATATGATATGCAAGCAAGATTTTGTTTTTATTTCCTAACATAGAATCTAGAGAAAACAGCCATGGTTCTTTTAAAAAACAAAACAAAACAAAAAAAACAATGAGGGGATGGAGCAGGGAATAAATATTGGCTAAAGGATCATCTGGTCTTATACGGTCATCACACCAAAAAAAGAAAAAGAAAAAAAAAGTGTTCAGTCGCTCAGTTGGATCCCACTCTTTTCAACTCCATGGACTGTAGCACACCACGCCTCCCTGTCCATCACCAACTCCTGGAGTTGACTCAAACATATATCCACTGAGGTGGTGATGCCACCCAACCATCTCATCCTCTGTCATCCCCTTCTCCTCCCACCTTCAATCTTTCCCAGCATCAGGGTCTTTTCCAAGGAGTCAGTTCTTCGCATCAGGTGGCCAAGTATTGGAGTTTCAACTTCAACATCAGTCCTTCTAATGAACATTCACTGATTTCCTTTAGGATGGACTGGTTGGACCTCCTTGCTGTCCAAGAGACTCTCAAGACTCCTCTCCAACACCACAGTTCAAAAGCATCAATTCTTTGGCGCTCAGCCTTCTTTATAGTCCAACTCTTACATCCATACATGACCACTGGAAAAACCATAGCCTTGACTAGAGGGAACTTTGTTGACAAAGTAATGTCTGCTTTTTAATATGCTAAGTTGGTCATAACTTTCCTTCCAAGGAGTTAAGTGTCTTTTAATTTCATGGCTGCAGTCACCATCTGCAGTGTTTTTGGAGCTCCCAGAAGTAAAGTCTGCCACTGTTCTACTGTTTCCCCATCTATTTCCCATGAAGTGATGGGACCGGATGCCATGATCTTAGTTTTCTGAATGTTGAGCTTTAAGGCAACTTTTTCACTCTCCTCTTTAACTTTCATCAAGAGGCTCTTTAGTTCTTCACTTTCTGCCATAAGGGTGGTGTCATATGCATATCTGAGGTTATTGATATTTCTCCCGGCAATCTTGATTCCAGCTTGTGCTTCTTCCAGCCCAGCATTTCTCATGATGTATTCTGCATATAAGTTAAATAAGCGGGGTGACAATATATAGCCTTGACATGCTCCTTTCCTGATTTATAACCAATCTGTTGTTCCATGTCCAGTTCTAACTGTTGCTTCTTGACCTGCCTACAGATTTCTCAGGAGGCAGGTCAGGTGATCTGGTATTCCCATCTCTTTAAGAATTTTCCACCGTTTATTGTGAGCCACACAGTCAAAGGCTTTGGCATACATAGTCAATAAAGCAGAAATAAATGTTTTTCTGGAACTCTTGCTTTTTCAATGATCCAGCAGATATTGGCAATTTGACCTCTGGTTCCTCTGCCTTTTCTAAGTCCAGCTTGAACATCTGGAAGTTCTCAGTTCACGTATTGCTGAAGCCTGGCTTGGATAATTTTGAGCATTACTTTACTAGTGTGTGAGATGAGTGCAATTGTGCAGTAGTTTGAGCATTCTTTGGCATTGCCTTTCTTTGCGATTGGAATGAAAACGGACCTTTTCCAGTTCTGTGGCCACTGCTGAGTTTTCCACATTTGCTGGCATATTGAGTGCAGCACTTTCACAGCATCATCTTTCAGGATTTGAAATAGCTCAACTGGAATTCCATCACCTCCACTAGCTTTGTTCATAGTGATACTTCCTAAGGCCCACTTGACTTCACATTCCAGGATNAAGTGAAGAGGAACTAAAAAGCCTCTTGATGAAAGTTAAAGAGGAGAGTGAAAAAGTTGGCTTAAAGCTCAACATTCAGAAAACTAAGATCATGGTGTCTGGTCCCATCACTTCTTGGGAAATAGATGGGGAAACAATGGAAAGAGTGTCAGACTTCACTTTGGGGGGCTCCAAAGTCACTGCAGATGGTGACTGCAGCCATGAAATTAAAAGACACTTACTCCTTGGAAGGAAAGTTATGACCAACCTAGATAGCATATTAAAAAGCAGAGACATTACTTTGCCAATAAAGGTCCATCTAGTCAAGGCTATGGTTTTTCCAGTGGTCATGTATGGATGTGAAAGTTGGACTGTGAAGAAAGCTGAGCACCGAAAAATTGATGCTTTTGAACTGTGGTGTTGGAGAATACTCTTGAGAGTCTCTTGGACTGCAAGGAGATCCTACCAGTCCACCCTAAAGGAGATCAGTCCTGGGTGTTCATTGGAAGGACTAATGTTGAAGCTGAAACTCTAATACTTTGGCCACCTCATAAGAAGAGTTGACTCATTGGAAAAGACCCTGATGCTTGGAGAGATTGGGGGCAGGAGGAGAAGGGGACAACAGAGGATGAGAAGGCTGGATGGCATCATCGACTTGATGGACATGAGTTTGAGTAAACTCCAGGAGTGGGTGATGGACAGGGAGGCCTGGTGTGCTGTGATTCATGGGGTCACAAAGAGTCGTACACAACTGAGCGACTGAACTGACTGAATGATCTAGTGATTTGCTGACTATAAATACACACACACACACACACACACATATCCAATATACTGGTTTGGCCAAAATATTTGGGTTTTTCAGTTAGATATTATAGGAAACCTGAACAGATGTTTTGACCAATCTACCATATTGGCAATGATATATCTAGATATATATATATATATATATATATATGCATTTCCCATTTTAAAATAAGGATAGGCCTTCCCTGGTGGTCCAGTGGTTAAGAATCTGCCTGCAAATGCTGGGGACATGGGTTTGATCCTTGGTTTGGGAAGAACCCACATGCCTCAGAGCAACCAGTCCCAGGTAGCACAGTTACTGAACCCTTGTGCTGCCACTACTGAGCCTGTGCACTCTAGAGCCCATGGGCCAGAACAAGAGAAGCCAGAGTGATGAGAAGCCTGCAACCACAGCTAGAGAGAGCCTGGCCAGAGCAACAAAGGCCTAGCGCAACCAAAAAAATTAAAAATAACGATAACTTTTCATTCCCTTTCTAGGAATTAGCATAAAATCCTTGGCCACTGAAAAGGGCAAGAAGTGCTCTAAAATGTGTTTGGGAAAGAAGAAAACAAATCACCTAGATGTGAGTGGATTAATAGTACAAAATTCCTCAAAAAAACAAGGAAAGGCTGCACGTTAATTCTGAGAAAACCAGCAAAAGTTCAAATGCTACCCACAGTGAGACAGAGGACTCTTGGTGGAGGGGTAACTGAACCAAGTAGCAAAATCTGGCCTTTGATGAATAGACTTTTAATAGGTTAGGTGGCCAACAGGTGTCAAATTCAAAAAGGACGTCTTCTGGTCGAAACTTGAGATCAGTTGAGATTACTTGAGGGACAGCTCCACCTGTGGGTTCTTGTCTTTTTAAAAAGGGGACAAGGTGGGCAGCAGGAGGCGGCCCCCACGAGGCACAATAGCCCAGGAAGTGGAAAAAGTCTCCCTGGCCTACAGTCTGGTCTGTAATCTGACTGCGGGGTGGCGGGGGGGGTCATTTCACCCTTCTTAGTTCCTTCCTTTTTTTCTCCAGCTTGCAGCTCAGCCCATCAGGGCCAGGGTGGCAGGGTGATGACTGAAGGTGGAGCCTGCAGTTCAGTGAATCACCGACGAGGAAAGGGGTGGGATCCACCAGGGCCAGACATGCTCTGTAAGTTCCTCTGAAATCTAAGCTTTTGGTGACTCCTCCTCATCATGTGCTTACAGCCAATGCCCACATGGCTCAGGTAGGCTGAGTGCTATGGATATAGAAGGTGTCAAAAGCTTTGACCTTCACCTTCTCTCACCTTCTCCCAAAATAATCTGGTGAAAGGTTGCTATGGATTAAATTGTGTCCTGTCATAAGAGGCATGTTGAAATCCTAAACCCCAGGACTTCAGAATGGGACCTGACTTGGAAATGAAGTTATTGCAGATGTAAAGATGAGGTCGTCCTGGATTAGGGGTAGTGTATCTTTATAAGAAGACAGCCCTGCAAAGACGGAGACCCACAAGGAAGATGTCCTGTGATGGCAAAGCAGATATGGCAGTTACACGGCGGCACGCCAGGGGATGCCAGAGATGGCCAGAAAGTCACTAGAAGCTGCCAAGAGTCAAGGAAGGACTCTTTCACAAATCAGAGGGAGCATGTCTCTTCAAAAACCTGATTTCAGACTTCTAGCCTCCACAACAATGAGACAGTAAATCTGTTTTAACCTATCCAGTTTGTTTTTATTGCATTAAAGTAGCTCTAGGAAAGTACTACTTTCCTAGAAAGTACTGGAATACCTAGGAAAGTGCTGGAGTACTCTTGCCTGAGAAATTCCATGGACAGAGGAGCCTTGTAAGCCACAGTCCATGGGGTCACAAAGAGTCGGACATGACTGAGTGACTCCACTTTCACCCACTCACAGGAAAGTAATACAAAAGTCACTGTCTCATTTGATACTGCAATAGATGCTCACCATTTGTCAGTTTCCTCATTTTTGACCTCCCCAAAACCCAATTGAATTATTCAGGCTACTTTAAACTGCCAGTTTGCAGATCACATATGCTACAGTGCTTAACTTTGTTTTACTAAAAGCATGTTCAGCAGCTCTCCAGATTTTAGGCTACACAAAGAACCTTGCATGATCTAAGGAAAAGTCAGGACTGTAGACAGTGCACTTGATTCTATGCTCTTTGTAACATTCAGGTACAGTATTTTTTCTTATGTTAAGAGGCTGATATTGTATCCAGATATATAGAAAAAGTACCCATACCCTATGACTTTTTTCATTCTGTTCTAATTTCATCTCATGCTTAAAGATGCAAAGTTGACTATGGAGTATATGATGGCTGTATTTTTTGATCCAAAATATAAGATCTCAATACCATCATTCCCATTCCAATTTGTGGATTTCTAACTCTAAAATTAGATGCAGACCTAATTGAAAAATATGGAAAGAAAATGAACAGACACTTCACCCCCAAAGGAAATTCAAGTGACTCAGACATAATACAAGAAAAAAAAGATGTTCTATCTGATTTATAATAAACATGAAAATTAAAATGTTAAGCAGTTACCCTAGTCCATTACCAATTTAGCAAAGATCAAAAAGTTCAGTTACATTGTATTGATGAGGGTGACTGGAAATATAGGCAATGCTGATGTAAACTGTTGCAGTATTAATGGAAAGCTCATTATATATATTAAAAACTTAAGTGTATGTGTCCTTTAACCCTGAAATATCACACCTATGACTTTAAAATTGGACTTTCTTTTTCTGGAGAAGTTTTAGCAAAATTGAGTGGCAATTACAGACGTTTCCCATATACCACCTTTGTCCACATAGGTTCACAACCTCCCCTACCACCACATTCCCACACTGGGAATTTGTTACAAAGGATGAATCTGCGCTGACACGTCAGCATAATCCAAAGCCCATAGTTTACATTAGGTTCATTCTTGGTGTGGTCCATCCTGTGAGTTTGACAAACGTGTGATCTTCCCTGGTGGCTCAGATGGTAAGTGTCTGCCTGCAGTGTGAGAGACCCGGGCTCAATCCCTGGGTTGGGAAGATCCCCTGAAGAAAGAAATGGCAACCCACTCCAGTACTTTTGCCTGGAAAATTCCATGGACTGAGGAGCCTGGTAGGCTACAGTCTGTGGGGTCGCAAAGAGTCGGACATGACTGAGCGACTTCACTTTCACTTCACATAGTGACGTGTATCCACTGTTATAGTATCATGGAGAGCATTTTCATTGTCCCCAAAATCCTCTACTCGTTTCCTATTCATCCCTCCCTCTCTGTAGCTTCCAACAACCACTGATTTTTTTACTGTCTTTATAATTTTGCCTTTTCCAGAACACAACACTGCTGAAATCGTGCAGTAAGTAGCCTTTCAGATTAGCCTCTTTTACTTATAACATGCATTTAAGTTTCATTCATGTCTTTTTCATGGCTTGATAGTTCATTTCTATTTATTGTTGACTAATACTCCGTTGCCTGGCTGTACCACAGTTTATTTATCCACTCACCTAGTGAAAGATATCGTGGTTGCCTCCCAGTTTTGGCAATTATAAATAAAGCTGCTATAGACTTCTGTGGGCAGGTTTTTGTATGCACATAGTTTTCTACTCCTCGGAGTAAACATAAAGGAGAACAATTGTTGGATCATAGCATAAGAGTATGTTTAGTTTTGTAAGAAACTGTCAAACTGCCTACCAAAGTGTTTGTACATTTTGCATTCCCACCAACAGTGAATGAGAGTTCCTGTTGCTCCACGACCTCATCCGCATTTGGTGTTGTCTGTGTTTTGGATTTTAGCCATTCTAATAGGTGTGTCACTTAGAATAATAATGTGTACAAAAATATTTATTACAGTATTGTTTACCATAGCAAGACTGTAAATTTCAGTCCAGCATCAGGACATTAATTAAATGAACTAAATTGAGGTACACTCAAGCAATGGAAGACCATGTAGAGACAGCTCTACATGGACCAGTCTGGACCCATACCCTAAGATGTACAATGAAAACAGTAAGGTGCAGAACTGCATGTGTAGTAGAGTATATTTGTGTAAAAAATAAAAATATAAATACACTGACAGGTACTTATACTCACATTCACAGAATATGTTAGGAAGGATACACAAGAAACAGTGATTGCCTCTGGGGAGAAGTGAATGGTATATAAGGGTAAGTGTCCTTCTGTAACTTTTGGATTTTTCACCATTATTCAAAAATCAAAGAAAACAATTAAAGATAATCTATGTAGAGATAAAGGAAGAGGAAATTTTTTTTAAGATATTAAGGATTACCTAAAAGAAAAATGTGGAGGAGTTCCTGGTGGTCTACTGGTTAGGATTCAGGGCTTTCATTGCTGTGGCCCATGTTTAATCCCTGGTTGGGAAACAGATTCTGAAAGCTGGGCAGCACGGCAAAATAAAAAAAAACAACAAAAGAAAAGAAAATGTGGTAAGTTGTTCCCAAATTTTTAAAGAGTAATTAATTTTCATTGTATCAAATCATAGAAAAAGATAGGTTTCTTAATTCAATTTATGGATTTCATTCGTCATTATGAATAGCAGCTTTATTCATAATTGCTGTTAAAGATATCCACAAAATCAAAACACAGACAAATACCAGTATATAAATGGAAAATTTCTTAACAACAAATCAAATCCAGTATAATGTTAAAAGACTTAAGAAAATATTATTATTATTAAACTAACACAATAAAAATAGAACTGCCACTTTGTACAATGCACACCCGATTTAAACAATACTATATCAAACCAGTGTATGGTGGGCAATTTGATCTCTGGTTCTTCTGCCTTTTCTAAATCCAGTTTGTACATCTTGAAGTTCTTGATTCATATACTGCTGAGGCCTAGCTTAAAGGATTTTGAGAATAATCCTGTTAACATGTGAAATGAGTGCAACTCTATGGTAATTTGAACATTCTTTGGCATTGCCTTTCTTTGGGATTGGAATGAAAACTGACCTTTTCCAGTCCTGTGGCCACTGCTGAGTTTTCCAGATTTGCTGGCACAACTGCAGTACTTTAATAGCATCATCTTTTAGGATTTGAAGTAACTCAGCTGGAATTCCGTCACCTCTACTAGCTTTGTTCGCAGTGATGCTTCCAAAGGCCCGCTTTACTTCACACTCCAAGGATGTCTGGCCCTAGGTGAGTGATCATACCATTGTGGTTATCTGGGTCATTAGCTCTTTTTTGTACAGTTCTTCTGTGTATTCTTGCCACCTTTTCTTAATCTCTTCTGCTTCTGTTAGGTTCTGGCCATTTTTGTCTCTTATCATGTCTATCTTTCTCTTGTTATCTCCAATTCTCTTAAAGAGATCTCTAGTCTTTCCTATTCTATCATTTTCCTCTATTTCTTTGCATTATTCACTTAAGAAGGCTTTCTCATCTCTCCTTGCTGTTCTCTGGAACTCTGCATTCAGTTGGGTATATCTTTCCCTTTCTCCTTTGCCTTTTGCTTCTCTTTTTTTTCTCAGCTATTTGTAAGGCCTCCTCAGACAACCACTTTGTCTTCTTGCATTTGTTTTTCCTGGGGATGGTTTTGGTCACCACCTCTTGCACAGTATTACAAACCTCTGTCTGTAGTTCTTCAGGCACTCTGTCTACTGGATCTAGTCTGCTGAATCTATTGAACATTCAAAAAGCAAAGGTCACGGCATCCCGTCCTATCACTTCATGGCAAATAGATGGGGGGAAGAGTGAAAACAGTGTCAGATTTCATTTTCTTAGGTTCCAAAATCACTGCAGACGGTGACTGCAACCATGAAATTAAAAGATGCTTGCTGCTTAGAAGAAACGCTATGACCAACCTAGACAGTTTATTAAAAATCAGAGACATCATTTTGCCACCAAAGGTTCATAGAGTCAAAGCTGTGGTTTTTCCAGTAGTGATGGTTGTGAGAATTGGACCATAAGGAAGGTAAAGCACCGAAGATTGCTACTTTCAAACTGTGGTGTTGGAGAAGACTCTTGAGAGTCCCTTGGACTGCAAGGAGATCAAACCAGTCCATCCTAAAGGAAATCAGTCCTGAATATAATGGAAGGACTGATGCTGAAGCTGAAGCTCCAATACTTTGGCCACCTGATGCAAAGAGCCAACTCATTGGAAAAGACCCTGATGCTGGGAAGGAGTAAGGGCAAAAGGAGAAGGGGGCAACAGAGGATGAGATGGTTGGATGACATCACTGACTTAATGGACATGAGTTTGAGCAAACTCAGGGAGCGAGTAAAGGACAGGGAAGCCTGGTGTGATGCAGTTCACAGGGTCTGTGAACTGGAGTTGGACTTGACTTAGCAACTAAACAACAAGAACATATCAAACCATCAGCTTCAGTTATGCTTAGTAGTGAACTAATAGAGACACTTCTTATCTAAAACAGAAGTAAGATGAATATGCTGATCATTTCTTCTACTGTTACACGTGTGCTGGAGGTCCCAACCAACGGAAGAGACAACAATCAATGAGGTGTCATTATCAGCAAGAAAAAGGTAAATTATCATTACATGCAATTGATAGTGTGTCTCCTTAAAAAACTAAGGGAGTCAAGTGAAAAAATAGTAAGAGAATTCTACAAGGTAGTTGAATCCAAAATTGACGAAAACAATAGTGTTCCTTTATGAAGGTAGAGAATACACTGCAAAAAATAGCATTAAGAATTGCAATACAAATATAAAATGCCCAAGAGTCAAATTAAAAGCAGCAGGCAAGATAATTGTGAAGATAATAAAATTTTACTGAGGGGAAAATAAGAAGATGCAAATTAAATAGGAAATTAAAATTTTCCTGAAGTAAAGACTGAATGATGATATGACTATAATATAATTAGTCTCTTGATAAGTACCACATCCTGTGGCTGAGTCCCCCCTTCCAGTGCAGGGAACTGGGGTTCAATCCCTGGTTGGGTAACTAAGGCCACACATGCCACGGGGCAACTAGACTGGAGCATTGCAACAGTGATTCAGAACAACCAAAAGTGAAAGGAAATAAGTGGAAAAAAATTCTGATCACCAACTATCTTTTAAAGAAAAAAAAGTCAATCTAAGATCAGAAGAGAAAGGAGAACTTAAGGACGAACTTAAGTGTTTAAAAAAGAGACAGTATTCTAGTGGGTCAAACCCTGACTACAAGGCAAGAAACGAAAGGTGAGCTGGACCAAGGTAATTGCCTCCAAGAGGGAAAAGGAGAAGAAGGGAGGAAAGTTTAAAAGGAGAGGAAAAGTGTTCTTTGGAGATTTGGTGGTACAGAGAAAAAAAGAAAGAGGAGAAAATTTGGGATTATAAGAACTGAAATCAAAGGTCATACAATTTTTTTCTCTTCCTTTCCAAAAGAAAGTCATTCATTAAAGAAATTGAACTTTATTACACTGACAAGAGAGGGCAGTCCTGAGCTATGAAATTATGATCTAACTCTAAACCACCATTCATGGAATGGAGAATTTTCATCAACACAAAATTATTATAAGTAGGAAACAGATAAGGAAAATAAAAGCACTTCAGCTGATAAAAATTGAAAGTGAAAGTGAGTCATGTCTGATTCTGCCATTCCCTTCTCCAGGGGATCTTCCGGACCCAGGGATCGAACCCAGGTCTCCCACATTGCTGGCAGATTCTTTACTGTCTGAGCTACCAGGGAAGCCCTCCTTCCCCCTAAATGAGCACAAAGCATAAGAAAATTATAATACAACACACAAAAGCAAATGAATTATCTCCAAATAAGCATTTGGGATGTGAAGAATGTCTTGAATAAGAAATTAATGAACTAAGAACAAAATACACAAAAAGTAGGAAATGAATTGATTGAACTCAAGAAAGAAAAGGAAGAAAAGCTCATCTCAAATTAAAGAAAAAATGCCAAAGTGCCCAAGCCCAAGGGAGAATAGTTTAAAGTTTAAAAAATCTGATGAGAGGTATTAAAAGTCAGAA